ATTCTGTCAGCTACCGTACCAGTAATAATTTGTATAGTCAATTCCGATTATTGGCTTATTGTGAAATTGAATGCATTATATACTGACTAAATCTTCAGTAAAAGTAATTGATTATAAATTTTGATGTGAAATTATGATTTGTAGTAATGGGATTTGAACATGTTAAATTGTGATCTGTTAATGTTAAATTGTGAATGTCAAATTGTGATTTGTTTATGTAAAATAGTGATTTGTGATTGTCAAATTGTGATTTGTTTATGTAAAATGGTGATTTGTGAATGTTTGTGAATTTAATGTAGTGATTTCACTGTGCAAAAAAAAAAAAAAGAAAAGAAAAGAAAAGAAAACAAACAAAAAAAGCCAGGAATAAAACAAGAAAAGACCAAAAACAAAAAAAAAAAAACAAAAAAAAAAAACAAACAAACAAACAAACCAAAAAAAAAAAAAAAAAAAAATTAAAAAAAAAAACAAAAAAGCAAAAAAAAAAGAAAGAAAGAAAGAAAACAGAATTGAAAGAAAAAAAAATATATATATAAAGGAGCAGAACAAAAAAGCACAAAACTTTTAATGCTGCCTGCTTGAATTAACATATTTGCATGTTTTTTCAAGCAGAAGGTTCCAAGCCCTTAAAAGCAGAGGAGAAGTTTTGGTATTTTATATATATTGACATTACTGAATGTATGCCAAAGAAGATGGGCAAACATGACAAGCAGAATGCCTATAGTGCAACAAACATGAAGGTAAAAAATTAAATCTCAATGAGAACGAAATTTTCTTTGATATTTCATCTAACATATAAGGGGTGATCAAAAAGTTCGCAAAGTAACTGAATTACTCCCATTAAAGAAATAAAATTAGGTTTCAGTGTTCATTATTTTTTAAAATTGTCCTTTCCGATTTTAATACACATCTGCCACCGTTCTGCCCATGTGCAAATCACGTGATCCGGGCGGTCACGTGACATGCTCCGTAGCGTTCTGTTTACAGAATCTTAAAGATTTTTCAGAGTCTTATATTTCTTACCATGCAAGTTATTTTTTATAACAATAAAGTGCCCCGCCACAGCATGATATGCCCGTCAAATATTGTTCAATTATCATAAACAGTTTAAAGTGCAAGAAAATCATGTTAACCTTGATACAAAGATTTCAATGCTTTTTCCATTCCTTATAATGTTTGATGTACATACATCTCCTGTGGTGTAGGTATTAATTATAACTGTTACAAATAATACATCATATATTTCTCCACTGGTTTTTGTTAGAGTTTAAATGCTCATCTGCAGCTTTGTTTATTGTATATTTTATGATTGATTAACAATGCTACAACCTAATAAAACATCAAAACAAATTATGTTTATTCTTTAGACTATAAATTTGTCATCTTAGTGAGACATGACACTGCAATTTGTTGTAAAGATATAAAAATTTAAATAAAAAAAATATTATACAATATCAAATAAGTTTTAATTATATTGTACATATCAAATTAGTTTTAATTACTTTACATCAAATTTATCTTGAAAGTTAGACTATAGCCTACAAAACTATTCAATTAAGAGGCTGATTCCTTTGCCCAATTCCCAAGAGATATAGATAACACCTGTTTGATCAGAGATGCTCTACCAGTTTATAATCTCCTTGCACTAAACTCATTAATTTCTCTATAATTTGACATGCTATTTTCTGTTATCAAAATTCTTCTTGACCAATGCTTGATAATTACACCCAATAGGAGAGGTGGAATTTCTCTTATAACATTACATTTGTTACAAATTGCTGTAAAGTATATAACGAAAAAATAAGTATTTTCTTGATTTAACATTTTTTAAATAAGGATGCTGCAACACTCTTACATCTTTTGGGATTTTGTAATTTAAAAGTTAAAAGACATAGTTTTTTTTAAAATTTCACTTAAATTAAAGGTCACAGTGACCTTATAATAGGTCGTGACACACCTTCTACCTAAGATGCATATATTGGCTGCATGAGTTTGATGATTCTAGGTCCAGTAGTTACTGTATTAAAGTTATGAGCTGGACACGAAAAAGCTAACAGAAGGACGGATGGACGGACATGAACGCTATAACATAGGGTCATCACAAGTCGAACATGACCGTGAGTCGAACGCATTTTTAACCTCACCTACACCTTTTGACAAACAATAAATGGTAGGGAACTCTTGGTTAACCATCTTCTTTTTTACCCATTTAATCAATTAGAGTTATCTTTTCTAAGTCAAACTCTTCTGTTAATAGTTCTAAGTGATTTCTCAAAATTTTCTGTCGTAAATGAATTATCAAAGTTGTTTCAAAGCTCCATACATTTACCAAATAAGCTAATCAATACTTTTAAAGACAAATTTATACCAAGCAATATTTTTAAAACCTGTTTTTATGTGGTTTTGGATACATAATTCACAAAATAATCAATCAAAAAAAAAAAAGCAAAAAAAAAACAAAAACAAAAAGCAAAACCAAAAAAAAAAAAAAAAAAATACAGAAAAAAAAGAATGAATGAAAAAAAGAAAGAAAAAAAGCCAAAAAAGTAGAAAACAAAAAGAAAAAGAAGCAAAAAAAAAAGCAAAACAAAAAGAAGAGAAAAAAGATGCCAAAAAAAAAAAAAGAACAAAACTTTTAATGCTGCCTGCTTGAAAAAAAAAACATTACTATCATCTTTGCATTTTTTTTTTCAAGCGGAAGGTTCCAAGCCCTTAAAAGCAGAAGAGAAGTTTTTTGTGTTATTAGGTCACCCCAGTCACTAAGGTGACCTATTGTTATCTCTTTATTGGTTGTACATTTAAACATTTTCAGCTTCCTCACTGAAAGTCTGGAACCACTGAAAAATTACAACCAATTTTACCATATAGCATCTTTGGGTGAATGGAAACAGAAATTGCATAATACATGCCCCCCCCCCCCCCCCATCCTAAGGGGCTAAAACCATCAAATTGTATTTTTAAATGCAATCTTGAAAGATCTTCTTCACTCCTGTACATCAAGCAGTTAAACTTTTTGCTTGATTTGAATAAGCATTGAGTCCTCTACCAAAATTATGAATTCATGACCCAGCGTCTGACAGGACTTCTGGGGTTGGTGGACCTCTATTGATCATACATTGCATAAATTCTTTAAAAAGCTTTTGTCCCCCTTGTATATTCAGCAGAGAAACTATCCTCTTCCAAAATTGTGAAATTCAGGGCAAGGCAGGTATTTTAGGGCAGGGCATTATTGATCATATAGTGACAATGCATTATTTCTTTGAAGATCTTCTTGTCTGCTCTTGGGTATTACTATTAAGCAAACAAATTAAGAGCATGGTTTTGATGAGGAAGGGTGCCTCCTCCAAAGTTATGAATATCATGGCCTTTGAGTCAGAGGTTCTGGTGTTTAGGGCTGAATCAGGGGGTCTGATGTTTAGGTAGGACTCTATTAATTAAAAAATGAAAATGCATTCATTCTTCATTTATTATTCTGCTCCAAAGCATCTCCAAGACAAACAGAATACAAAGTTGTAATGAGCAAGGGTGTTTTTACCAGATTTGTTTAATTCTGAACCTATACTTTTAAGTGTCACGGTGCTGTGCAGGGCTCAATTGATCTGGTAAGAAAACTGAGGATACTATAGATTCCTTATTTTAAGCAAATATTTTATTTTGCGAAATGGCTCTTAGACATCAAATCGCGAGAACAATAATTTGCAAGTAGATGTTTGATCAAGAGATTTTACATGTATTTCAGCACCATAAAAATAAAATCAAGTAATTTTATTTTAAGTGGTGTCTCTCGCAAAATTGAGCAATAATTAATTCCTCATGCATATTTTGGAATCTACAGTATTTCCCTTTGCTTTTCACCTATGATAATACTGATATTGATAAATCATTTGAATAAATGAATTATGGCATACAAGATTTTTTTATGTACAGTGTATAATACAAAAAGTACATAGTTTTGAATGCCAGGTAGACCTACTTTGCATGGTGATAGTGACAAATGGGAGTGTATTAGCACTGGTAAGTGCGAACAAAAAAATTGATCTAGTTTATGATTTGTTACTGAGTGGTACATTAACTATTCTGTTCATCCCCGATCATCGTATTTCTCTTGCGTTTGAGCAGCATATCTTCATCTATCAGTTAATTGTTTTATATTATACTTCTAGGGAACCTTTACTGTGTTGTATGTGTATTATACTCAATTAAATTTGTTGTATGTTTATTATACTCAAGTGACCCTTAGGCCTCTTTTACAAAATATGCTTAACAAAACTTATTAATGATATCCCAAAAGTTCATTATCCACCATTAGTTAAGGCCTGCATCAAGATGGAGGTGCCCTTAAATATACATTTTTTCCCCCTCAAAAAGAATGGGCTTTCGAATTTCAATCACTGCACGCATTACATCAGTTGATCTCCTACCAGTGAAAGCAAAGGGGACTTTATTTCCTCCTTGTCTATCCATCTGTCTGTCCCACTTGGTTTTCTGCATTTTTTTTTAATGCTTATGACATTGAGCTGTTTTCTGGTATGTGAGTGTACCTTGATGAGTTACATATAAAGTATGCATTTTGTTCCGCTTCAGGGATTTTTGACAGGACTACTGCCTTTTTAATTTCTAATAGGGGCCAGTTTTCCAGCCCCCCCCCCCCCCCCCCCCCAAAAAAAAAAAACTCTTGCAGATTTTTATGTGAGTCTACCTACATGTAGCTGAGTTATAGATAAAGTTTGTATTTAATTCTGCTTCAATTATTTTTGACAATTTTTAAGGAAAAAAAGGTGTTTTTTTGGTCATATAATTCAACCTTATTGCTTTTTCCACTTTGAAACACTATATTACACAAAACTGCTAAAGCCACAAAAACTCATGATTCAAGGGCATTCCATTGTACAAAAGCATCAGGAATCTAACCTTATTCAAGAGGTGCCACCAGACAAGTACTAGTATTGCTCACAATATGTATCTATTATAAAGAAAACTTTAAGTTTTTCCTGTCTTGGTTTAAACACAATTTATTTTTGCCAAGTTATTCTAAGGGACATCAAATTATGACAAATATGATAATGCAGTCTTCTATCTATAAATACAATGCTTAATCACACTTTTCTCCTCTCTTTGTTCATCTGTTGTATAGTTCTTCTACGCACAAGCCTCCAATACTTATGAGTGCCAGGTTCATGTTCATAAGCACCTCTTTCTATTTTTAGATTCCAAAGCCATTCTGGATATTCACTGTCTGGCTTTATTTCTGGGTCAGATCCTTTGTTCATTATGTTTGCACCACATACATATTTACACAGTTTTTCAGGGTCTTTTTCAGCATCCAAAAATTTGTCCACCTTTTTTGCTAGTCCTTTTACTAGAGAAAAAATTGTCAAGGATTAATATCAATCACCATATGAGTACAAGCATATTAATAAGTCAAATTATTTTAAAAATATACAAACAACAAAATATATATCTACTTGTAGATAGAAGACTACCCTAGATATAAGAACTAGGGTCTAATCCCATTGAGACAGTGTCAATAAAATATTTGCAAAACAAAATAAAAGCTGTGAAGCTTAGCAAATTTTAAATAACGTTCATCAGTATCTGCATTTCTTTAACAATTACAATAATTTGGAAATAAAACAAGAGGCCCATGGGCCACAATGCTCACCTGAGTAACTATTGTCCTTCTGTTCTTCAGCAGCAAATTCTTTTTCCTACATATTCTTATGTAAAACTTTGATCATTTTTCATTGGCCCCACCCTTCCCCAGGGGGCTGTGATTTGAATAAACTTCAATCAATACAACTTGAGGATATAGATTTTAGTCATGAATTTGCTGTTTTTGAGATGAAGACTTTTAAAGATTTTTTCTTATGTATTTTCCTATGTATTCTTAGGTAAAACTTTGAATATACCTTACCTGAGGATGCTGACTGATCATAGTTATGCTACCCATGAGAAGATTTTTAAAGATGGTTCCTAGATATAATACATATAACTTGAATCCCCTATTGTTCCCCCCCCCATCCCCCCAGGGGTCATGATCTGAACAAACTTGAAACTACTGGTATACTACTTAGGATGCTTCTATATTTATATGACAAATATAGCTTTGCTGTTCCTAAAAAGATTTCTTTTAGATATTTCCTAGATATTCTTATGTATAACTTTGGTCCCCTCTTGAGGTCCAGTCCTACCCCCTGGGGTCATGATTTGAACAAATTTGAATCTACACAACCCAAGGATGCCTCCACATTAAAATGACTGAAAATGGCTTGCTGTCTTGAGAAGATTTCTTGATAGATATTTCCTACATATTGCTATGTAAAATTTTGACCTCCTGTTGTGGCCCGGCCCTACCCCGGGGGTCATGATTTGAGCAAACTTAAATCTACACTACCTGTTGATGCTTCTGTATTAATATGACTTATTATGGCATTGCTGTTCTTGTCGAGATTTGTTTTTAGAGATATTTCCTATGTTCCAATGAGGTAAATAAATATATGAAATGATATGATATATGAATATATTTGAATCTACAGTATGTATTGATGATCTCATACAAGTTTTATCTTTTCTGGCTTAGTGGTTCTTGAGAAGATTTTCAAATGATGACACCAAAGATTAACAAATACTTATTATCTCCCCTTGAAAAAGGGTTTGGTATCTCTTTTGAATAAACTTTAATCCCCTCCACCCAAAAATGCTTTTTGGCATGTTTGGTTGAAATTGGCCCAGTGATTCTTGGGAAAAAGTCAAAAATGTAAAAAGTTTATTAAGATGACCATCTTTGCTGGCCAAGGGTTTCTGATCCGCTACTTTCCTCTCAAACCATTGGCCTATGGTTCTGTCAAAAGCTGGGATTGTTTATGTCACATGATCTCAAATCTGCACAGATTGTGTCATCAACGGGAAAAAAAGCGAATTTAAAAATTAAAGTTTTTTAGAGAATAATTAACAAGATTTAAGGCATCGAGTGATGTTTATTTGTTATTTATGTGTAATATAGATTCCTGATCACATTATTTGCACATCAACTTAAGATTGGATGACACCATAGTTTGATAGAATGGCATGTTATCTTATGGATCGTTGTTTAATTGTGTTTTTCATTCCCAAGACTAAAGAGTCAATTAATGTATATCCCAAATGCAGATATTGTCATTTACAAAAAGCAATTGCTAGTTGGTTGAACTATATCAATCAACTCCAATCCACAACATGAGAAAAAATCCCAACTTTTGACAGCACCATAGGCCAAGGGTTTGTGAGAAGAGTGGTGAATCTGAAACCCTCAGTTATTTAGTAAATTCGAAGAACATACAGACGACATACAACAGACAGACGCCGGGCACTCTTCGATCAGAAAAGCTCACTTGAGCCTTTGGCTCAGGTGAGCAAAAAAAGCTATATAATGTACAAATCTCGTCTGCTTTCCTCAATAAACAATAAAACCATTAGAAATCAGTGTTATACCCCCCCCCCCTTTTCCCTGTTAATCATTTAATCAATTATTACGCTATATACAGAAATTACTTACCATCTTTCTTTGCAAATTGTACTGCACTAATATGAAATGTTCTAAAATGTACAAAACAAAAACTTTTACAAACAGCAAACGATTTAGACAATTTGAATGTCATTCTTGCATGTTTGGGTTAGTGCGGTGTTAAGTGAGTTTTTGTCCCATGTAGTTTAGTCTGGGTTAAAAAGATTATCTTACGTTTCATGACGTATTAATTTCATACAAATTTTGAAAACACGTAGAAAATATATAAACACAATATTTCGATATCAAAAATATTAATTTTAGTCAAAGTATTTCAGGTTTAAACACCTATAAGTTGTAAATTCACATTTGATAACGAGCAGAAAAATACACTTTACACCGTTAACCTCGTTTCAAATTCAATATGTCAGCTCCCATTGTGAATGCAATTCCCACATGATTTAGAACCAGAAGAAAATCATCGTTGGTGAATGTCATGGTATAATAATCAAGGAAATTATAGATCGTTATATTTCAAGTCCATAAAGTATGTTATTTATTGAAAATTTTGTTTATTATGAGAAGATGTTAATAAACAGTGCATAATCATCACTCATGTAAGACTGTCAGGTGTAAAGTTCTCACTTCTTTGCTAAAACTGACAACCTAATACCATTTTGAAATTTTCATCTTTCGATATGAATGTGCTAGTTAGGAACTTGAAATTGTAAATGTAAATCAATTCAATTCAATTTATTTATTGATTCACCAAACACGTTGGCATACAACCATGTTGCATACAAAATGAAAAAAATACAGTGTGTTTTCAGATTACTAAAACACATGCTAAAGTACATACATATAGAGTGGAAATTTGACGCTTTTATTAAAAAAAAGTAGGATTACTAGAGGTCTCACTCGTTCAAGTGATTATATACCCTCAAGTTTAATTTAGGTGTAGAGGTTCAGGGTTCTCATTAATTTTTAGAGTAGGTGGAGAAAAAAAGGAGTGGCACTGTTGACTTGAGAGTCAAAGGCCCAAACCAAGGGCCACTGGCCTGAAGGGGGGGGGGTTGAGTCCGAGAGCGGGGTTATCCCCCTTTTGGCAATAGGGGGTCTGGGGGTCCTTCCCCGGAAAATTTTTTAAATTTACATTGCAGGAGGTGGCATCTGAGACCTCTCTGGGCATATTTTGACTTGTTATATTTTGTCTCAATATGACACTTTTTAGGAGCCCATTTTGCCCCCCCCCCCCCCCCCCCAAAAAAAAATCACAGGAGTAGCACACAGCCTATCCATCTAACTTCCTTGATTTTTGTAATTTGTTGTAAATAAAGATTTTTCGAACAAATTTTTGTTGCATTTTTGTAGCAATTGTTTGATTAAAGATAGCCCATGTTGCAGTTTCAAAACCGGAAATGAAAAAAAGCTTAGTATAACTTAAATCAGACCGATCACAATTCTGGAATCATATCACCACGTTTTAAAAAAGGGATTGTACTCTGATAAGAAAAACGTCACATGACAACGATTTTATGTTTACGTTTTTTATTCACTAAATTTAATGAAACAAACTTGATAACCAAAGACCTCTGCTACAGTCCCTTTTTTAGCTCTTCTGAGCCAAAGGCTCAAAGAGCTAATGCTATGGCCATTTGTGCGGTGTGCGTAAACTTTTAGAATATGGGCCATAACTCAAGAACCCCTTGGCCAATTATTGTCAAATTTGTCACAGGGTATCCTTGGCCCAAGGGCTCCCTTTTATACTAAAACTAGGGTTGTGACCCTTTAACAAGGGGAGATAATTAGGAAAATAGAAACAAAAGTACTGGTTGCTAAAAAATCTTCTTCTCAAGAACCACAAGGCAGATTATCACCAAACTTACACAAAAGGATGAGGATATGTTGTAGATTAAAATTTGCACGGGGATTTACCCTGGGGCAAAGGGCGTGGTCTCAAGGTCACTTCAAAGTTGACCAAAAATTACATTTTTTTAAAATGTTGATATTTTGCTTACTATAAGGACTAGGATCATCAAGTCTTGTCAGTTGATGCATCTAAGGACCTCATATCATGTTGACTCAAAAGTAGGTCACGGTGACCTACTTTTTAAATTTTGCGGCCATTCTTTTTCAAAATGATTTAGAGGTATATTTTGAACAATTTAAGGCCTATGATCATCAAACTTTGTCAGTTGATGCATCTTGGGTCCTCAAAGTACGTCAACTAAAAAGTAGGTCACCTTGACCTACTTTTTGAATTTTACGGCTAATCTTTTTAAAACAATTAAGGTCATTAATTCGAATACCGATAGGTTTAGAATCATTAAATCTTGTAAGATGATGCATCTTGGGGCCACAAAACATATTTATTAAAAAGTAGGTCACAGTGACCTACTTTTTGAACTTTGCAGGCATTCGATTTCAAAGCGTTTTAGAGGCATAATTTGGACATTTTAAAGCCTATGATCATAAAACTTTGTCAGTTGATGCATCTTGGGTCTTCGGAGTAGGTCGACTGAAAAGTAGGTCACCGTGACCTACTTTTGAAAATTTATGGCTTTAATTAAATATTTCGGGTACTAATTGGCTTAGAATCATCAAACTTTGTCAGTTGATGCGTCTTGAGTCCTTGTAGTACAACAACTGAAAAGTATGTCACCGTGACCTACTTTTGAAAAATTAAGTAGGTCACTTTGACCTACTTATAAAATTTTATGGTTATAATTTAAAAAAATATTTTAGGTATTAATTGGCTTAGAATCATCAAACTTATTTGATGGGTCCTCAGAGAATGACAAGTGATAAGTAGGTCACATGACCAACTCTCAGGTACTAGTTGGCTTAGAATCATCTTGGGTTCTCAGAATGTTAATTGGAATTTCAAGGGTTTATCTAAATAAACAGGATACTTAGAGGCTTCAAATAGAAGTGATAGGTTGTACAGTTTATCAGAAGAGCGATTCAAGGCCCTTGGGCCTCTTGTTTCTTTACATGATCATTAGGGCTGGGACGATACAACTTTTTCTATATCGATATGTATCACGATATTTGAACCACGATACGATATGTATCATGATATGTTGAATTGGTTTTAAAATGTTTTTTTTGTATTGAAATGAACAAAATATTTCTTCACAAATAAGAATAATTTAATCAAAGAATTTGTATATATCTGTTGTATTAAAACAAAATAATTTTATGCAAGTGATGTTCATAGTTATATATTTCATATTTATATTCATATTAAGCATATATATTTTATATATTTAACCCAAAATGTTAAGTAGACAAAGAAAAACATAAGTCAGATATTTTTTGCGATATTTTGATATTTCTTCGTATGTACATGTACACGTATTGATATGCGTATCATCCTCACATTGAATCAATATTATCGATATATCGTTCCAGCCCTAATGATCATACTGATTTTTGAAAGTGAAGTAACCAGCACCATTGTGTAAATAGACAGCGAAATTGCCAGTCGCCAGCACTTAATGAGAACCCTGGTGGTGATATAGGAATCACTGTGTCTAGGTTGGCCATGACTTTGAACCAAGGTCACTTGTGCAAGTTTATATCATGGTAGAAAAAAAATTATAATTTGTGTCTCTTGGGGACCCAAGCTTAACTTTCAATTGTTTAACATTGGAAGTTCATTCTTAACACAAAGATTACTAATGATATGAGGATGTGTCATTTCCTTAACCTATGGTCCAGTGATTGGGAAGGAAATAAAGGTCAATGGGACTATTGCACAACTGTCAAAGTTTTTAATGGGCTATTTTAGAAATGAATGGGCTATAAGAAAAAAACTAAATGACAAACAAATGTGATACTAAAGGAAACATGTTTCTTTATTAACAAATTTTATTTTTCACGTATGCAGCTGTAGCACATTTAAAGGAACCCACAAACAATATAATTTTTTCATATATTGGGTCAATAACGCCAAAATTTCAATAAAACATTGGAAATGAGTGAGGTAATGTACCTTTGTTGTCCTAAATTAAGAGTCTCATGTAACAGGTAGCAGTTTTTGTGGGGCTTTAATTAATGAGATTTGTTGCATTAAAATGACTGCATTTTTAACAAAAGTAAAACAAGCAAGAAAGTCGTACACAATGTATTTCTGACTACCATCGCAAAAATTTGAATGTGCACTTTTTCAACCCAGGTAGGTCTAGGCTAATCTCAGTGAGATTTGTCTAGACTGAAAATTTTGAACTGTCGTCTCTTCTGAAGATTTGAAAGAAATGTCAGTACAAAATTTTTAGTTTGATGAATCTCGCTGAGATTAGGTCCAGACATGTCAAAGTGGGACCAGTGAAGCATCATTTATCACCAAACAGGCTTTATAAAGAACACCCTGTCAGACCACAGGTTGTTTCATTGTTTACTTAGTTACCCTCCCCAGGTGTTTGATCATGAATTTTTTGGGCAAATTTTTTTTAAATTGTAAAGAATTTGGGAACAACGTAATAAACATACTTATTTTATATAGATTTGTTATGGAATGGTTTTTCTACTTTGAAATTCCAGTGAAAGAAGTGTTCTGTCATATTAAATCTTGAATGTAATAAACTGACTCCATCTTACCCATATAAACAAGTTTAGTCTCAGGGGTAGCAATTTTACCCACCTGACTCTCATATTAACTTACAATCTTTATCTTGATTTTCATTTTAATATCTTTATTGGTATTCAGGTAACAATGCAGCATAAGCTTCAGGTGAGGAAAAATACAGACATTACAACACAGAAATGCAAAGTTGACATACCAACTCTCAGACATCTTGGGATTAAGCCAGGATCATTTGCAGCTATTTTATTTGAGAACACAGAATTCATCTGTCAAGTTTGGCCAATTCCTCATTTATCAGGAACTGGGATAGAAGTCGGCACTGCAGTGACAAGGTCAGCTGAACAGAAGACAGACAAGGCCTGTACAATTAAACAACTGGATGTTGTACCAGGGAAAAGTATTAGCGTGAGCATTGTAGTGACAAAGGCACAAGATGTTAAAGTATACAGAAAAATGAAGACAGAGTGTGCCCGTAGCTTGGAAGATATCTGTAGGGGGCTATTATATAAAATCTGTGTATCTTCCAAGGCTGTTGTGGACAAGGAGACTTGTATGCTGGCAAAATTACATGGTATCTCTTTTATTCTGATTGACATTGTATCTGATTGGGATTATTGTATTGTTGACAATACCACCACTATAACTGTGAATGATATACAAAGTAGAGAACATTACATGCAAAAACAGACAATTGCCCAGACCACTCCTTTAGGAGGCTTAGATAAAGTTGAGGAGGAGTTGATGGAATTTCTCTCTGCATCTTTTAGTGTAAAATCTAATGTAAACAACACCTTGAGGCTCCCCAGAGGAGTTCTTCTCCGAGGCCCACCAGGAACAGGGAAAACTTCACTTGTTAAACACATCTGCAACAAATGTAATGCTTTCCTAATCTCTATTAATGGACCAGAAGTGTTTGGATCACGTCCAGGGGAAACAGAGGAGAACATAAAAGGAGTGTTTGAGAAAGCCTTTCTCATGAGTGAGGAGGGCCCTTGTGTTATTTTCTTGGATGAGATCGATTCCGTTTGTCCAAAGAGGCGGGACTCTGATGATACCAATAATACAAGATCAACAAGTGTGTTTCTTAATTACCTAGACAAAATTAGTGACTGTGCAAACTTAGCTGTGATTGGGGCCACCAACAGACCAGCAGCCCTTGACCCGAGTGTGAGGCGACCAGGAAGACTGGACAAAGAGGTCAGAGGTCATCATATTTGTATACCAGTGAAGTTTGTCATCATTAAAGTGAAAGGGAACAAATGAATGAAGCTTGGGAATTTGAAATTTAGTAAAAAAAATTTAGATAATATTGTCAAGAATATTCTACAATAACTAATTTTAACTGAAGGGTTTGTGTTAAACATTTCCTGATAAACCTCATTACTTTATTGTTCTATTACTTTTAGTTTAAAGTACCAATTTACAATTTAAATTTATTTTAAAATTTTCAGATTATGATAAATGTTCCTACACTTAGTCAGAGAAAAGAAATATTGAGACACCATTGTTCTGGATTAAGAGTTGATTCAGGACTGGATCTGAATGAGATAGCCAAGATGACCAATGGATATGTAGGAGCTGATCTGATGTCTCTCTGCCATGAAGCAGCATTTAGCGCCATGAGCTTTCTTCAGTCAGATCTGATAGTTGATAAGGTAAATATCAAATAGAATTAAAAAACAACAAAATCTGATTTTTTAAAATTTGTTTTCATATAGACATCAACTTAATTTCAAAATCTTACTTTTAGGTAGTGGACATTCCATTGATAACAACAGAACACTTTAAGGAAGCACTCAGGAAAGTAATGCCCTCTACTCAGAAGGGGTCACCATGCACCACTGATTTTGACCCTGTACACTGGGAGGATATTGGTGGTCTGGAGGAAGCAAAACTTAAAATTCAGCAAGTTAGAAAATACTGAATATACATGTATTGTTATGGAAACAAGAAAATTATTACTTTTTAGGTCAGGAGTTCTGGTGTTAGGGTGGAGCTCTATTGATTCTTTGAAAGCCTTCTTTGCTTCTGGGAATTAAGCAGATAAACTTTTCTATTCACTATAAAAGGGTCAATTGAGTAAAAGAATTACAAATTGTTTTAATGTAAAATACATGTACTTAAAATACTTCGAAGTTTTTAATGGTCAGGTAGACTTGTATTTAAGGGATAAATAAAAATGAGATCAAAATACCTTATCTTTGTACATAATTTAAAGATATGAAACAGATCAACAACACTTCTTGGGAATGCAAATGGGAGTGTTTTATCACTGACAAGTACAGACAAGTGAAAAAATCTACTTATTAATTGATTTGTTACTGTGTACGCAATAAGATTTTTTTGATCCCCAGGCATCTTATTTCTTTTGCTTTCAGGCAATTTATCTTCATCTATCAGTTTATTTGTTTAGCTTTATGCTTCTGACTATGGATCCTTTATAGTGTTGTATTATACTCAGGTGACCATTAAGGCATTTGGGCCTCTTGTTTATCTTCTTTTAAATGTTTCAGGCAGTGGAGTGGCCTATTAAACACCCGGAAGCCTTCCTTCGTATGGGTCTACCAAGCCCACGAGGTGTTTTGTTGTATGGGCCTCCAGGATGTTGTAAGACCACACTGGTCAAGGCAGTGGCCACATCATCTAATGCCACTTTCCTGTCCATTAGCGGTGCCCAGCTGTTCTCACCCTATGTTGGGGACTCGGAGAAACTCATTTCAGAGGTATTTTGAACTGGGAAGTTAGATGTGTTGTGGTAACTTAATCTTACAATTTCTCATCTCCTAGGAATGGTTGCTCTACCAAGCATAATTAGCCTTTGATTGAAGTTAATGTTTTGGAATTGGATCATTAAGGTTTTGGTAAGAACTATCCTTAATGAAATTCAAGCTGAATTAGTACCTTCTGTTAGATGAAATCGGTGTACTGTGTATGCACATGGAAATTCTTAAATGTGAAATTCAGTGAAGATTTTTGCAAATTCTTAGCAACCACAATAAAAAAAAAGAAAGAAATATTTTACTTTTAAAGGAACATGTACCATTGTAAAGTAGATTTGAATAATTAAAGTACTCTCTCTTTTGCAAAATTAGGTATTCCAGAGAGCCCGTGCAGGTGCCCCTTCCCTCATTTTCTTGGATGAGATTGACTCAATCATTGGCAAGCGATCTGATGGGACATCACAACGAGGGGTCCAAGAGAGGGTATTGTCTACGTTACTCAATGAGATGGATGGAATTGGAATCAGATTGGATGAGAAAACAGATTCTTTACAAACAGGAGAGGTATAAATTTGACATCTCTGTGGTTGATATGCATACAGTATAAGCAGATATTTTAGCAGGGATTCAATTTTGGCATTTTTTAGTGAGGGTGTTGAGAATGCTAAAATTGAATATCGTTATCGTTCCAGATATTGTTAACAATTCATTCCCACATTGAAGGTGACTAATCTTTCTATCCATCACAAAATTGCTAAATTTACTTTTCTCTAAAATTGAATACCAATTTTTTAGGAAATATTGCTAAATTTGCGTCACAAAGATGACTGAAGATTGACTTTTTACTTAATTTTTACAATTTGATCCTCCATAGTTCCTTACAATTTTTGGTCAAATGGCTATGTGAGGAGATTAAGAATATTTTGAGATTTTTTTTCTCCACAAAATGTGAAAAATCAGGATGGATTAGTCCCAGACATAGCCAATAAAAGTGTGCTGGTAGTAGCTGCCACGAATCGACTGGACATGTTGGATGAGGCTCTCACCAGACCAGGCAGATTTGACAGATCTGTGTTTGTACCCCCACCAGATATACAGGTTAATCGATACATGTTTATTTCAATACCTACTTCAATATCCATATGCAATATGCCTTTGCTTGTACATTAATGTGTTAGTATATAATGATCTTTTGAGTTGGTGTTGCATTCATTGAGCATTTTATAGTTGACAGACACAGTTGACAGTCACTCAGGTGACCTATTGCTATCCGTTTTTGTCCGTCGTCGTGCGTCATGCGTTAACTTTTGAACATTTTCAGCTTCTTCTCTAGAACCGCTCAACCAATTTCAACTAATTTTGGCATATAGCATCTTTGGGTGAAGGGGAACAAAAGTTATGAATTTCATGGTCCCTGCCCCCCTGGGGCCCCAGGGGTGGGGCTAAAACCACCAAAATTGATGCAATCTTTAAAAATCTTCTTCTTTACTCCTGGACATCAAGCAGTCAAACTGTTGACATGATTGTAATAAGCATTGGGCCCTCTACCTAAATTGTGAAATTCATGGCCCCAGGGTCAGGGGTTCTGGTGTTAGGGCGGGGCTATATAGATCATATAGTGAAAGTGCATTATTTCTTTGAAAATCTTCTTCTCTTCTCCTGGGTATTATTTAAACAAACTAAGTGCATGGTTATGACAAGCAGTAATGCCTTTTCCAAAATTGTGAAATTCATGGCCCCTGGGTCAGGGGTTCTGGTGTAAGGGCAGGGCTCTATTGATTATATAGTGAAAATGCATTAATTTTTGGAAAATCTTCTCCTCTGCTCCTGGACATCAAGCAGTCAAACTGTTGGCATGATTGTAATAAGGATTGAGCCCTCTACCAAAATTGTGAAATTCATGGCCCCTGTGTCAGGGGTTCTGGTGTTAGGGCGGGGCTCTATTGATTATATAGTGAAAATGCATTAATTCTTTGAAAATCTTCTTCTCTGCTCCTGGGTATTATTTAAACAAACTAAGTGCATAGTAATGGTGCAGAAGGATGCTTTTTCCAAAATTTTGAAATTCTTGGCCCCAGGATCAGGGGTTCTGGAGCTAGGGCGTGTCTATATAAATCATATAGTGAAAGTGCATTATTTCTTTGAAAAATCTTTTTCTCTGCTCCTGGGTATTATTGAAACATATTGAATACATAGTTATGATAAGCAAGAGTGACTCTACCAAAATTGTGAAATTCATGGCCCCAAGGTCAGGGGTTCTGGTGCTGGGGGGGGGGGGGGGCTCTATTGATTATATAGTGAATCTGTAGTAAAAATGCATTATTTCTTTGAAAATCTTCAGGTGTTCTGGTCCTGGCCAGGGCTCTATTAATTTGTATTCAACTGAGAGGAGTTATTCCCCTTTGCCATTTACTTTTGATAATTAATCACTGTAAATAATGTACTTGAAAGGTTAATAGAATAAGAGAATTATGCAAGATATTTTATTGTATAATACCAAAAGTACTTTTGTAGTTTAAATGATCAGGTAGACTTGTAAGTAATAGATAAATAAAAATGAGACAAAAATAACTTGTATTATTCAATGTTCATCAAAGACCAAGAGAGTCCAATGTAAGAGATTTCATCAAGGAATTAAAATGGTACAGAATCACTGATAATTTGTTAATATACTGTATGATGATAGTGATAAATGGGGAACAGATTAAAACCTAACTTATGAACTGTTAATGAACACTAGACTAATTAATTTTGTTGATCCTGATCACCCTATTTTTCTTGCTTATGGGCAACAAAGCTTCACCTTTCAGGTCATTTTATACTCTGTGGATCCTCTAAATTGTTGTTTTATACTCAGGTGACCATTAAGGCCCTTGGGCCTCTTGTTTATTTTGATGATTGCTAGTCTTACTTAAAATAGAAATTTTTGTGAACAACTTTCAAAACGCTATTCCTTCTACAGTTTTGATCTGATTTCAATGTAACTTGGCATACATGTAGACTACACTAAGATATATAATTCTGTTTATCAGGTTTTGATTTTAATGATTGATGGTTACTAAAAATAGAAATTTATATCCTAATTTCTTTTCAAAACTGTACTCCTCCTACATTTTTGGTCTGCAATTAATCTTGCCACAAAAAAGACTAAACCAAGGATCATAATTCTATTTATTGCTGTTGTAAAATTTCAAATTCAAGTACTATTTTTCTCTTTCTTTGTTATAAGTACAAACTAGTAGAGCTACAGTCTTGTTAGAGACTTCTGGTTAATTTAATAGCTATATACAGTTGAACTTTGCATCTTGAACTCTGATATCCTGAATACCATGGATATGTCAAAGTGAGTTGAAAGTCCCCAAAACATTTTTTGTCCCCCGCTTTCACTGAAAGTGTCCGTCTGTCTGTATTTCTGTCTGTCTGTAACACTTTCATTTCCACACGATATCTCGTGAACCCTGTGAGCTTTCACAATAAATTTTGCAAAGCAACTCCCTATGGCCTAAAGGAGAACCCTATTGGTTTTGAGGTCAAAGGTCAAGGTCATAAATTCATTAATTCTGTCTGTTTTAACACTTTCGTTTCCGCGCGATATCTCGAGAACCCTTTGAGCTTTTGCAATGAAATTTTACGTTACAACTCCCTGTGGCCTAAGGAAGACCCCTATTGATTTTGAGGTCAAAAGGTCAAAGTTCAAGGTCTTATATTCATACATTCCATCTGTGTGTAACACTTTCATTTCCAGGCAATATCTCAAGAAGCTTTTGAGCTTTTGCAATAAATTTAATATCATAACTCCCTAGGGTCTCTCTCATCCCTCTCAAAGTGTCCCGCCCCTTTTTTTTTTATTATTTATTGTATTAAAAGTCACTTGGCACTATTTTTAGCACAGGGGCATGTGGAGAGTTATTACGTATTAATACAGGTTGTCGGCGGACTTTATATTCTTATTACATCTATTAGAACTGTTTAGTAAAGGCTAAATTAGACACCATGTATTGTGTAAAACTTTGACAATATCGAACATAAATATAAACATTATATGAGACCTAATGTTTGTGTTTAATTTGCTGTTTAATCACGTGCCTCCATGGTTTAGGGGTATGACTCTCGCTTAGCATGTTAGAGGTCCCGGGTTCAAATACCGTACGATCCTTTTTTTTGTCCCCCACTTTCACTGAAAGTGGGGGATATTAATTTGGGTCTGTCTGTCCATCCGTCTGTATTTCTGTCTGTAACACTTTCATTTCTACACAATATCTTGAGAACCCTTTGAGCTTTTGCAATGAAATTTTGCATAGCAACTCCCTATGGCCTAAAGAAGAACCTTATTGATTTTGAGGTCAAAAGGTCAAAGATCAAGGTCATAAATTCATAAATTCTGTCTGTTTTAACACTATCGTTTCCACGCGATATATCGCGAATTCTTTGAGCTTTTGCAATGAAATTTTACATAACAACTCCCTGTGGCCTAAGGAAGACCCCTATTGATTTTGAGGTCAAAAGGTCAAAGTTCAAGGTCATAAATTGATGAATTCCATCTGTGTGTAACACTTTCATTTCTGGGCAATATCTCAAGAAGCTTTCGAGCTTCTGCAATGAAATTTTATACCATTACTCCCTGTGGCCTCTCTTGCCCCTCTCAAAGTGTCCCGTCCAATTTTTTTAATTTATTGTATTAAAAGTCACTTGGCACTATTTGTAGCACTGGGGCATGTTATTATGTATAATACAGGTTGTCGGCAGACTTTATATTCTAAATACATTTATTCGAACTGTTTAGTAAAGGCTAAATTAGACAACATTTATTGTGTAAAATTTTGACAATATCGAACGTGAATATAAACATTATCTGTGACCTAATGTTTGCATTTAATTTGCTGCATAATCAAGTGCCTCCATGGTCTAGTGGTTATGATGCTTGCTTGGCAAGCGAGAGGCCCGGGTTCAAATCCCGGACGATCCTCTTTTTTATTTATTTATTTATTTTTTATTATTATTTTTTTTTTTGGATTTACTAAATGATACTATACAACATGTGAAATGAAAAAGTTATGACATCTAGCCTGTACAACCCCCCCCCCCACCCCCCCACCCCCGAACTGCGCATGCTCTTCTTTTTTCCCTAAGTGGGGGACACAAATTCTCTGAATTAGCTTGTTTTTTTTTTTCATTTTTTTTTTTTTTTGGAATTTACTAAATGATACTATTCAACATGTGAAGTGAAAAAGTTATGATGTCTGGCTTGTACAAACTCATAAAATCATTATTACACTAACAGTGTGATAAATATTTTATATAAAAAGAATCTTCTATACACATATTAAAGAATAAGCAATCAAATCTTTATATCCATATTGGCATTTTTTATTTGCTTCATTATACATGTATACATTAAATAAATAAGGGGGGGGGGGCCGATTCCCCCAAACTGCGCATGCTCTTCTTTTTTTTTCCCTAAGGGGGGGGGGGGACGAAATTCTCTGAATTAGCTTGTTTTAATGTAATTTACCTCAATATATCTTGATCCCTTTGATATCAAGAAGTTTTTTTATGGTCCCATCAAGTTTAAGATATTGAGGTTTGACTGTATATTCAGGCCTAGGGCAATCAAACTATGTTGATGCTTCTTGGAGGGAAGGTTTGTCGCAACCCAACATTAAGTTATTTATTTAAGTGTTGTTACAAATGACAAGATCATTGCTTGCAACTATGAATATGCATGAAAAGTTGTGTAGTTATTCTTGGTGTAGTTCCAAATGGGCATACCATGTAACCAGCAATACACTTTATTATAACAATAATATCTGATATATTATTGAAATGAAATGATAGGGCAAAAGAAATTAAGCACTAAACATTGAATCTGTTTTTACATATGCATAGGTTTTGTTGTTGTTCAAACTGTATTTTGATCTTTGCAGGGTAGGCTAGAAATTCTTAAGATTTGCACAAAAACCATGCCAATGAAAGATGCTGATTTGTCTGAACTTGCCATAAAGACTGAAAACTACACAGGAGCGGATCTAAAAAATCTCTGCCGAGAGGTATACTACGAGTACATGTATAAACATAGTAAAGATTTGTACAATTATATCACAGAATATAGACTAAATTGATAAACAAAAAATATTTATAGAGTTGCAAGAAGTTTTTGCAATATCACTGTCAGACAATAAAGTTGTGACTTTTATTGATAGGCTGCCTTGCTGGCATTGACAGAGAACTTGTCATCTGACGTCATTACTGGAGAGCACCTCAACACAGCCTTGTCTATAGTGAAGCCCTCAATCACCTCCTCTCTACTGACAAAATACAAACACTGTCCAAAGGAGAAAAAACTTATCATCTGACATCATCACAGAAGAGCACCTCAACACAGCCTTGTCTATAGTGAAGCCCTGAATCACCTCACTACTGACAAAATACAAACACTGTCTAAAGGCAAAAAAAAAAACTTCATCTGACATCATTGGGGAAGAGCACCTCAACACAGCCTTGTCTATAGTGAAGCCCCCAATCACCTGCTCTCTACTGACAAAATACACTGTCCAAACGAGAAAAAACTTCACATCTGACATTATCAGGGGAGAGCACCTCAACACAGCCTTGTCTGTAGTGAAGCCCTCAATCACCTCCTCTCTACTGACAAAATACAAACACTGTCCAAAGGAGAGAAAAAAACTTATCATCTGACATCATCAGGGGAGAACATCTCAACACAGCCTTCTCTAAAGTGAAGCCCTCAATCACCTCCTCTCAACTGATGAAATACAAACACCGTCTAAAGGAGAAAAAAACATCATCTGACATCATCAAGGGAGAGCACCTCAACACAGGATTGTCTATAGTGAAGCTCTCAATCACCTCCTCTCTACTGACAAAATACAAACATGGCCCAAAGGAGAAAAAAATTTCATCTTGTGAACATTTTGCTGAGCAATTAACGAATGTGAAAGAATTTTTTCTATGTTCAATGAATTAATTTCTTTTGAAAGTAATTTTTTATAACACACATAAATATTTATGAATTAAAAGAGCATGATATGAATTGCAGAAGTATATGAAACTTGCATGAGTCATTGGTGTCCATTACTTAGTTTAAGAATACTTTAATAAGCTCTACTAGTCATAGCCAGAAGTGTCCATTATCTTTCCTTAAGGAGTGTAAGATTCAAGTTTCTTCAAGTTGTAGCCCTAGGGTCTCGGATATAGCTGAGAAAGGAGGTTAAAGTTCTATAGGCAGATATGCCAACGATGACAAAGCATTATTTCCACAATTTGTCATTGACAATTATGCTTTTAATGCTTTCTTTACTCTTTGAACAAAATCTGGAATTTTTAGTTTCCCCAGACCAAAGTTTAGATTGTTCTTACCATGTTATCTGAAGCCATTATATATATAGACTACTGTACATGTATCAATATTTTTATGAAAATCTTTTAAAATATTAAGATTGTTGTTCTGTCAAAATGGGAAATAAAGGTGATGTCATTATGGTCTCAGTCTTGAATCTCGAGTCGATCTTTTCTTTATACTTAACACAGTGATTTTCATAATTTAGCAAGGATCCCTTATGAATTTGTGAAACAAAATGTGCTTCTAGTTGTGAAATCAATCAGAAAATGGGCAGCTTTTATCTCCATTTATTGAGTCCTTCTCAGAGGCTGCTGCGTGCTGGGCCTCAAACCCTTGATGGTTTATTACACTTGTCAATTAAAATTTAAAAGTGGTTGGCAGAGCAGAATATGAAAATGGTTTGAGAAAATTTTAAAATCATCTAAAGAACCACTGAGCCACAAAAACTGTAACAATTTCCCTATATAGTATATCGACATCGGTTTTGGTTGGAATTTCCAACTTAAAAAAAATATTACGTGGCACTAACGCTTCCGTAATTAACGGTCTGACACTGGTTTTAAAATTATGTATCAATTACTAATGAATTCTTCTTTGCATTCAAACAAGTATTAATGTCCAATTCAAACTGCCATTTGTATTGAATAAAATGAGTGTAAAATGTAGGCAAAAATCGACAGGTAGCGTGCGCAGTTCTTTCATCTACAAAATCATACACCCATATTTTTCTGCAGCTAAGTCTACGGAATTTTGAGAAAACCCTCGTACTTGAGGGATAACTTTGCTTGTTCCTTTCTTGATGAATATATCCAACGTTTTAATGCAAGACATACTGATTGCTTATTTTCATGTATATAGTGCTGGCGGTGGTTGTTGGGAGGGAAGTGGGGGGGGGGGTGTAAAGTGTATTTCAGTATTGTCAATTGGAAACAAAACTTGCAGTATGATATACATCTGAACGTATTCAAAGGAATGCATTTCTCTCCTTTTTTCTTCAATGTTTTTGGATTCTTGTGCAAAATAGGTAATATAACCATTTTGAATAGGTAATATCACCTTTTTTATTTTGAATTATAGTAGGTGAATCATGAAGTCACTTATCCGAATAGGCGATAAACACCTATTCAATTTATATATGAAATAAAATTGCTAATTTACTCCATACAGAAAGTAATCATTTCAGTCTTTCTGTACATTAATGATAACAGAGATTGATTGATTGATTATTGTTGTCGTTTTTGGCGGTACAAATAAATATTCAATGAACGGTTTTAGAAAAAAGTATCAGTAAACGTAAAGCAAATCTAACGGCAAGTAAAATTTATGTAACTTCACAATGATCCACGCGCGGATCTAGAGGGGGGGGGGGTTCGGGGGGTCCGGACCCCCTCCCCTGGAATTTGAAGAGTTTTTAAAGTATATACTGAAGCAAATTAAAAATGACTTTGGACCCCCCCCCCCCCCTGGAAAACGTGGACCCCACCACCACCATCACGAAATAGTTTTTTTTTACATTTGGGAAAGGGATTTTATGTATGTATGTATTTTTTTTTTTTTTTTTTTTTGGATCGATAACTCATGATGTTTTAAAATATTTCAGACTGTAACAAAGGGGAAATGACAGCCTGAATTTGCTATGGGACAATGAATAGACATATCCAGTTTGAAAAACTGGATATGTCTATTCATTGTCCCATTTTGTAAATAGGGTTGTCCTATGGACCATTTTTGTGTACATATATCTTACAAACAGAGCCCCCTTTTTATCAATGCAATGCCGAAATAGTGGAGGAAGTTCAAAAAGTAAAAAAAAAAATTATGAACTTTTTTTTTTTTAAGTTTGTTTAAGAGTAACAAAATCAAATCATCAATTTTGAATCAATGTTAAGGAAATGAAGGTTGTAAAGATTCATCCTTTAGTTTGTATTGAAGCTAGATTGTCTTTTAGGAATTGACCATTTAATTCATGTTGTAAGAACTCGAATTGGTAATATCACAAATTCAAAACGAATAGATGATATCATTATCAATAGGTTTTCATGCGCGGATCTGGGGGAGGGGGGGGGGGTCGGGGTAACATCCCCCCTGGAATTTGCAGAGTTATAAAAAGTATATACTGAAACAAATAAGAAAGATTATGGACCCCCCTCCCCCCCCTTAGAAAACTTGGACCCCACCATCACCACCACTGATGAAAAAAGCATAGGCACTCCCCAGCTTAATTGTTTAAAAAATGTATATCTACTTATACTATTTATAGTATAAGTAGAGATTCATTTTTAAACAATTAAGCTGGGGTGTCTATGGAAAAAAAGGTGTTTTTCACGTTTGGGAATTTACGCCTTTTTTCCTCATCAAGTAATTTTCGGAGTTTAATACGTTTGGGAAGGGAGTTTAGAAATTTTTTTTGGACTGGAGGGGACAACCCCCCCCCCCCCCCCCCCCCCGGAAAAAATCCTGGATCAGCCTGGGTTTTATCACCCTTTAGAATAGGTATTATCACCTATTCAATTCAAAAAAGGTGATATCACGTTTTAGAATACTGAGGTGATATCACCTATTTATTTCCAATAGGTGATACGTGTATCCCCAATTTAAAAAGGTGATAAGTCTTATCTCCTTTTCGAATAAGTGATATCTATTTAATTTGAATGAGTGAGCATCTATTTGAATGAAATACAAATACAAATACAAATATTTATTGGCACAAACACAATTACAATAATTGGCAAAGGCACAACACATTATAAGAATCATCAATTGTTCATACATAAATATACAATATTTTAGTATAGAATATGAGGCTATACATAATTATAAATCATACATCATTTGTATAATAATTATGTAATGCAATCATTTCTAGATACAAGACATTTTGTAATAAGTGAGTGTGTTATTTTCAGTATTTCTGGACAATGGCTATTAAAGCAAAGCTTAACTTTTTGAGTATAAGACATATTTGATATTTTTCCTTGAAAAAAAATCATCAAGTTCCTTTCAAAAGTTAACCTATGATTATTGTATTTATGGCAGCTGAATAGAAAATGAAATTCATCTTCAATCTCCCTTGTGTTGCAAATATTACAAAATCTTTTATCTGTGGGTATAGACAAATGTCTCCCTTTTTCTATGGCAAGGTTATGTGCACTAAGTCTCAACCTGCTAATAATTGATCTCTCTGTTTTCATTTTTAATATATCAGTGTATCCACAGCATTTGAAATTATTAAAAACAACTTGATAAAATTTTAGTTTTGATGAATTATGAATCTTTGCATATTCCTCTTGTAAGCATTGATCTGATATTCTTTGTTTTATGTTTCTCAGAAGTGATTTTATTGAATTTTCTTTTTTGGTAATGAATGAAAATCCTAACTTATTGAAAATTGAAAAAATATTTTTAGTCCATGAGTTTGTTTTGACTGTTGCTTTATAGATTTTAAATACTAAAGTATTCTTGGAAGTAATAAGATGGTTCCAAAATTTTATACTTGAAAAATGTATTCTTGTCCACAAGGGTTGTCTACCTAAATCTGCTCTGCAGGGAGCATTAGTAGTTTTACAATGTACTCCTAAAATTTCCTTAATAAACTTCATGTGAAATTTTTCAATTATAGAATTTTCACCAATGTTATTATAAATACCCCAGATCTCACAGCAATAAAGAAGAACTGGTGTTATAATTGAGTCAAAGAGTTTTTCCAAAAGTTTACATGGATTATCCAAACCAATGGTTTTCTTAATCTTAAAATAGGCTTTTCTGGCCTTTTCCATAAGTACTGACATAGCTAAGTTCAGATTTCCATTACATTTCAAGGTTAATCCAAGATAACAAAATTTTGATACTGTTTGAAGAACACTTCCATTATATGTAAACTCATTGATGCAAAATTTACCATTTGAGTTAAAAATAAGGACTTTAGACTTCTCAACATTGACCAGTAGTTTCCAATTAGAACAATATGTTTCAAGAATGTTCAAACAATTCTGTAACCCAGTTTTACTTTCAGATAATAAAACAATATCATCAGCATATAATAGACAATTTACAGAGATTTCACCAATTTGAACAGGATCACAATTGCCTGTTTTAAGTTCATCAATAATACCATTAATAAAAATGTTGAAGAGAGATGGGCTTAAGATATCACCTTGCTTAACACCACATTCAGATGTGAATGATTTACTGAGACCATTAGCAAACTTTATCTTGGTTTTTGTATTCTCATACATAGAAAATATAATATTGAACATATTGGTGTGTATATTGGATTTCAAAAGTTTATAATAAAGTCCAACCCTCCATATAGTGTCAAATGCTTTACGGAGATCGATAAAAGCTGCATAAACCTTTTGCTTTTTGTTTTTATAATAATCTGTTATAGTCTTAATTGTAAAAATATGATCTGATGTTCTGCTTTTTTCTTTGAAACCAATTTGATTTTCACTAATTAGTGATGCATCCTTGATAAAATCTAGCAATCTGAAATGAATAATCCTATTAAAAAGTTTTCCTAGGTTTGATGTAATGGATATACCTCTGTAATTACAAGGATCAAGTTTGTTACCCGATTTATGTAAGAGTACCAGAATACTTTCATTCCATAAAGTAGGAAATTGCCCTGAGTTCAAAATAAAGTTGAACAGTTTTTGTAGTAATATTCGATAATATTGATATCACTGAAGAAATGGCAATAAACACCAAAACGGCGCCTCGTAGGTAGAGAGGAAAACACCCTAAGATCTTCAGAGTTTAATAGTAAGGTAAGCAAACTATGAGAATGGGCTACCTGGAAAAAATATGGACATCTAGTAAAGCGCAAATCGGAACTATTTTTTTTGTATCGTTTTTGGTTTTGTAGTTACTCTTCTCTTTAATTTTCCGGTGTTTTAATTTGACGTCGACGTTTGGCTGGCCTTCATTATTTTGAAGAAAGGAACAATATCACAAGGTTCAAAATGGTTTTTAAAAGAGTGAAAAACTTTATATCGTACTGGTATCTACAATATCTTTTGGCAACATCTGTATACATGTTGGAGCCACTGGAAAGGAGAGTCTTTAGTATCCTTTTTTCGCCTGTGTTCCTGAATCTGTGACTCAAATTTGTAAAACCATGATCTGAAATTTTATTTAAGTTGCAAAAAAAAAAAACACTAGATCGAAAAAACACCACAATACAACTAAAGGGGTGGGGTTTTTTTTGGGGGGGGCGGGGGGTGACAGGAGGTTGTATTTTTCAATTCAAGGCTTTATTTTCAAGTTATTGATAAAAAATTTCATGTGCCAATGTTAAATTAAACGGACAAAGTTTAGTTTTTTTTAAAGGGTTATTATTTTACTTAAACAAGATACTATCTGTATGAAAGGACATGTTTGAGGAAATGGCAATACTTTACACACATCTTTTGGGCATTGAAAGTGAGTTTTTATCCTGAAGGCTGAATGATCCTTAACTGAATTTTCAGATTGCTTGTTGATTATTGTGCTGGCAATGTTTATGTATACAAGTTATGTTTTCCTACCGGGCCATGCCAGAATGCTTATTTATTTCATAAATACATATATACTGGGAGGGAATCCGTCAGAAGCAGGTGTTTAGGGAACAGGTGGACAAAAAAGGGGAGAAAGCCTCAAAGGAGAAATTAAAGAAGGACACAAAGTGATCTCAAAGGTTGTTTTTCCTAATGAAGATGATGCCGGTGCAATGGTTACCAAAGAAACATTTTGAAATTAAGACATGTATGCTTACTTAAGTGAGTTTAGTATATTGTCATCTTCACCCTCATTTGAACCAAATTGTTGTGTATACATATGTTTATTCTAGAGAAGACACTTATAATAAAGAAAAAATATATATATACTTAAGGTTTGTAAAGATTTGCCTGTGACTCATCATTTAATTTGTCATCTTTTATTCATTGTTTAATGTATTTTTATGGACCTATTTTGGCTTTTAATATGTTGTACACATAATCTGTACCAAATGTCAATGACTCGAGGCAATTTTGGAAGCAGGAAAAATTGTTTTAAAGGCATGTTAATGCTGCTCTTGACAACATTTTATTTTTTTTTATATGTCCTTAGCTTGCCACGAACACACAAACGATTAATTTTGTTCCCAAGGTGTTAATTACACATTCTTCACTTGTGTCATAGGAAAATTCTACGCAATGATGCAGCTTCCATTATGTTGATACATGGGAAAAAAATTTAAAATTGATTTATAGGGTTTTAATGTTTAAATATTTTTGTTATCTGTTATATTTTCAATACTAAGGCCACTAGTTCTTTCACCTTTTGCAGTAAACAACCTCTGATATACATGTAATTAGTACTTGTACGTGTGTTTTACAGCTGTTTTACTTGTTTAAGTGACGCAGTTAGTTTGGAGGATAAAGACTTATCACATTGATGTATTTTGATTTAATTTAAACTGGTTTTTTTTATGTATAAGGCATGGGATTGAAAAGAGTGAAACTAATCAATGTACCCTTAATATGATGGGTTGACATGTGCCATTTTGTAATTCAAAGTTCCATGTAACACTATTTTCTATTGGTTTTGTTGGATGTTCTATTCATAAAATAGTATGATTTAGCCTAAATATAAAAGAAGATGGGTGAACAAGCCAAGAAAAATGCCTAAGGTTCAACAAATAAGAACACAATTTTCTCATTTGTTTAACCGGAAAAATAGTTAACATTTATGTATATTTTATCTAAAATCTCCACAGTCTGCAACAGTGTCACAAATGTTAAAATTATTCATTTATGAAATAGAATGCACACACCAAAGAGAGCATGCAAAAATAACAACTTCTCTTCTGTAACATAGTGTTCTATATAAGATGTTTAATTTTTTTTTTTTTTTTTTTTTGCTTAACACCCACTCAACCTTAAAAATAGACTTTTATGACACAACATTCGTATCTTTTTGAGAATTTGAGGAATATTTGAAATCCAGTTATTCAGAGGTTATATCACAAACAAGATTTAAATACCATTACCTGCTATGAGATGTGTTATCATGTCAGTTTCTAAAACTAGAAACTGATCATCTGGAATCTTATCACTTGGTTTCAAATTCTGAATTTTTTGAACCATGGAATAATTTTTCCAAGAAATTTTTTCCATATAAAACTTTTTTATCATAATTTCATTCCTACAATAGGAACGTTTTTTTTTTTAAATAAGTTTTACAAATTGAAGCTGTAGGCATTTTGCACGCCTTGTTTACCCATCTTCTTTGTTAAGAACTTCCAGAAGTCTGATATTAATTTTTTCCCCCATTTTTTTTTTTTGTAAAATAATTTTAACGTTTGATTTTAGCAAAATGTCCATAAATCATTTGTATAAATTAAATAGGCCAGAGTCAATTGCTTGCCATTAAAGACTGTTAATTATTATATTGTCTTTATTGTAAAAGGTGCAAAGAGTTAATGAACACTGATAAAATTTTAAATACATGTACGACTGTTTAATAACTTTGCATAGTAAAAATGTAAATATTGCAGTATTGAAATTGAGTTTTGTTGTCAGTTTTCGAAATTTCCTCATATGCTTTCACTTGTAATTTAAAAACAATGGAGACTGTCACCACTTGGCAAACCTCAGATGATTTGATAACTAGAAAGCCCCGGGTGTCCGCACTTCCGGAAAACCGGTTGAATAATGTACCTCCAGAACTTTCGACTGGTTCTGTACATCCTAAAATCCTTGGCTTATTCTGTACTCCGGACTATATATGCAGATGCCTAGTGAATTTTGAAAACGTGTAGACATTGCTTCTGTTGTATTTTGACTGTTATGAAAAAGCTTTCATGACTGTTAAATATGGCTTTTGTCTATCCTTTTTAACGGGTACTTTTACGGGATATAACATATGACTTCAACCTTAGCATTGCTCAAAATCTTGAACCATAGTATGAGTTAGGGACGAAAAAGAAGGTTGAATACACGTCAGATTCACTTTAAGACTTGCTCTTTAATCAAACATCCGATATTTTTTTCAGCTAGCAAATGCTATACTTTGATTTAAATGAATTTTAATAAAAACTGTTACATTAGTAGTTTGCACAAAGATATACAATTTCTCTCTCTCTCTCTCTCTCTATATATATACATGTATATCGGATTTTGATCTCGACGAATGTTTAAGCCATGATTTACTAAAAATAGTTTTTATGAAATTTTTCAAAAGGCTCCTCTTCCTATTTAACTTTATTTAAGTAGACTACAGACACGTAGAATCGTTTTTGAAAAAAAAAAAACTCTTACGTAACACTTCAAGTAAGATAATCCTCATTTTAATACCAAAGCTTTGACGAAAACCCCTTTTCCATTCATTAAAAATTGGGACTGATTTGACCTACATACATGTATGTGTATTATCGTTCATTGATTTTTACTTGATATATATTTTTATAGTCCTGTACTCAGTACTTAATTTCAAATAAAAATCGGTGAACAACAGTACTATACGCTAGTTAAAACAATTCTGCACTTTAAATTGCTATGTCCACCCATGCATTTTTCGATTTGGTCCACTTGGAGACAATAACAGATCAATACACACAAGCGTGTACCTGTACGGTAAACTAGGTGTTCACTTATACAGCACAACGCCCCACCAAAAGGAAACATGGCCAACAAATACAAGACAGATTCAGTAAGTCGTTCAAGTTACGGAATCCATTTACACGTGAAATTGCCAAGAAATAGAACCTTGTCAATTGTACTTCTAGTGTTGCTATATGGATTTTATTTAATCGTTTTTTCTGCAGGATTTTGCTGACTTGAATGATGTTGGGATGAACTTTGGAGAGGATGACGATGCTGGAGAATTTAAGTACGAAAAGCTGACAGCAGAACAACTGAAATGTAAGTGAATTTACTTAACTGTCCATTATTTACTTAACTATTTACTAAACCATACTTATAACAGAGCATGCACCTTTCATTACTTTATGTACATGGTTTTAACGGTGTTTAGAATTTAAATTTGCTGAACATTATTGGAATAAATATTTAAATCATTATTTTATCTCCAGTTGGAATGTTTGCTGTCGGAAAGTTTTATAATATGTTCGTATCGGGAACTACGATACAAACAATTAAAGCTCATAGAAACTGGATATTTCCATTGCAATGCTTTTCAATTCAAACTCTTTATCTGTTTATATATTTATCTATTTAAACGCTTTATCTATTTACTGGTTAAACAAGAAGACGAGAAATAATTTTCTCTATATCAATGTTTCTTGGCAAGTTCAATATACAAGTATAATTTAAATTAATTAATTTTGCAATACATATTTAGTTTTGGTTAACTTGTGACGTACAATTATTTTTTACACATTTTTTCATCATGGAAATGATCGCGTCGGAAAAGGATGTCATCGAATGCTGTACAGTAGAGTCGTTCACTCAACTGAACTTTAATCTTTTCACCGTACTAAATGCAAACTTTTTAGAAGTTTTTGTAAAAGAATCACGGGATTAGAATGGAAACATATTGAGAAAGTTCATTCTAAGGAATATCCAATAACTTCATCCACAAAAACCAATAGATTTTTTTTTAACTTTAAGGACGTGTTCCAAAGTCTAAAGAATTGTCAATCTGATATTATACAATTACTGCTGTTTTTGAGGTCAGTACGATGATTTAGACATCCGAGGAGTACAATATTCACCGATCCCGAAGGGCGAAGTGAATATTGTACTTCGAAGTTAGCTTAATCATCGTATTGACCAAAAAATGCAATAATTGTTTTATTATATTATTCAATGATAAAATGACACAAACTAGTTAAGCAATTCATTTGCATTAACTGAAGTACTAGCCAAACATAATGAGAGAAACGGCGGTGTAAACATTGACATAACTAGTTTATTAATTTGGAATCTAGGTGCAATGTAAAAAAAAAAAAAAAGACACGTATAAAGGATCGATTTTGAAAAGGGAGGGGGCATCATAAAGGGAAAAAATTGACAACTTACCAGAAAAAAAAATTGACTATCCCCCCCCCCCCCCCCACACACACAAAAGAGAAGAATTCTCCCCTAAATCAAAATTTATTTGGTGGGATGTTTTAAGGTTCATAAATTTTTATTCTTGAAATTTAAATTAAAATTTTTTGTTCTCAAAAAGGGGTGGGAAGAGGTGCAGACCCTTAACCCCCCCCCCCCCCCCCCCCACACACACACACACCTCATCCAGAATCCTATGTACCTTAATGTTACGATCTTATGAGTGGGAGTAAGATCAGGTGCAAATAAAATTACTTTCCAAAACTATTTGTATCAATTTGGAATTTCCCAATCTATTTTTTGTCTTGAATACAAAGTATAGTATTTTTCCTTCAATGTTGGATTTCAGCCAATCAGAGAGATAGGAATTATTCAATCAAATAATATTTTTTTTATACTAATGTAGGTTGGTCAATAATTAAAATGTCTATAAATATATTTCCCGATATATACGCAAGAGTCCACTTTTTCTACAAAGAACGACATTGACAGTTTCTTTTCTTTTTGCTTTGAAATCTACATTTTTATTTATTTATTGGGGGAGACCATTTTGACGATGTAATTCCAATGTCTCTTTTGCTGACGGTCTTTGAAAGTAGAAAACCTAGTACTTTTGAACTTCCCGTTTCTTTACACTAATTTCAGACTTCCCTTTCTTTATCCGTTGGTTTGATACAAGTGGCAGTTTACTTGTCTTTATGTTCTGTAAAATTTTTCTTTGATGACGTGTTTGTTTCCTGTCTTATAATGTGGAATTCCCTTTTCTCTGCTTAGGTTTTAGAAAATATCTGCAATAATTGTGACCATCAATCTTGTATGTTTGGGTGGTTGCAACTATAGCTTGAGGCTAAGGGATATTCAACAGAAAAATGGATGGGGCTTATTTGTGCGACAAATATTAGTTTAATTGACATTATAAGTATTGTGCTTTCTGAGCGAATTTTAAAACGTATGAGTTGGACGAAATTTAATGAGATTCCTGAATATTTTTATACCCGCCAAATATATAATAATAATTGAAAAGACAAGTGATTTGTATAATCACCGACCTAAGCTAAGATAGGCAGCTGCAGTCCTCCATTAGAGAATCGTCGACAACAAAGTTTAAAATTGATAAAATCCCCGTTTCTTATGAATCTCGTATTGCAAAATAAAAAAAATCCACAATATCACTTAGATTTTGCCATGTCAACGATTGCAGCAATACACTGTAGCGTGAGAGGGTGGGGTGTGTAATCGAAGTTCTTTTTTTTTTTTTTGGTTCATCATTAGAATAATTTGGAATTATCACATCAATACCAAATCGGCAATGTCTATCCGTAACCTTAAATTAGAATTCTCAGTGCGCATATCAGATATACGCCAAATAAATTATTCAGACCAATGCTGAACATAATTGTTGCAATTACTCTACTTCTGTAGTGTGTAAAGACTGTTTCGAGTTCTTCGACAAAGACCAGAGTGGAGCAATAGACAAGTCGGAACTTATAACGGTGATGAGAGCGGTGGGACTTAATCCATCTAAAAAAGATGTGAACAAATTGATTACAGAAGTAGCAGGAAAAGGTAATATATTAAAGGTCACATAGAATTCTTGTAGCATAAGCCAGCCAGGTAACTCCAAAAATGGATCGAGAGTCCAAACAAAACGAGTAAAAAATCCCTCACATTTCTCAGCAATAGGGACTTAATCATTTCAAAAGAATACTCAATATCAAAATTATATGCTAACTAGAATGTAAAGATGAAAAATCAATTAATCGAGATGGTCTAAAATAAGAATTCCTGGTCAGTGAAAAATGTATGTGGATACTTGTCTCTGATCTATATACTTCGTTTAATGGTATGATACTGTTGAAATTACCAGTCTGATTAAAGTAAAAGGTAGAAAGGTTAAATAATAATACATATGCACTGTGTTCCTGTTTCAGGAGAAGACACCATTTCGTGGCCATTGTTTGAAGAAATGCTCAGTAGTTCCTGGAAGTCTGTGAAACAGAGCAAATTAGAAATGTTGGCATCTTTTCACATATTTGACATAAATAAAGACGGTTTCGTAGATGCTTCAGAGTTGAAAAAAGTTTTGACAACTTCCGGAGAGGTTCTAACTGAAGAAGAAGCCGCATATCTTCTTAAAGCAGCTGACATTAATGGAGACGGAAAGATAGATTACAAAGGTACATAATAATTACGTGTAACATTTGATTGATTAGTTGTTTAATACCGAGTCAACAGTATTTCAGCCATATTTCGGCGGACGTGCGACATTTGAATTGAATGTCCATTACACTGATCAGAATTTAAGTTACATATTTTGTTATGCTTTCAGAATTTGTGAACATGATGTGCAATTTTTGATGAACCGTAGCATCTTAGATAATGAAGTTCGTCTAGCATCAGTGTAAATGTGGAACAAAGATGATATTCAGCAGGAGTTCTGGATATTTCTATTTAGAGAATCTAAGGAAGAAAGGACCCTCTGCTCATCAAATTAATTCTTTTTAGTACTTGTGAAAAAAGACAGGAATAAAAGTGAAATGCAGGCAAATGTAGTGTATGTATACCATACTACCATGTAGTAAATGTATACACACTTTGAAGCACACGAATACGAACGGTGATAATCTTTTAAGTTTTACTTTTCTTGGCTTTCATAACTTCGGTACTAAATATGGCACTCTTTCACTTAAAGGTAATATTTGATTTGTTGATCTTACCTTTACAATATACATTTATTGACTGCCTTCGAGAGTAAAATGAGTTTTGTCGGACGCAAGAACACTTTGGTTTGAAGGGTCAACAAAATGCAGTTTGTCCAGAACACTGTCTATAAATGTTTTGTGATATTTTTTCTTTAACATATCTTGTGCTTGCTTCATGTTAGTGATAATTGATAAGATAAAGCTGATCCCGCTAACATTGTGACGAAAAAACGTCACAGCGGTCCAATATCTCATCCACAGGTCCAATATCTTACTCAGCCTAACTATTAGGCTGATTTTATCATTGAACACCCCCCACCCCATCCCAGTTGTTCTATAGCAAACATGCATTATTGAGTTTGTCTGCTTATCAAGATTATACAAAAAAGCAAAAGAAAACTAAGACCATATAGTGCTATATTTGCTCATGTACATTGTTGGTTACAATCCCAGTTCACTGCTGGTTGAGTTGGTTGATGATTGTTTAAAATATTGACCCTTATATCTTTACCTACAAGCCATACAAGCTGATATAGAAGTAGTACAATACACTTGTATATGACTTTGAAATGTTTATTCTGAAAACATATATAAATGGATTAAATATATAAAGCTTTTGTTGTGCTATCTTTAATTTAGGGTAGAAATGATCAGCTGGCTTTTCAGGAGATTGGCCCAGGAAATATAAAAATCATTTATCAGTGCAAAGCTTCAGTGGTTCAGTTTTTCTTTAGTTTAGAGGGTGTCTAATTGGTAAAATACAGTGAAAAATTTACAGCTTATCTAAGCCAGATTCTGCAAATTTATCTTACACCCCAGTTTATATGTAATTTGATCTTTAAGGTAAAATGTTGAAATAAAGGTTAAAAAAACACTGATATATATTTTTACAAAGAAACAAATGCATATTTATTGTACCCAATTTACTGTGTAACAGTATTTATTTGTCAATATTTGATAAATACTACATGTACATAACACAAAGTTGCCCCTTGATTTAGCCCGGAACAAGTAACATACAGGTATATCTCTTTAAAAATGAAAAGGTATTTCATTAATTATGCACCAAGTACAATGTATCTAAAAATAAAGCAACTAATAATTTTAATGTCGCACTTCCCACCTGAAGACGACACAGCCCTATGCACTAGGAGGATTAAATATGGCAGGGTTTACTGGAAATCCAGTCACTTTTTCAATGGCTTTATTTTTATCCTCCTCAGACATTTCTTCATAGTGAGAAAATTCCATATTTAAGGATGATTGTCCATGTGTGATCTTTCTGATGGAATTTGAATACTCCCTGAGCTCGGCCAGGGGAACGGTGGCCTGAATGACCTTGGTGTTGTCCTTGGGATTCTGGTGAACATGTTCAATTTTGGTACGCCTGCTGGCTAAATCATGTAGGACTACTGATGAGAAGTCAGGATCTGTAATGATCTAATAATAAAAAACCCCCATTAATTGAGTATGTTCACATTAAGTAACAAGACTTAAAAAGAACCAGGTATACATGTTATACATGTACCTTTAACCCCCACCCCCACCCCCCACACCCACACACAATATTGTATATAAGAAAACTAATCTATAAATTTTGTAACTGTTATTTAATAATAAAATATTTTTGAATATAGGCACACATTTATCGAAGATTTTCTACAAGCAGTGTCACACTGCATATCCTGACAAAAAATGTTCAGTCTCAGTTCAAGATGACAATAACCCAATCATGAATAAGTCTAATTGAAGTTAAATAAATATATATAGACAAAGAAATTTCATTTTAAGTTTTCCTCATTATGGCCAAAAAAAGTCTCTGACTAGACTGTAGCTCTACTGGTTTTTAATTAATTAATGAAGGTAGAGAAAGGTAGCACTTAAACTGAAAGTTTGGCAACAGCAATAAATAAAATAATGATCCTTGATTTATTCTCTTTCAAGTTTAATTGCAATTGGACAATAACTATTGTAGGGAGTAGCGTTTTGCAAGAATTTCACAAACATTTTTAATCATCCGTCCATTCATCTGTCTAGCTGTCGTTCTCTCTGTCCATGCAATTGTCTGTCTGTCTGTAAACAATTTTTCAAAATGCTACTCCTCCTACAGTTTTGGTCCAATTTCAATATAAATTCTTACACAAATAGACTACACTAAGATACATGATTCTGTGTATTTGTTTTTGATTTTGATGAACAGTGTTAATGTTGCCATGTTTTTTAAAAATAGAAATTTCTGTGAAATTCTTTTAAAATGCTACTTCTCTAACAGTTTTAATATGATTTTAATGAAATTTTTCATACAAGTAGAAAACACTTAGATACATAATACTGTATAATGATTTTGAATTCAATGAACAGTGTTGCCAAGGTTACTAAAAATAGAAATTTCTGTGAAATTCTTTCAAAAAGCTACTCCTCTGACAGTTTTAATCTGATTGTAATTAAACTTGCCTCATTAAGAGAGAATGCAAATGCATATACCAAATGCTGTCTGAGACAGCAGTCTATAAGAAATAAAACATGCAAAGCCATGTATTTCAATGAAAATCTCGTTTGGAAACATGCAGTTGATCTTTGGTATCTCAGACATCAATATCTCAAATATCATGGTTATGTTGAAGTAAGTTGTAAGTTTCACTCTTTCATTTTGTATTTTAACCTTGATATCTTGAATCTTAGGATATCAGTATCTTGTCTTTTTTCACGGTCCAATCAAGTTCAAGAAAGAGGATTGAGTGTATGTTTTAAATAAAAATAAGTTTGGTTCATTTAACTGTTGGTATTACCTCTAGCTTCATTATGGGTTCCATTAGATGGAGTATGGCTTTCTTCAGGGCATTATGGAGACACATTGAGGCAGCGGCCGCCGCCACATTAGGAGATGTATCCCGGGACAACTCCACACTGTGGAGAACGACTTCTACATTTATCACAGGAAAATTCAATATTGGACCTACAAAGAAGGAAAACTATATTTAAAAAAAAACATATAACAAAATTTTGTTTCATCCATTTAGCAATTCCTCAAATCTTCATCAGCAATATAAAATGTTAATTAATCTTTAAACAAAGAAAAACAAATTACTGTGAAATCACTAATTATCGTGGGGAGGGGGGTAATTTTCCTTGTTTTCAAGGTATGAAGAGACCCATGAATTTATGACCACCACAAAATGTAAAATCGTATATGCATTACTACGAAACATTCTCCAACCACAAAATCAAATCCCCATAATTTCAAATCAATATTTTTTCCTCAAACTTCAAAAATTTGACCCCACAAAAATATGTGATTTTACAGTAATCATTTATTCGTCTATATCTCTCGAGTCTTCATTGTGTACATATCTACAGAATTAATATCCATTTTGAATGGTTTATTTGGTGATGCACACTAAATGAAACCATTGCTGTATTTTTAGCTCACCTGAGCCAAAGGCTCAAGTGAGCTTTCCTGATCGAAATTTGTCCATTATCTGTCGTCGTCGTTGTTGAAAATTTTTCACAATTTCATCTTCTTCTCCAGAACTACTGGGCCAATTTCAACCAAATTTGGCACAGAGTATCCTTGGGTAATGGGGACTCAAGTTTCTTTAAATGAAGGGCCACATCCTCTTTCAAGGAGAGATAATTACAAATTAGTGAAAAATTAATGGCATCTTGTAAAAATCTTCTTCTCAAGAACCACTGGGCCAGGAAAGATGAAACTCAAGTGGAATCACTCTCAGGTAGTGTAGATTTAACTTTGTTCAAATCAAGACCCCCGGGGGTAGGGTGGGGACACAATGGGAGATCAAAGTTTTACATAGGAACATATAGCAAAAATCTTTAAAAATCTTCCTCTTAAGAACAGCAAAACCATGATTGGTCATATTTATATGGAAGCATTCTCAAGTGGTGTACATTCAGTTTTGATCAAATCATGACCCAAAGGGGTAGGGTGGGGCCACAATGGACGATCAAAAATTTACATAGGAATGTATATAAAATTTTTTTAAAAAACTTCTTCTCAAGAACAGCAAAGCCATGATTGGTCATATTTATGTGGAAGCATCCTCAGGTGGTGTAGATTCAAATTTGTTCAAATCATGACGCCCTGGGGTAGGGTGGGGCCACAACAGACCGTCAAAGTTTTACATAGGAGTATATAGGAAATCTTTTTTTTAAAAATCTTCTTCTCAAGAACAGGAAAGCCATAATTGGTCATATTAATATGGAAGCATCCTCAGGTGATATAGATTCAAGTTTGTTCAAATCATGACCCCTGAGGGTAGGGTGGGGCCACACTGGATGATCAAAGTTTTACATAGTAATATATAGCAAAAATCTTCTCAAGAACAGCAAAGCCATGATTGGTTATTAACTATTTGGAAGTATCCTAAGGTAGTGTAGATTCATGTATGAAAAAAAATCATGATCCCCTGGGGATACGGTGGGGCCACAATTGATGATTAAAGTTATGCATAGGAATACATAGGAATTTTTTAAAAAAATCTTCTCAACAACAGCAAAGTTATGATTGGTCATAATTATATGGAAGCATCCTCAGATAGTGTAGATTCAGATTTGTTCAAACTGTGACCCCGGGGGTAGGGTGGGACCATAATGGAAGTTCAAACTTGTAGGAAAAAAAGTCACAGACAAAGAAATATATAAGCATCTTTAGTTAGTTTAGATTCAGTTTTGTTCAAATCATACCTCACCCCCCATCCCTTTTTAGGGTGTAAGTCAGGACCACTTATGCATTAAAGCTTTTCAATACTGAACTGATTTTTGCCTTTTTCATAGCCAAAGTGCTCAGGTGAGTGATGTGGCCCATGGACCTCTTGTTTTCTTGGTTATCTTTCTTATTTCTTTAAAGAACAAGTAGAGCTTTTTCAAAAAGCTTACCGTCTTTAGCAACAACCTTAAACAGTAAACTGACCTAAACCTATCAGGCCATATAATTCTTGAAAATTACTTGGCTTTGTATTTCTTCATAATTTTTTTTCTGACATAAACCCTACCAAGTGAAAAGTTAACAGATGTTTGACTGTCTCCGTAAACTTCGACTCTGCTTCCGAGATCATTCGGCAAACCTCAGCTGATTCCATCCCCTTTGTGATATGTAGATGAGGTACGAATCGGCCGAGGTGTTGCCGAGTGCTGCCGAGATTAGAAAGACCGTGAAAAACAAAGGGAAAAAGATACATACAAGCTGTAAAACTTGCATGCAATAAAGATCAATTCTGTTAAGAATGAAAATATAGAATTTGGGGGGGGGGGGGGGGGGGTAATTGCTTTAAAAAAAACTAGCATGTTATTTCGAATTAATTACTGCCAATTTCCACTGTTCGTTTTGTCATATTTTTTTACGATTGAAAATCTTGAAAAAATGTTAAGTCGTACGAAAATTAGATCATCAGAAAATTATCTCCCTTGCCTTGAACAGCATTTCAACCAATGAAATAATTGAAAATTTTTTCATCATGCAATTTCTACCAATCACAAAAGAGAGGAAGTGCATAGTCCGAAGACTGTAAAATACTTCAACTCTGTATACCGTCTTCCGAGGAAGACGGTAAATAAATTTGAATTTTATAAATTCATTTACTGTAAAACAAATTTCATCTTATTTTCATGTATTTCATAGTTCAGTTGAGTGTATTTAGTACCGGTAATCACATTTGTATTGTAATACATTAAATATGTAGATAACAAACAGTATTCAAGCTCAAAAGTCCATTGAAACAATACAGATTGGGAGCAGAGCAATTACAGACCTCTAAAATGTACATGTATTTTCATTGATAGAAAAATTGACTGAAACTTTTCACAAGTAAATGTATATGCTTATTCATATGCATATCTTCCACTTAGCAAATGCAAACTGTAGCATCTGCATAAACAATATCCAAAAAATGTAATCATTCCTGTAAATAGCATATAAAAAATCTATGAAAATTAGCTCGACTTAGAAAACCCATACCATAAGACAAAGCTGTTTTGATTCCATTCTCCATTGCAGACTTGTACTCCTTCCTAAACCTAGGAGATGTTATAAATGTCTTCTCATTAGTATGTGGCTTATACGATATGACCTTCTTCCCACTCTGTTGTTCACTTGGCTGTACTGTCATGGCTACAGTGACATGCTGTTTTTTCCCTCCGATTACACTATCCAAGGTCTCGGTGTGAGTGACTGGGTCATCAATGGTCTCCTTATAGGCGATCTGTAGTGGACCCATGTATACGTCTATCTTGTATTCTGATAATAATCTGTGTTTAACGACCTCTAAATGCAATTCTCCCATTCCAGACAGAATGGTCTGTCCAGTCTCTTGGTTCACTTCTACCTACAAATTACAAAAATAATGGATAGGGCCATCATTAAAAATATCTTTGTTTCCCCTAACCCGACCCAAAAATCTCAAGTTGGGTAGGTAGGTAGGCAAATATTTTTTTTTTTGACAGCAGCTTTGAAAATACATTCTTCAAATGAAATGGAATGATACCTTTTCATTAGGATGAAATTTGCAGAATTATTTACAACTCATGCTCCCATAAACATGGGATTATTGATGAACTGTTTATAAGATCAAAACTCAAATTGAATAAAATGCAGTGAAATTGATTGGTTTGTTCACAAGGTGGGTCCCTTGTCTGCTCACGAGGGGTATCATGTGGAGGGCCTATATGGGCCTAAGCACTTAATTTTAAGACAGATTGGTAAATACAACCGAAACACGCTTAATAGGTCATTGTATATTTTATTTTATTAAAAAAAGTATTTCAAAGAGTGTAGGATTCTTATATGCTAAAGGCATAAGGTTGAGATATGTCGTCTTTACTTTTAAAACATGAACTAACCCTCCGTAACCGAGACATGCTGTGGGCGCCATTTTGTTTCCAACAAACACATGAAAATCATAGTCAAGAACAAAATCAGTCGTTCTGATAAAAACGGATTTTGATGGAATTCTATTTTATAAAAGTTGATAAACATAAAAAAAATTATTGGAATAATCTTATGAAAAAAACTTTCCAGTCGGCGCATTTTAATTGGGTCGGTCACGTTAGGGGAAACAAAGGTATTTTTTATTTTGGCCTAGCTTGTTAGCCTTATTCAGACAACATCATTCTGAACTAACCTGTCTAGATATTTGAAAGGACAAAATACTAATTCATACTTTGTATCCTTAAAAGCTTTGTGTAATGTGATATAAAACTTTGCTCTTTTCTTTATAAGCTCCATATCATAAAAAAATTGCTCTTACAAAATGTTTTTCAGTAGCTGAAATGTGAATAATTGGCATTCATATTGAATAAGGCATTTTTACAGATTTTTATTTCTAGAACCCAGTGGTGTAGTCATACTAAAAGATGTCTGACATTATTGATATCCATGATTATAAGAATTGATGGATACATCCAATATAAGCATTGAGGATATATCAAATATCAGTATTGAGGACATAACCTTCACATACACAGTCAAACCTTGTTAAAATTGATGGGACCAGTAAAAACTTAAAGATATCTGAGAATTCAAGATATTCAGATTGAAATTCAAAATAGAAGAAAAAAAGGGTTGGAACTGCCAAATATCCATGGTATTCAAGATATTGATGTTCGAGATACCAAAGTTCATCTGTATTTTTATGTCATTTTACCTTGAGACTTGGGTCCTCTCTTTGAAGACATTCCAAGGCCAAATCAAGGTCTTTCTGATACGCCATTGATGGTGGCTCCACTGAGCAGAAGAAAACAGGAGATGGCACCTGTAGACCAGCCAGCACCACATCATGGTTCAGGTCATCATCATGGCTATCATCGTGTAAATCTACCTCATCTTCATGGTGCCTGTGTTCCCTTAGAATGGGTTTTATTTTAGCTAATCCTTCTTTGGAAGTAATAGTGTCACCAGTTCTGGTCTTAATTTAGAAAAAAAAAATTAAAGTAATTTCATAAAAGTGTTAAATTCATTTTTTATCATATTTCAAAAATGTGAAAATTAATTTTAATATCCAATGATATATCCAATGATAAAATAATTTCTTTCACCAAGACAACAATTCACGACTGAATCCCCTACATTGTATCTTTGTGCCTGTTACCATTTTCAATAATTTTTTTTAATATATTTGCAAAATCTTACCTCTTTGAGACCAGACACACAAACAATATCCCCAGGGTGTGCTGCTGATATGTTGTGATACTCATTGGCCAAAATTCTAGATAGTGTCTTCACTTTCTCATGACAATTTCTATTTATATTGTGTACATCACTCCTTTGATGCAAACTTCCTGAGTAAATCCTAAAGAAGGTCTGAGGCATTTTTTGCTGATTATGGATAGTTTTAAATGCAAATGCACAGAGTTCTGATCCATAATACTGCAAAAATGGAAATTCTCTATCATTTGGACAGGGTAGATAGTCATATATGGCATCCATTAAGAGCTGAACACCTTTGTTTTTTAAGGAAGATCCACACATAACTGGGGTAAGCTGTCTTTTAACAGTGGCATTCCTTAAAGCCTTCCTTACTAATTCTGGTTTGATTTTGTCCATACTTGTTTCTAACAGAACTTCATCTGCAATTTTTTCATCTGTGTCACTTAATCGACCAATAAGATTTGTCCTTTCCTTTACTGCATACTCCCAAAACTTACCGTCTTCTTTCTCTGTTAAAGGTATTACTGAAAACTTCCTCCCATCTGTAGATTTTGCCAGGTCCCATTCGTATTTCACCATATCAACTATGTCCACTAGTCCTTTGAATTTTTGTAAGCTTTCACCATAAGGAAAATTGATAAGAAATGGATCAATGTGTAATTTCTGTCTAATGGATTCTAAGCAGAGCTCAACACTGACCCCCAATTTGTCCAATTTATTGAGGTAGATGATGGAGGGGATGTCATGTTTTGTAGCTTGTTTCCACACAGTGACAGTCTGGGCTTCAACACCTACCAAAAACAAAAGATGCAGCCTCTTGAGAATTCATTAAAAAAAACGACATAATAGTATCAAAAAGATGTGTGGGAAACAATCAAGATTTTTGATAATTTTTCTTTAATAGTCTCATGTTCTTACGGTCTGATAAGTAAGAATATTTATCAAGTTGTGGGAGGAGAGTAATTAGAAAATTGGTTGAAATACAATGAATTAATTTTACTCATTTAAAACCCTAATAATACATTTATGAGCACATGTGCTTTATATGTTGACTAAGTTACATTACCAGCAGAGGCATCCAGAATGGTGACAGCTCCATCTAGAACTCTAAGAGATCTCTCCACCTCTATTGTAAAGTCCACATGTCCTGTGCATCAACCAGAAAAAAAGACACTTGATACAAAATCTACACAATTAAACTGAGACATACAAATCTTCAGCTAATAGTTTATACTGGCAATGCTTCTATCTCTCAACATTTTGATGTCAGTCATGAAAAGTTTATGTTTGTCATTTTTATTAATTTCATTAATTAATACTAAATCTTGAAGTACAAGTCTAAATATACAAGTACAAGCATAAATATTACCAAAATCAAAGAAATACTGATGAGACCTAGATATAGATTCATTTACATGGATCAAATGTGTCCTCTTCATTTTCAGTCGATTGTGTTAAAACATCACTAATTTTGAAAATGCATAATTGCTTACTTTGATATTTTGATTAAGATCTGACCTGGTGTATCAATGAGGTTGACTCTGTGTTTTTTCCATTGATACGTAACAGCTGCTGATGAGATTGTTATTCCTCGGTTTCTCTCCTCCTCTAAGTAATCGGTGACTGTGTCCCCATGATCTACATCACCTGAGGAAAGTTGAAAATTACCAGCATTTAAACATGAAAAAATGTAATTCTGAATGAAAAGTTGACCAAAACTGAAAGAAAAATCCCTAGTTTTTAGGATTTTTTTCAGACTTTTTACGGTTCTTTTCAACTGTGGCGGTCAGACGAGTTCGATCGCCGGTGGCCAGATAGCTAAGTTGGTAGAGCACCTGACTGGAGATTCAGGGGGCCCAGGTTCAAATCCCAGTCTGGTCAGCTGCATTTTTCTCCTCTCCCGTTACACAACGTTGCTTTGCAAAAATTTTGAGATATGTTTTTTTTTCTTTGAAACGTGTAAAATTTTAAATGAATTAAAATTAATCAAAAAAATAACACATAAATGACATTTACTGAAATGAAATAAAATGAAACTTATTATCCTGCACTCTAACATTGATTGAAAGGAATTACAAATTATCGCAATATCATAGGTAAATCATGGGGGGGGGGGGGGGGGGGGGGGTCACATACATATCGATGGTACATGGCACATTGTTTAAATACAAGTGTGTAGTGCACTAAAGACCAAAACAGCAACAGTTTTAGGCTAGACACAAAAAAATCATTCCTAGTCTATATCAAAATAAAAAACAAATAAAAAAAAAGAAAATACATCAAAAATTCAGTACAATGATAATCTTTGTAAAATTAAGCAATTAATAACACCTCCTTATTTTGCGTTGCTTTTTTGTGTGTGTTTTCATGGGTGTTACTTGAAGGGGGATGGGGTGTTAATAAGTGTGGGCTCAACAAATGAAATGCCTTAGATTTATGTAAAACAGGAAATAATATTTGACAGTTTACCCAAGTGCTTTGTAAAACCAGAGTAGTAAAGCATTCGTTCGGTCGTCGTCGTTTTGCCGGCGTCGATGTGGGCAATGATTCCGATATTTCGCAGGTCTCGAACATCTTCTCCTTTATCGGCATTTGGACCATGAGCAAATTGTGTTGCTAGGTATCTGCAAGCAACACATTTTCGCAAAGAACGATTAAAATACAATCTAAGCAATGACATACTGACTTTGCTCTTCGACAATGTGTTGAATTTGCACAGGAACTGAATCACGGTCACTAAATTATAAACCAGAGCAGCATGATCAGAATAATCAAATCCGGTTAATTTTGGTAATAAATGTATATTATAGAGAGAGCTGTAATGCTAACATTTGGAGAAATTTTATAGCCTTAGTTCACATTAAATGGCTAAAACTGCCAAGCATTTTGCATGCAAGGGAACAAGTAAGCTCCCCCGAAAATTGAAAGAAAAAAAAACAACAAATTCAAAGAATTGTAGTCCCCCGCTTAAAATGTATACTTCTCAAAACTACATTAACTCTCTTCTGGAGCATAAAGGATATGGTCAAGATTAAAATTTTTGATATGTAGGTCAAACTTCTAGGTCAAGGTCATGAAGTCAAAAATGATAAACTTTCCTGAAAGGTGTTGACGTAGGTAATGTACATGTAGAAATATGAAAGCCCTATCTTCTCTCATTCAAAAGTAATTACAAATGTCAAATTAATTTGATAAAAACTGTAGGGTGAACCTTAAGGTTAGGGTCATGAGGTCAAAAACCAGAGTACACAATCGGAAAGGCCTCGAAACAGGTAATGCTCATGTCAAATGTAAATACCATATCTTCTTTCAATCAAAAGTTATCAGCAATGTTATTTTTTTTAACATTAGGTCAACCTTAGCTGCAGAACCTTTCTAGTCGTTTCTACCGACCAATAAACTCGCTTGTTGTGACTTTGTTGTCGGATGGCATAAAATTCACAACAAGCAAATTTACTGGTCTTTAAAGACGACTAGAAAAGGGTTAGGAGATGGATAAAATATACAGATCAGATTGGTTATAGAATATATCTAGAAATAGGGAATGAAAGGTAGTTGATTGACCAGTGCTGGAAAGTGGCGAAATATATCCCCAAAGTGCACAGAAAATCTTGCGCCGTAAATTGCACATATTTGCATTACGGGATCTGTAGTGTTATGGTCAAAGACTAAAATATAAAACCATAATGCTACTGTTCTGCAGCTAGGTCAAACTTCAAGGTCAAGGTCATGGGATTAAAAATCATTACGCAGTAAACTTTGAAAGGTCTTGTTCCCGGTAATGCACCTGTCAAATATGAATGCCGTGTCTTCGACTCTTCGCTTCTTTAAAAGTTAGCAACACTGATAAAATGTTTGAAAATTAGGTCAAACTTGAAGGTCAAGGTCACGGGGTCAACTAGCATAGCACATTCGGAAACACTTTTGACACAGGCAATGCACTTGTGAAACATGAATTCTCTATCATTTTTCATTCAAAAGTAATCACCAAAGTTAACATTTTTGAAAATGAGATCAAACATGGAGGTCATGATCAAGGAGTCAAAAATCATAGCATTCTTGGAAACGACTTGTCATAGTTAATGCACATGTCAAATATAAAAACCCAATCTTTTCTCTATCAAAAGTTATAAGCAAAGATAAAATTTCTGAAAAGTAGGTTAGACTTCAAGGTCACGTGGTAAAAAATCACAGTATATTTGGTGATGTCTTGTCACAGGTAATGTAGATGTGTAATATGAAAGCCTTATCTTTTCTCATTCAAAAGTTATGACCAATTTAAAGTAATGGTAATTTTTTTTTTAATTAAAGGTTAAACTTCAAGGTAAGGGAGTCAAAAATCACAGCATTTTTGGAAAGGTCTTGATACAGGTAATGCACATGTCAAATATGAAAGCCCTTACTTCTATTTTTTTTTTCTCAATCAAAAGTTATAAGCAAAGATAACATTTTTGAAAAGTACATCAAACTTCAAGGGCAAGGTCATAGGGTAAAAAATCATAGTATATTTGGAAAGGTCTTGTCAAAGGTAATGCACATATGTAATATGTACGCCCTATTTTTTATCATTCAAAATTTATGACCAATTCAAAGTAATATTAAAATTTTTGAAAAGTAGGTAAAACTTCAAGGTTGAGGTGACGGGGTCAAAAATCATAGTATATTTGGAAAGGTCTTGACACAGGTAATGTACATGTGAAATATGACAGTCCTATCTCTTCTTATTCAAAAATTATGACCAAGATTTAAATTTTTTTTGACAGACAGACTGACAAACTGACAGTCGAATGAAATTAAATCATATAAATGTCCCCTCGCTTTCGCAAAAGCGTGGGACAAAAAAAAATAACAAAAACAACACATACGGACACACACACACACACAAACAAATGTTGGTTTTCTCAAGAAGAAAACCCGTGTGTTACCGACGATGGTTAAAAGAAATAAAAGATGTGTTTGTAAAACACTGATGCCCCCGTATGGCAGCTTTCTCAAATGCAAGTCAAACTCCAAGGTCAAGAGATTAAAATGTTGTTACCCAAAAGAAAGGACTTGTGTCAACGGATATACTTGGTAAATATGAAAGCCCAAGCACCAGCCATTCAACAGTTATGGTCAAGGTCAATGATTTCTAGAAGTGGGTCAAACTCCAAGGTCAAGATCAAAGGGTGGAAATTAATGGTACGCAGGGGAAGACCTTGTCATAAGTATTAAACATGCAAAACATAAAAGCCCTACACCAATTTTTCAAAAGTTATGGCAAAGATTAAAGTTTTTAAAAGAAGGTCAAACTCCAAGGTCAAGGTCAAAATGTTTGATATCCAAAGGAAGGTCTTTTCACAAGGAATATACCTGTGAAATTTGAAAGCCCTAGTACTAACTGTTCAAAAGTAATGACCAAGGTTAACGTTTTATTAAAGTGGGTCGAACTCTAAGGTCAAGGTCAAATGTAAAAAAAACAAAACAAAACAAAACAATAAACCCATGGAAAGGTCTTGTCATGATAAATACACATGTAAAATTTGAAAGCCCAAGTCCAACTGTTCAAAAGTTATGGCCAAGGTTGAAATTTGGTAAATGTTTGCAAAAGTGGGTCAAACTCCAAGGTCAAAAGGTCAAATATGTTGGTACCTAAAGAAAGGGCTTATCACAAGGAATACACGTGTGAAATATGAAAGCCATACCTCCAACCAATCAAAAGTTATGGGCAAGGTTAAAGTTTTTGCGGATAAACAGACAGACAGACAGATAGACGGACGGACAGGGGAAAACTATATATCCCATCCCTGAATCTTCGATTAAGGGGGCATAAAATACCTTGCTAACGACTGAAGGGCTGTTTGTATGGAGATGGGAGGGTCTACAGAAGGTGGAGAAAGGGAGAAGCAGTTGCATGTGGATTATCATTGGGGTCTCAAACCGCCTCCTCATTTTGCCAAATAACATAGACTCCTCCTTTTTATGCCCCCGTATCGAAGATTCGGGGGTATACAGTTTTTGCCCTGTCCGTCGGTCTGTCTGTTTGTCCGCAAAAACTTTAACCTTGCCCATAACCCATAACTTTTGATTGGTTGTAGCTATGGATTTCATATTTCACATGTGTATTCCTTGTGACAAGACCTTTCTTTGGGCACCAACATATTTGACCTTTTGACCTTGACCTTGGAGTTTGACCCAGTTTTGAAAAATTTTACCAAACTTTAACGTTGGCCATAACTTTTGAATAGTTGATGCTAGGGCTTTCATACTTCACATGTGTAATCCTTGTGACAAGAACTTCCTTTGGATACCAACAACTTTGACTTTGACCTTGGAGTTTGACCTACTCTTGGAAAACTTTTATTTCGGCCATAACTTTTGAACAATTGGTGCTAGGGCTTTCATATTTCACATGTGTAATCCTTGTAAAAAGGCCTTCCTTTGGATACCAACAACTTTGACCTTGACCTTGGAGTTTGACCTACTGTTGGAAAACTTTAACCTTGGTCATAACTTTTGAATGATTGGTGATTCGGCTTTCATATTTAATTTCACCTGTGTATTTCTTGGGAGAAGGCCTTTCCTTGGTTACCATTAATTTTTAACCTTGACCTTAATGTTTGACATAGTTTTGAAAAAAAAACTTTAACCTTTTCCATATCTATTCAATGGTTGCTGCCAGGGCTTTCATATTCCACAGGTTTATTCCTCGAGACAAGACCTTACTTTGGGTACCAACATATTTGATTTGCATTTGAGAAAGTTTAACCTTTGCTATAAGTAACCATACGGGGGCATAAGTGTTTCACAAACACATCTTGTTTTTTTAGCGATTGGTGATTTGCTAATTACTTTATAAGTGTACTGTTGCGAGTACCAAAGGATGATACAAGGATATTGTGTTTGGAGAGGACGAGAGTGTCAGACCTCCCCTTCCTTACACACACACACACACACACGCCAAAAAAGTACTTTCAGTATTGCCCCCTGGAAGCTGTTGAGTCTTCATTATCTTTTAAGGCAAAGATGTAGCATTAAATGAGGGGAAGCGCGCGCTTTCCCCCTCTGAATCCATGAATAATAACCCTCTCCCAAAATTTTTTGTTTGTAAGCATGTTTGTCATATATTAACCCTCTTTCTTTCTATCTAGTTTGTGGATCTGCTGATAATTATTTTTTTATGAACTAGAATGCAAAATCATCATATTGTAGTTACCTTCATCCGCCTGTCTGTCACAATGTCTTGTCATAGCATTGGATCTCCCATCCTATATTTACGAGGTAGCAAAATGTGCATATATGATAAGCTATATCATGAAGAATGATATAATGATGTAGAATGAGCCATGATGTTTTGAATTTTCGCTCTCGAGGGTCCTCAAAAGTTTCCATTATAAAATCTGATCATGCATTTATAGTAAAAGATTTTTTTTCTTATTCATGATGATCGGGCATGATGTGGAATAATTATATCTAGTGTTGCAGGTGTGCACAAGGTTTTAGATGGTGCAGATGACGTTTAATCCGTAAAAGATTGGCGTCTTTTAGAATTTCATATGGGGTAATTTTTATAAATTATGTATTTGTTGTTTGTTTTGTTCGTATATTTCTTTGATTGTTTGTAATTTTTGAGCTTCTGTTTGAGTTATTCGATTAAAAACATGGTGCAGATACATCATTCTCAAGAGACTTTAAATCCGGCATTGTCAAAGATAGATTTGGGGAAATATAACCATTTATGCTTGAGATGAGAAGCACTGAACATTAGGATATTTAATTAATACCAATTTGTCAGATAATTACATTATCCAAAATTAAATCTGCACTAAATTTGATTTTTTTCCAAATTTGATCAAGGTGAACATTTTAAAATGTTAAAACATTCCTGGCTGCAAGAATACACGTATATTCCAGCATTTTCAAGATTTTAACTTCATGTATGGTGAAATACATGTATGCTACCAATACAGACCTTAGGAATTTAATAATAGAATAACATACAAAAATCTTCGATCTCGAATTAAATGATTTCGAAATTATATTTCCACTGCCTCTTTTATAAGAATTTCGTGATGCTTTATGAAAGCTTCTTCAACAGCCCATTAAACCATAACGCTTTATATATAAATTATTCGAGGAAACGTTTTGAAACAGTTACACCATTAAAATTTATATATGTACTTCAAATACTCAGAGGCCTTTAAAACGTTAATTCATTCTCAATGTTACCAATTCAAGCTGCCCATTTATAATATTCACTACAATGTTCAGCTGCAAATTCTATCGTTTTTTTCTAATACAAATACTAGTAAATTGCTTCCAAGTATGAAAATGAATTGGCTATTGTATGTTGTTGTTGTTGTTGTTTTTTTTTTTTTTTTTTTTTTTTTTTTTTAAATAAAGAGGTTATTTTTTGCTTAAAAATGTATACAATATATTCTATTGAAACAGATATCCTAAAATATTTTTTGAGATTTGGAAAATTCTTATTTTTATTCGTAATATATTTTGTGCAAAGGTTTACTGGTAGATGGAAAATAAACAAAGCTTGTAAATATTGCATTCTTTATTTTAAATACTGGTCATTCAGATAAAGGTTATTGAAAATTATAGATGACGCTGAAGTAGTGCTGCATCAATAATGAAAGATAGAAAATGATACTTGATATCTTAATTAAAAAGAAAATGACAACATAAATGGTTTTTAACTTGTACACTTTTCATCACTCTCCTTTAGTAAATCGAACATTTCCTTCTATTAAAAACAACATCAAGACTTTTTTTTTTTAGGAAAAAACTATTACAAGCAATATTTTCATTATTTTGCAGTTTAAACAAACCGATTTCGAAGGCATTCAGAAAAAAAGAGACATGTAGGAAATAAAAGGGAAGACTGAGAGAGTTGAACATTTAAAAATAAAAAAAACATAAGGTTGACGATGTTCATAAAAATAAATAGAACATAGGCAGGAAAATGAGGTATAAAAGATAAGAAATGAAATAATGATTATTATGACGATGATGAAAAAAAGGTGATGATGATAATGATGAAGGAAAAAAGTAAGAAAACAAGTAATGAGAAATTAAAGAAGTATATATACATGTATGTATATACAATCACACCTTTTTTAAATTTCAATGTTTGATTTATCTTTTATATTTACCCTCTTCTGTAATTTTTTAAAGTAAAAAAATAATAATGATGATGGTAAGGATAACAAAGATAATGATGGTGAAAAAACCAACAAAAGAGAAAAAAATCAGTTATGAAACATAATAATGATCTTAAAAAAAAAATTTAAAAAATGGGAGTTTAGAATCACGTCTTTTTTCATTCTTTTTTAAAATCTATCTTATATATATATATTTTTTTTTTTACTTTTTTTTTCTTATTTTTAAAAAAAAAATGATGATGATAATGTTAAGATGATGAATATGAAAAGAATAAATAAAGTAGGGAAATAAGTTATGGAAAATAAAAAAAATAAATAAATAAAACTGACTTTAGAATCACATTTTTTTTTTCATTCTTTTTTTTATTTATCTTGTAGTTTTTTTCCTTACTTTTTTGTGATTTTTTTAATAAAATAAAATTGATAACGAAAAATTATGATGATGATGAAAAAAGAATAAAAGTAGAAAATTAAGTTATGAGAAAATTAAAAAAAATTAAGTATGAAAAAATAAAAAGAAGTATACAATCAAAAAAAAAAATGTTTTCATTCTTTTTTCATTTATCTTATATTTTTTCTTACTTTTTTGTGATTTTTTTAAATAATGAGCATGATTATAACAAAAATACTGGTGATGATTAAAAAAAATGATAAAAGGAAAAATAAATGTACAAAAATTAGTTATGAGAGATATTAAAAAAAACAAACAAAAAAATAACAAAACAAAACAAAAAAAAAAAAAAAAAAAAAAGTTAATAAGGTTATAATTTTTTTTTTTTTTAGATTTATCTTTCAATTTTTTTGGTTACCTTTTTGCAATTTTTATTAAATGAAGATGATGATAAAAATAATGAAAATGGTTGTGATGACGATGATGATGAAAAGAAGAAAAAAATAAAAAAATAATGTAAATGAGTTTAGAATTACATCTTTTTTTCATTCTTTTTTAATTTATCTTATAATTTTTTTTTTTATTTTTTGTAATTTTCTCTAAAATGAAGATGATTTTGATGATAACAAAAAATGATGGTTATATTGATGATGAAAAAAAAAAGAATAAAAGTAAGAAAATAAATAATGAGAAATTAAGAAAAAGTATATGAAAAGTATATGAATTTAGAATCACATATTTTTTCATTTTTTTTTAATTTATCTTATAATTTTTTTTCTTACTTTTTTTGATTTTTAAAAGTAAAAATAAAATGATGATTATGACAAAAATGGTTATATAATAATAAGGAATGAAAGTAAGAAGAAAGGCAGGAAAATAAGTTGTGATAAAGTAAAAGAAAAAAGATAATGCTTGTACAATTGCTTCTTGTCATATCTAGCCCCCCCCCCCCTTTAAAAAAAAATGATTTTGAAGAAAATAATGATAATGATAAAGCTAATGATCGCAATGATGATAATGATAAATGATAATGTTGGTGATAGTTGTAATGATGGCGATAATAAAAATAATAATAATTTAAAAGTAAAATGATGAAGATGACGATGATAATAATGGTGATCATATAAAATAAAAGAATGAAATAAGTTATGAGAGAATGAAAAATGTGCATGGAGATACATTTAAATCATTCATCTTATCTTGTATGTTAAAAAAAGATGTTAAAGTTAAACTAATAATAATTCTAAGAAGAATAAATAATAATAACAAAGATGAATATGAACATTAAGAAATGATAAAAACAATACTAAAAAACAAAATATGGAACACTAGTTATAGGAAAAAGAATATCCAAGTGTATCGTCTTTTTCATTCCCTTTTAGATTTCTCTTGTACATTTGTAAAAAGATTTTTTTCATAATTTGAAATAAAAAAAAAACTTAAACTAACAAATAAAAATTAAAAATAAAAATAAACCTAATATCTAATAACGCTTTGAAAATTGTCGCTCAAATCTTCGGGAGGCCTCTTCATCCACATATGTGTTGAATGGCTTAGCTTTGGCACGAGATTCCAAAACATCGAGAGTCTTCCTTTTACCCTGACCCTGCCTTCCCGCCCGGATGTCACCTTGAAACTGACGTGTGTTCTGCATGGGATGTAATGGAGGAAGCACAACCCTTCCGGAGGACACTTCCCGAACAGTGGGAACAGGACCACATCGTACAGGTCCATACCCTGGGACATAGCCTGCAACGTTCTTCTTTCTAGGATTCGATACAGTTCCATCTACATGATAAACAGTATACGAAGGATAATGGTTTCTCTTCTTCACATCAGCTTGCCCGCTGTCTGTAGGTACCTTTACTGCTCCATAACCAGGAACATAGCCAACTGTTGTTTTCTTTCTGGGATTGGGTTTTACAAAGTATTGTCCATTTTCATAAGAAGGAATGTCTTCCCGACCAGCGTTTCTTCTGGCGACTTGATTGTAATCAAGAACCATTGTTCCATATCCAAGCTCTTTGCGGATGTCTCTAGCCATGGGGCAGGTGTACTCATACTGAGGATTTCTAACCATAGGGCTGTAGCTGGAAGTACTTTGCTTCAAAGCAGCAGTGTGTTGGTGGTTAAGATACTCAAAATCTACATCTGATCTGGCTGAGTTTGGGTTGGCCCTGCCGCTCATCTGTCCACTGTTTTGATAGTACATGTCCAGGTATAAATCTTGGACTTCTCTTGGGGTCAGAATGTTAAGGTGGGGAACATTCTTAGTGTAATCACCATGATGATCATCTCCATTTAGTCTGCCGCTTTGTTTTCTGTTGGCAGCTTGGGCAGATGTCATTGCTACTTCATCCTCGGATTTCTGATAGTGGGCTTCAATTTTCTGGCTGTTAACAACTTTGGGGTCTGTTAAACGAATTTCCTCATCATCAGATTCAAAATCATCCTCATAGTTGCAGTCATCAGCAGCCTTTTTGATCTTGTTACCAGGTTGTTTGGATTGTTTGCCTTCCATGTTTCTTTTGTTGTTGTCAGTGATATTCATTTGGGTCTTATCTGATGCGAGCTTCTTGACACCCGTCTTGCTCTCCATCTTCCTTCCACGAGGTGGTTCGGATGCTTGCTTTTTGACATTCATCTTGCTTTCTGCTTTCTTTACACGTTCTGCTTTTCTTTTAGCCTCATAAGCTTTTCTCCTCTCTAGAGCAGTTAGCTTGACCTCAACGTCCTCTTCCTTTGCCTTTGCCACTGCTGGTTTGACTTTCTTTTTCGCCTCTTTGCCGGTATCCACAGCCTTCTTTTCTCCTTTATTGGGCACATTAAAGGTGTCATTGCATTTTCCTTTTGCTCTGCCATCTTTTTGACCTTTGACAGTTTTGTCAGTTTCATTACCTTGTCTGCCATGTGCACCATTTTTACGTTTCTTCATGGTAGTTCCGGTAGGTATTTGTTTAAATTTGTTGAATGAGCAGCTCTTGGTTGGAGACTCTGATGGAACTGGCTTAGGTATTTCTGAGCAAAGTTTTCTCATTACAACTTTAGTTTTTATCATCTTTTCCTGCATGCTTACCTCTTGGTCAGAGGATACCTTCCTTCCAATCACTGGAGATGAATGCGGTGTAGGGCTTCTACATTCTATGATTTCATCTCTTGTACTCAATTTCATAGAGGAGCAGCCACTTAGCTCATATTCTTTTGGTGAAATAAGGCCACTGATTGAAGCTCTTGAGCTGCTGTTGTCCTTAACCGAAACTTGACTGGCAAGAGATCTTGGGATATTGTCTGAGCAGTGCGTGGCATAAGAAGATGCTGGACTCTTGTAAAGTGGAGAAATGGTCCTGTCCTTTTCCTCTATAGTAAGATCTAGCTGGGAATTGGCAGAGGTAATAGATACGCTACGTTGTCCTCTTACTGGCGTATCGCTGTTTGCGATATATCCCGAAACCACGCTGGCAGTCCTTGGAGTTGGTGCAGATTCTGTGTGAATGCTAGCACAAGAACTCACACGACCACTGCCTCGTGTTGAGTATGTTCTCTCTTGGTTCTTAGATTGAGTTGGTTTCTTGTTTTCAGAAAGCGAAATCACTGATTTGCTACTAGAACTCTTTGCTCTAGATTCTGATCTGCCAAGATTGCTTGACATGTTTCCGCCATTTCCACGTCTGCTTGGTACATCACTGCATTCACTCTCGATCTCTGCCCTCATCAGAAGGGACCTAGATGTATGGCCTTCTGGTGCGAAACTTGCTATTCCGCCTTGACTGAGAGCTCGGAGAGCTGGTCCAATTCCAGTATCACTGGGATCGGGAAAATTAATTGAACACTCTGACTCAAAGAAGTCCGGTGTAAAGTTTCCTTTGGTAGGAGATTTCATTGTAACTTTGCGTTGTATTTTACTTTCTGTTATCTAAATCAGAAACAAAAATAACACTAAAAGCCTGCATAAAATATGGTAAAAAAAAACAACTAAAAATATATCATAATAAGGATACTAGTAATTAAATTTTACAGTTAAAATATTTATATTTTCAAAGACACTAAGTTAAGCTTTATATTCAACATAAATCTTATGTATCTTTGATAATCTACACGTAAAACACGATCGAAATAAACAAGTTCTCTAATTTATTTTAATATTTTATTTTTTTGCGAAAACACTTTCTAAATAGAGAACGTATATTTTTATGACATTGCATTGCTACGGCAAAATGTTGAAAATATAATTTGTAAAACTTGGGACTTACCAAAAATGTCTAGTATAGGATATGCAAAGACACGTCCTAAAATAATCGGAGTGACGTTTTCCTTACATGGTTTATTCTTTGATGGCTCTTCAGAATGGATATATGAATGAATTCCAATATCCGTATCGAATTTCACAATCTAAATCACACTATAATTTGTAATTTTAGTAGAGACAGCCGCTGATCAACCAGCAGTTCTACGAGAATGTCGCAGAATGATTGTGACGAAACAGTTAGAGATCATTGTGACGTCATGAAAAAGGCAGTAAACTATGACGTTGTCACAAAGTTAAAATGTATGAATATTGTTACGTTTCGATCTAAATCTATTTATAGCGGCGAACATCCCCCCTTTCAAATCCTTACCATGTTAGTCCGGGCTTGCAAATCGTCTTATCTACCGAAAAATTATTCTTTAAAAAAAGGCATTTTTTAGAAAAGAATGTGATTTTATTTTACTGTTTTTTCTGCTTTAAAAAACGGTTTAAAAAAACTATTAAACTAGTCTTCCGTTATTATTGCAAACTTTAAACATCAATATTTTCTAGTTTTTAACTGAAAAAAAAATGAGTCAGAAAGAAAATCCACTGTATAAACCTTCACGAAGGTAACTGATCAAAGAAGCTTTAATCAAAGCTTCATGTCATTTTCTACAATAAGGGTTAATACCTAAAAAAAAGTTTTAATGTGCACCTCTTCCTTCCAGTTTTTTTATTTGTTTAAATAAGAAGCTTTGTGAAAAAGTTTGACCAACTTACTACTTCCTATCCTTATAGTAGTTGTCATGATGGCATATATGGTTGTAGCTTAACTTTACAATATTTTTAATTATACAAGCCTGTCACCAGGGGTCAGGAAAGGGGGGTGCGTCGTAGCTCCTTGTAGGGGTCCGAGCCATAACTTGATTTTAAATGGGCACCATTTTGGTGGTCCTGGTGTATTATTGAGGTCATTTTTCACATATTTTCGAAACTGTAAACAAAATCTAACAACATTACTGTTAAAAGATCGCCTCCCCCTAGCCTCGTTTTACATCATATAGACTATTCAAGATCTAATCAGTAAATTCTGAGGACCTAAATAAGAAAATTTCTTGATTCTGAATTTATGGTCACAATGTATTCTAGACAAACAGAGGAAAAAAACAAACTTGAATCATATATAACTTGAATTTTGACAAAATATGCTTGGTAAAACGTCCATTTTAAATAAAGTTTTAGGGTCTTAAATTTGATATTTAATCGTTTCGATCGGTGGCTTTGCTCCTCTGAATCCCTCATCATGGTTTGCCTTAACCCGTTGGGGTTTAGACTTTACCCCCCCCCCCTCCTTGTCGCACTGTACTTGCAAATTCACGCGTCTCTTTCTCCTCTGGCATCAAGTGTGTTGATGTCGGGGTGGGGGCACTTCTCACGGACAAAAGTCATGCACCTTCCTTCATATATTTGACTATCAATGTTTCCCAGAGAAACCCAGTACATGTATTAATTTGGGGGTTACTTTTATATGTAAATTCAATAACTCTAAAATACCCAGGAGGAAATCTAGACCCCCCCCCCCTCCACGAATCTGTGAACTTCTCTGGCAAGTATCATGTTGTAAATTATGTTGTCATTCGTAAATTTGGCATTTACCTCTGCCTGGTATATTCAAAATTTACAACATGATACAAGTCCTAAATCACCTACACACTGCACAAAGAAATGTGTCAGTTGTATGTCCCTTCAAGTCGGTTTAATTTAGAGACCGAGGTATCAAATTGTGGCATCCTAATTGATCTACTTACGAAGTTAAGAGACTATACAGGTAGCTCTAACCTAAACAGGTTAACATGCATTTCAAAGGTCAAAGTCAACTTCAATGGTTGCACCCAAATATCCTGTCTAAATTAGAGGTGAGATAATACTTATCATAAGTCACAGTAGAAATTAATGTTTCATTAACAAATAACAAGGTCAACGGACCATAATATAAGGCATTTCTGGAGTAGGTTTAATCATCTTCAAAAATACTATGCTATCGTTTGAAAAATATCATTTACATGTACTAATGTTTGAAGTTTGATGATAATTACATTGTACAAAGGGCTACTTTAAAACCAGATAAAATTATTTATAAATGTCAGGGTAAAAACCAATTCCAGTATTTGAACAAGAGGCCCATGGACCACATCACTCACATGAGCACTTTGGCTAGGAAAAAAGTATTGAGAAGTTTAAATATTAAAGTAGCCAGGGGATGATTTGAATAAACTTGAATCTACGCTACCCGAGGAAACTTCTATATTTCTTTGACCAATCATGGCTTTAGTAGATTTTGCTAGATTTTTTCTTATACATTTGATCCCCAGTTGTGGCCCCACCTATCCCTTGGGTTCATGATTTGAACAAATTTCATTTTACACTACCTGAGGATGCTTCCATATAAATATAATCAATCATGACTTTGCTTTTTTTCTGAGTGTTTCTATGTAAACCTTTGATCACCCTACCCCTGGAGTCATGATTTGAACAAACATGAATCTACATTACTTGAGGATGCTTCCACATAAGTTTCATTTTTCCTAGGCCAGTGGTTCTTGAGAAGAGTTTTTAAAAAGTCATAGTTTTTTGACTAATTTTAATTATCTCCCCTTGGAAGGTGTGGCCCTGCATTTGAACAAACTTCAATGCCATTTACCCAAAGATACTTTGTGGCGAGTTTAGTTGAAATTGGTTCAGTGATTCTTGAGAAGTTGAAAATGTGAAAGTATATAGACAGAAACCTAGACGGACAGACAGATTGACATCCGACAAAATGAGATCAGAAAAGCTTACTTAAGCCTTCAGTTCAGGTTAGCTAAAAAAGGTCTTAAACTTAATTGGCCTATGTGTGATATTTGAAATTATACTTTGAAAAGGTCATCCACAACAAGATTTTCTCAACTGCTGTGTAAAAATACTGACAGGGACATTAAAAATCAATTCCCAGTTACAGAAACAAGCAAGCTAAAAAGATTAATTCTTCCTGAACAAGTAGATTTGCTCACAGATGCTGTCCGTTTATAATATCATTTCGTAGACAGAAAGTTGCATCAGGTAAATTTTTCAAACAAAAAAATGTGTCTGGTAAATTACTTGGTTTAACTATACCGTACATAAATCTTTTTCTACCGGTACTTGAAAACTTGACTAAGATAAACATTAAACGATGCACATAATTGCTCAATTTTTATTATTTCTCATGTAACAATAACATGGTAGCTTCTAAATACATGAAAATGTAAAAACAATGCTTGCATTTTTATTAATGGACAAAACATATGCACATACAAAGGCTTGATTTTCTCTTGAAATTCAAACAATGATAAATACTCATCAAACTTTGACATTGAACATGCTAAAATGGATTTGAATATCAAATCTGATGTGTTGAACACTTCAACATGTAAGGTAAGTATGGCGCACTTACAAAGAGTTACAAGTAATATTATCACAATTTTATGATAAATACTTTTTATCAGCATGCATGTACACAGTTAGTTACTGTTTGAGTTCTTTAAGATGGAACTTGGTGACATGTCTTAATTTGGTCTAGAACAAGCAAAGGATAGCTATATAATCTTTTGTGTAGGATTTATATGATCAAGGTTGCTACATAAGCTTGCTTTACAAAGGATTTTGATTTAGGAGTGCTTTCTCTTCTTGCTTTATACAGAAAAGAAAAAGAATATCAACATAATCTTGCTGTACATAAGACTCAGTAGCCTTTTTCACAAAAAATCTTACGACTAAGATTAAAATTTTCCAATTCTTCTATATGTACCTAAACAGTAGTAAGTTACAAAAAATCTTATATTTCTATTACATTACAGTTGAATTATTCTTCTGAACTAATAATTTTCCTTATTAAACAAAGAAATTACAGAGTTGTCAAATTTTAATCTTACTCATAAGAATTTTTGTGAAAAAGGCTACTGATCAGCTTGCTCCACATAAAAATTCTATAAGATATCTTCCTAATTTTTCTCCATTAATTAGTTAGATCAGGAGGGCTACATAATGTTGAGGAGCTATGATGAACTTCAGAGATTCTCCTGTTAAAAAAAAGTGATTTGTATGAATTAAATGCATGTTCTACCTTGTCTGATAAATACTTCCAGTAAAACATTTTTACATGTAACCCTACAAAAAAGTTAAATTTTGTTATACATGTACTTGATCTATAGTAAGCAATTTATGTTTTTATCAATTTTAACAATTTGGTAATAAAAAGTGACTATATTCTATATTCCTGTATTTATTATCAGCATATTAATCCCAATAAAAATATTTTACAATAATAATAGTAAATTCAAATGTACTTTGTCTGCTTTGTGAATACTTTAAGGAAGCCCTGAACACTTATGAAAAATGTTTTTGGACTTGAAAATTGTATAATATAAAACAAGCTTAAAGCGTACAAGCTTGTAATGAATTGACACTTACAGCAAAGTGGTTTTAATTTCTTTTGACTTTAAATACATGTATATTTTAAACCTAACGGATATAACAAATTACACCTATAATGAAGCAAAATTGTCTATCCCTGGCACTTCCTTATAAGCGTTTAACTGTATTGAGTACTGGTATTCTACTTCATTTTCAACATAGAGTACCTGCCACATTTTCTTAAGAGAAAAGTTCAAAGACAATGTAGTTAAAGTAATGCATTAAAGTAATCACTTGTTTAAGTTTAATTACACTGGAAAAAGTACAAGCAATTAAGACATTTAATACTTAAACTGGGTCTAACATACAAGTATAGTTAAGAATATCTTTAATATACACGTATTTCATATTGTGTCATTCGTTTAATTCTCCATTTATTTTAATTTTACAACAAAAGGCAGATCACTCTATCTGCAAAAAAATTACCAAGGAATTAGGACTCTTCAATGTGCAGTATTTAGAGCTTCCTTAAGTCATATTACAAACCTTTGATGACAGATTCATTTGACAAAACATTGACGTAACGTTGTGTTGATTGGGGAATGTACATCTGTCGTCTCAGCATTGCACACTCTTTGAAGCCAGGTTTCCACTCTTTCCTGTAAATAAATTACCCCTTTATATCAATCTCTGAATTTGATTACTTAACCTGTGTATCTATAAAATTCATTCATAAAATTCATAACAAATTTAAATTGTGTAACACAAGCATCTTGGTAGGCAAATTTATCAATTCTACTTTTCCTTAAAACATAAATTGAGATTTTAAAAACTCTTGTCACAGGTATATTAACAGATATCAACACATTAAGGCTCATATAAAGAATTACTAATGATTTGACAGCATACCAAGTGCTTTCAATCCTTCTGATTTCCACTTCATCAACCTCTATCAAATCACCAATAAATTTTGTCTCATATCCTCCTTTCAAAAAAAAAAATCAGTAATAAATATAGAGATGAATATCTCCAAACATGCATAAGAAAGATACTTATTTACTGAAATTGATAGCATTTACAAATACAAACTTGAAAATTTGAAATCTTTACACCTGTCATGCAGGGACATAACCAACCCCATCCCTCCCCACCATGGGCCCACACTCAAAAATTGCAAATTTGAAAAATTGTCTTAGTCTTCATAGATGCACAAGATGAGCAAGTGTGGTTTTCATATCATTTGCAGGCAATATAAATATCCTCCATAAAAATTACAGAGATATACAATGTACACTTATTGTAGGTATGATCCAGTATCTGATTTTTGCATAAAACAAATACCCTCAGTTGCACAAAATCTTGATGGTTTTAACATTAATTTACTATTGGTGGAAGCTAGGGGAGGGTACTCTACAAAGACAATCTATAATGGAAGCCAGTGGCAGTGAATGTTTTCCAATAAATCCAAAAGAGAAATTCAAAAATATTAGTCATATATATATATAGTTATATTTTAGACAGGTATTGTTGTCCCACAAAGGTAATCTTTTTGTGCAATGATTTCTACATACTGTAAACGTTGACATTTTTTTACAGGAAAAATTTTGCGTTTTCTATGTCACAAAGCATTTGCATGGATTAATTTTGCAGAAGATAATGTGTTTACAAAATGCCCAGGTTTTTCTGTACAGTGTGGTACTTTATTTGAAGCAGTTTGCATGGTGAAAGATTTTGTGAAACTTAACTCAGGATCATTGCAAAATTCACAACAAGAGGCCCATGGGCCACAATGCTCACCTGAGTAACTTTGGCCCTGCTGTTCTTCACCTGATTTCCTACCTTGTAATACCAATTGTGGCCCCGCCCTACCCCCCTGTGGTCATGATATGAACAATTTAGAATCTACACTACTCCATGATGCTTCCACATAAGTTTCAGCTATTCTGGCCCAGTGGTTCTTGAGAAGAAGATTTTTCCTATATATTTCAATGTAAAACTTGGATTCCCTATTGTGGCCTCGCCCTACCCCCGGGGGTCATGATTTTAACAATTTAAAATCTACACTACCACAGGATGCTTCCACATAAGTTTCAGCTTTTCTGGCCCAGTGGTTCTTGAAAAGAAGATTTTTAAAGATATTTTCTACATATTTTTCGATGTAAAACTTGGATTCTCTATTGTGGCCCCACCCTAACCCCGGGGGTCATGATTTTAACAACTTAGAATCTACACTACCCCAGGATGCTTCCACATAAGTTTCAGCTTTTCTGGCCCAGTGGTTCTTGAGAAGAAGATTTTTTAAAGACCCCACCCGATTTTTATCTTTTCTTGATTATCTCCCCTTTGAAGGGGGCTTGGCCCTTCATTCAAAAATTTAAACTCCCCTTCACCCAAGGATGCTTTGTACCAAGTTTGGTTAAAATTGGCCCAGTGGTTCTTGAGAAGAAGTTGAAAATGTGAAAAGTTTACAGACGGACAGACACACGGATGGACGGACGAAGGACAACGGGTGATCAGAAAAGCTCACTTGAGCTTTCAGCTCAGGTGAGCTAAAAAAAAACTCCCCTATGCATTTACACATCTATGATATCTTTAAACAAACAAAGGAAACCCTTAACTGTGCTATTCAAGTGAACATGACTACACAAATGTATGTTTCTTAAACTCAGCACATTTAAAATTCCTTATTCATATTTAGAAAAACTTCTTACCTGTGGCAAGATTCCAGGCAAAACAAAAGCTTGTTTGATATCTTCTTATGGCATTTTTACTACAAAAAGTAAGAAAAGGATAAAATTTCCATGAAATGTAAAAACTATAAACTTTTTTTTTCTTTTGCAGGGTCATAATTTCACAGAATCACAGCATCTCTTCAGTCCATGGGTGGGATAGTACACAGATTTTTTGGATTACCAATCTTTGTCTTAAATGCACATTAAGTATACTGTGACAAATTCATGCAGAAAGTTACTGCATACATAGTGTAAATTTATCAAACATGGACAAAGAAATTTAGTTCTTCCTTCATGCAGAAGGGCAGCAAAACTCATTCAAAGAATATTATGTATTTTTATGATGCATACCTGCGTTTCATTTTTCTGCTTGCATCTAATTCCTCTTTGGCATGAATTAGTGCAAACACTTTACCTATCACTGTTGTACTCTCCGCACACACCTAAAATAAAACAACCTTGTAAGTAATACATGTACATTAAGAATATATTTGCTCTTCACTGGGATCCCTTTGTAATCTATCGCGTTTTCTTTTACATGGCTAATATGTAAAACAACTGATTTAATCAGGGATGGGGTAATTGAAATGAGTAATTGTAATTTACTGTATTTAAATACATTTTTTCTAAGTAATTGAATGTATTTGTAATTAAGTTTGCTTTCAATTACAAGTAATTGAATGTATTTAAATACATTAAATCATTTAATCATTTTTTTTTTCCATCTTTACAAAGAGGGCCCTTTGCAAACAGTTCTTCATTGAATTTACCAAGAATTTCAGATTCTATCAAATTTTTGTAAATTAATAGGGTTATTCTATCAAATTTTTGTAAAAATGTGTAAATCACAATTAAATCATACATATTACTTTCCTTAAAAATTCAGGAACCAAAATGACTCACATCTAAAATCTGCAGATCATAGTTGGTGAAAGCAATATATCTGTGACCCCAATCAGCAAAGTGACCTATGACCTCCTCTAAATAATGTTCCACATCAAATGTCATCTGAGTAACACGTACACATTCCTACAACACAAACATATCATTATTTATTTACCTTTCAGATCCATATATACATGTATGTAAGTTACCATCACTGTGGAATTTATCAATTGAAAAGCATTACTTCAGCATCAACATCAAAAACAAAACTTGGTTTAGATACTGTAGCGAGAGTAATCCATTTTTTTTTTTACAGCTTTGGTTTTGTCATTACTTTATAAAATTCCTTCTCACTTTAATTTGAGATAAATAAATAAAATAATATAAATAAATATATAAATAAATTAATTAATAAAATTAAATAAAACAAATAAATAAATGAAAAACACAAACACATTTTTTTTTTTTTACTTTCATCTTTCTACACCTAGTCTGAAATTGTAATACATGTATTGTTATTTTCAAACTGCTGTTCTATCTTATTATATACATGTGCTTTATAGATAGGAATAACCTGTAATGCCTCTCTGCAGTGGGCCGGAAAAAGTGGCTTATCTTTGTCACCATACACTTCCAGAGGTAGTATACTTCTATAAGCAAGATCAAAGTCCTCTGTAATAAAAAAAATCCACACATGATTGATAATCTAAATTTTACAGTCAAAGAGGTCTTATTGAGCTAATTTTTTTTAATCCAAAGAAGTAGACTGCAATAACCCATTTAAAGGATATTTAAATTGCAGAAGTTGTTGCATGATGAATTTATTTGTACTTTAAAAAAGCTCAATACATATAAAGCATTATCAAAGAGAGCATAAAATGATCCAAATGTATGGTTATGCTAGCTTCTACTTCCAATATTACCTTCCACGATGCCAGGAGACTGGTTTCCACTCTGTAAGGCATGTGAAAACTTGCGGACAGTGTAGGTAACCGTCCTTGTTTCATTGACTTGTAAATACACACTGTCTGCACTCTTACTAGTACTGGTGGTGCTGGTACCACTGTTGGAGGGAGAGAAGAAAGAGCGTTGAGAGGAAGCAGGGTTCTTGTTTCCAAAAAGACAGTTGTTGCAGCTGGGGTTGGGCTGAAGTGGACTACTAGCTGGGCTGTAAAGGGGCCCAGGAGACTTGGCTGGACCAGGGGAACGACAGTTGGTGGGTTGGCAGGGGGAAGGGCATCTTGCATTGTCGATGGGCTCGTTTGGTGATGTGGATTTTTGAGGCATACTTGTCAGAGGAGTGTTACATTTACTAAGTTCACTGTTATCACATTTTGAGGGTGACCTAAGGCACTTGATGGAATCCAGTGGGGAATTGTCTTTATCAATCGTATGGACCTGAGATCCACTTTCGTGAACCTCTTGCATCACAGAGTTATTTTGTGTAAGCACATCTCCAGTTTGTGAGGTATCTGTCATCAAATTAATATTATCCAACCAGTCTTGTGAGGAAGGCAATAGAGATCCCCCCTGCTTGCATAATTTTGGTCCCTCCATATGACTCGCCCTAGGAGAACGCTGACGAGCATATTCCCTCAACAAACCACCATCCATGTTCTCTTTCTGACTTTCATCCATCAAATCCACAGAATGTGGAGACGGACAAAGAGCAGGGTCTGTATGTTTAAGGCGACACTCGCACATGCTTGGTGAAACTGGTCCCCTAGAATACTGCTTAAGGCTTTCAAGCTTGGGATTTTCTAAAAGCTGATCTTTACTTTGATTGTCGATAAGAACAGAAACTTCTGTCAGTGCAATAGAGGTAGTTTCTTTTTCGTCGCAGCCATCCACATTGACTGACAATGCTACTATTGAATCCCCAGTATTTATAACAGCCACTCCATCTATTTTCAATTGAGTTCTTGGTCCAAATGGGGGAAATGGAGGTGTCAATTCAAACTTTGTATGAACAGAAAAGGCATGCTTCATACATGGAATTTTGATGGGCTTCTGCTTTTTGTCTTCATCTAAATTGCAAAAAAAAAATTCTTTTACTTTACATTGATATACATCAGTGTATAACTGTATCTTTAAAACATTTATTCCCCCTTTCCTTCCCTCTTGCCACCATTTCAAGTCCCAAAAGTATAACTTGATGTGTGAGTATATATGTTACCTAAAAGAAGTAAAATAAACCTGCTTAAAACATAAATAAGTGGTTTTATAATTCCCTTTTAATTTGGCAAATTCTAGAGAAAATAATACTGAATGAAACACACTTTTATAGCAAAGTTTAAAAACCTCACTGCAGAGGGATGCTTGCAAATTAATTTGATAATTTATATCTCAATTTTTCCTCTCTGTTGACAACCTGCCCCCATCTAATTCATTTGAAATATTGTACAATATATTTTAATCAATGGTTTGACCTCGGTATGGGTCCAAAAGGCCATGATATGAAGACAACCTGACATCCATATATTGAAGATGCCATAGATGCTGCTGTAAAATCTATTTCTGATCCAGTGATATAAAAGAAGAATATATATGTATGTAAATGGTGATATATATGTATGTAAATGGTGATAGCAAAAAAGAATATAAATGACCACTTCTTATTTCTTGATCAGCTTTTGTTCATAAAAGGGCATGCAGTTCCCTTTCCCTAAGGCTGAAATTATACGCCCCCTCCACGATACGGTATGTATCGCGATACTTGTGTCACAATTCAATTTTTTCAATATGATTCATTTTAAAAAAGAAACAAATCATAAGATTAAAGAAAACATGTATTCAGATTTCAAAAGGCAAGTAAAAGGTGGTGATACAATAAAAAGCACTACTTGTGCTTCTGTAGATTGAAAGAGCACTTTGTTCGTGTCAATACTAGCAGTGGCAGCCTGCTCTGAAACTTTCTCCGTCTCAATTTTTCTCCCTCATCTGTGTCAAACTATTAAAATGAAGTCGAACTGTATCTATTTCAAGGAGTAACCAAACCCGATTTTAAAAAAAATGTACCCAACTGAAAATCGAGATAGTGAATCTAACATTGAACCGAGCAGTAATATTGAACAATATCGATATTTCGGTGAATCGTTTCAGCCCTACCTTTCCCTATATATTGTTGAAACCAAACTGGGAAGAAACATCACACATGTACACAGACAAACTTTGAAAAGGTATCAGATCTAACAAGCCTTACACTGCTAGAATATTGGATCAGAATCAACTGTATAGTTAATGTAATAATTCTAGCTACAAAATTATTTGCCTGAAATACATTTTATTTTTAATTTATACCTGGGGAAATAATCTGACAGAATTTACAATGCTGGAGTGGAGGTACAGATGTAATGGTCATATAACATGAGGAACATCCATCTTGTGTTTGGCTCGGGAGACTGAAACAAAACAGAAATATTTAGTCACCTTTCTTTTTCAAAAACAAATAAAAGTGTAATTCACCATTCAATACATGTGCATTCATTTTCGTCTATTGTAGATTTACAAAGTTTAAAGATAATATGCATGTTTAAAAAAACCTGCCAACAAAATATTGTACATGTTAAATATAAGAAATTTGATAAAAATATACTACAAATCGTTCAAATTTGCTGATGCTAACCTGTGTCCAAATATCAGGACCTTACACTGGTCTGATGGCCACTCACAAAAAGAAATGTACAGGTCCACGGTTAATTCCTCTTCTCCAAACAACTTGATTTCTGACACCTACAAACGAAAATGGAAAATTTATGAAATGTATTTGATTATCTTCTGCTTGTACATGTAAATAATTTTGTTTGCTTGTCTCCAATTTGTATGTACAATAACCAATATTTATTCATAACATTTTTATGCCTTTTATTTACAAATTGCCGATAGAAACAAGTTCATGACTACTTATATTTATGGCAGAGTCTTCATGCTTGAGAAATGTCAATTACTTAAATAAGTCAGTTGTTGTTTTTTATTTAATTGTCTATTTCCTCTGTTCAATGGTTGGAATCACTTAAACAAGAGGCCCAAAGCCTTAACGGTCTTCATCCATAGAGTATAAAATAAACTGATAGATGAAGCTTTGTTGCTCAAAAGCAAGAGAAGTAAGAAGATCAGGATCAACAAAATAGTTAGTCTAATATACAGTAACAACTCATAAATTAAATTCTAATCTGTCCCCCACTTATCTCTAAATTCCCTATCACCATGCAGACTGTAAATTCCCTATCACCATGCAGACTGTAAACAAACTATCAGTGCTTCTGCACTACATGTATTTTAACCCCATATTGTAACCTCTCATATTGACCTCTCTTAATCTTTGAAGAACATTTAATAAGATGCATGTAAGTTATTTTTGTCCATTTTTTTAATTATCAAAGGTGAATGGAAAAGGGGAATAACTTCTCAGTAGAATACAAATTAAGAGCCCTGCCCAGGACCAAATGGTCCAGATGTTCAAAAATCTGATAAAAATACCCTAAGGGCTTGCTTATTAAAACTTTCACTCAATTTGCCTCTGATATACCCAGAAACAGGGAAGAATTTCACAGGTACAATGCATTTTCACTTCATATTCAACACAGCCCTACCCGAACACCAGAACCCATGAGCCAGGGTCAAGAAATTTACAAATTTGGAAGAGTTACCCTCATCATCATAACTATGCACTTCAAAGAATTAACACATTTCCACTATATTATCTGGTTCCAAAGACGAAGCTGAAAATGCTTAAAAGTTTATCGCCAACGAACGATGACAGATGAAAAGAGATAGCAATAGGTCACCTGAGTGACTCAGGTGACCTAAAAATTGATAGACAAACAGATGGACAAAGTGAATACTGTTGCATAGCTGCATTTGGAAGGTGCAGCTATTTGTATTTGCACACTTTTCACAGTATATTAATACAATTTATTACATTTCCAACAGTGAAATACTAAAATATATCCATTGAATAAAATTGAAGTTTTCACAATTGTGTTATTTGCACTGTTAAAATAACAAGTGCTATTTTCACAGTAAAATAACGAAGTTGCAGTAAACCTCTCCTTCCCTTCCAAAAAAGTGATAAAGAAAACATTTATTGGATATAAGAGTGAATAAACATTCTGATACTGTCTAAATCTGCCACACTATCTCTAAATTGTTTTTAAAATCACTGATAACAATTTTCAATCTTAAGATCACTAAGCTAAGTCATCTCATAACCCCTCAGGTATGACATCATAGCCTGCACAAATGCCTTGCGAAAAAGACAATGGGCGATAGGGGCAAAAAAAAAGGAAATCCAAAGAAACTGTTATAAACTAAAAATTCAATGTTTTGTATTTGGATATGAAATTTTTTTACCCATAACAACTTACTCACTTACTGCCCGTGACGCCTTTGGCATACAGGGCTACCCACAACAACAGCATTTGTTAAAATATATTTTCATTTGTGCTTTGCATTCGTGAAAATAAAAAAAAATCCTGTCCCACAGTCCACACATGAATTACATTTCAAGCCCAAATACAAAACACTGAATATCCTCTATTTTTATGCAATACATGTATATACCAATTATTTTTCCACAACATGAGTATAACACTACACAAATCTAAGAAGTTGTCCAAAGGCACATGAAATAATACCTTTTGTAATGGCTGATTGGGTACAAACCACCACCACTGCAGTCTGTATTCATATGTACACACTGGCAGCACAGATTGGTGATCAGCATCCATAGATGTTGTGTAGCTCACAACAAACTGTCCACATTTTGTGAATCCCAGAAACACATGCCTAAAAAGAAATTTGAATAAAAACTCAGTAGGACACATTTTTCCTGTATACTGTGTGTAGCATATTTTGCTGTGACTTGATCTTTCAAAGGTATGTTCAATCGATTCTGATTTTCTTGCATCAGATTAGTTTTATTATAGAATGCAATATTCAAACAGTATTATAACTAGAAACTCATTACTAGTAATGAGAAGGTCTTCCGTTATACTACTTCCTGTTTGCATAAACATGTCTTTTCCAACGTCGGTATAAGCCTAAAACTGATGTAGAAACAAAATAACTTAAAAAAATTACTTTTTTCTTCATTTCCTGTCACGACCGGAAGTAATGACGACAGACGATTTTTACATGATGCAAATGAACTGATGACTGACTATAAGTCCTGAAAGTTTTAGACTTCAGTCTTTTACTCTTACCGAGCAATTGTGAGAACACATTCTAATTTTGGGGACAGGAAAACACACGACCGGAAGTGAATTGAATAAAAATCTCTGAATTTTCTCATGACATTTGTAGTATCTACAGCATATGTATAAAAAAAACATTTCAAATACTTATCTTTAAGTGATATTTATGAGAAAGCTAAACATCGAAATAACGTAGTTTATCTCTTTGAACCGGAAGTTTACAGTTTTTGTTTCCGGTGGAATCTAACATATTTCAAAACACGAAAGAGATGCAACAAAGTGATGCAAGTTATAATTTTATAAAGAAAAGTTGAAATTTTCGATTTTTTGATCACTTCCTGTGACGACCGGAAGTGACGGCTGACGCGTCTAACCCTATGTGTTTTGCCTACTCCTCAAGGTCTATTACTCATTTAAGTTTGGTGTCTTAATCTCATGCCGTTTCCGAGATCTCGCTGAGATAACTTTTCATTTTGAGGACAGGAAAAACACGCGACCGGAAGTGAATTTTACTAAGATTTTTGACGTTACTCTAGACATTTGCAGTCTGAATAACATATCTAGAAATCTTTTCAAATACTTTATCTACAAAAGATATTTAAGGGAAAGTAAAATACTCAAATTATGTAGTTTTCCTCTTCTAACCGGAAGTTGTCGTTTTTGTTTCCGGTGGGACTGACATATTTCGAAACTACACATAAGATGCAATAATGTGATGCAAAAAAAAATTCAAAAAAGAAAAGTTGAAATTTTCGATTTCTTTGATCACTTCCTGTGACGACCGGAAGTGACGGCTGACACGCTTAACCCAAATGGGCTCGCCTACTCCTCATGATCTATTACTCGTATAAGTTTGGTGTCTTAATCTCTAACCGTTTCTGAGATCTCACTCGGAAAAAATATTTTTGAAAAAAACGGAAATCGGACATATCTGACGACCGGAAGTGAATTTTGAAAAAATGAAAAAAACGCCTCGGGGTATTTTCATTCTCTATCAACCCTGAAAATTTCAGGAAAATCCGTCCAGTCATCTCTGAGAAATCCTGCCGACAAAAAAAGGGGAAAAAAAAAAAATAATAATAATAAACAGTACAATCACTATAAGGTCTTCCGTCTGGAACGGAAGACCTTAATTATTGTTAATAGAGCATGACATCTTTGATAAAACCATATTAGATATATTTATATTAAAATTGCAATACTTTGTATTGTCTGACCCCTCATTAAATTTATCCTACCCATCTCAAAATGAATAAATGAATTATGACTGTTAATAAAGAAAAGGTTTCAGTATATACCATTACAATTTTTTTGAAAAATAAAATTTGTTCAAATGCTTCGAATACATTTTTAGTACTGTTAATACGTGTGTGCATGTTTTTATATACATTTATAAAACACTGAATCCAATCAAAAATAAATTTACTGCAAAATGTATATGAATGAAATTTTTAACTTAATGTCTTCTAGTGTACGATGATTTTTTTCCCCTTACCCCTCCTCCAGTGCCTCCTCTGACACCAAAGATGGAAGCCTAAAACACAATCTGTTTGGAATTTTATTGAAGAACTGGCACTGTCTCTGTCTCCTGTGCTGTTTTATTGTTCCCCTGGTCTGTTTTAAAAAAAATATAAAATTAACCTTTAGTATTTCAGCTGTACACAATAAATTGTGCAAATTTTTAATTTAAGAAAGCTTAATCTATGAGGTGTCGTTTTGTTATTTACTGCCATTAAGTGATATCACCTATTTAAATAGGTGATAACACCTAATCGAATAAGTGATATCACCTATTCAGATTCTGAATTGGTGATATCACTTATTCAAATAGTTGATATCGCTTATTCGAATAGGTGATATCACCTATTCTTTTTGAATTGGTGATATCACTTATTCAATTCAAATATGTGATATCACCTATTCAAATTATTTATGAAATAATAACTGCTCTGAAGACTATAGGGTTAGTCTTGTCCCATGATCCCTTGCACTTTGTTATTGACAACTACTGAACAAAAATAATTATAACAGAGAGAAACTATCAAGAAATATAGCAAAACTAGCACTGCAAGTAAAAATTTATAAAATTCATATAACTTTACAAGGATCGATAACATAAGGTATTTAAAATATCTCAGACTAAAACACAGGGTAAAACTGGGCAGCCCGAACTTGCTAGGGGCAAATGGAAATCTAGATAGCCTTGAAGAAGGGAGCATTCATTATTTAATGCTGTAAGAAATGCAAATAGGTGATATCAGCTATTCGAATTTGTGATATCACTCATTCAAATTGAATGAGTGATATTCGATATCAGCTCGAATAGGTGATATTACCTGTTCAATTTGAATGAGTGATATCACTTTTTCGAATAGGTTATATCACCTTTTCGAATAGGTGATATCACCTTTCGAATAGGTGATATTATATAAATAGTGCACGTTTTTGAGGGTAACAGTTGAAATTGACACCCCAAGGAAAACCATTGTCAACCGACGCGTCAGCGGAGGTTGACAATGGTTTTCCGAGGGGTGTCAATTTCAACTGTTACCCTCAAAAACGTGCACTATTTATTTTATTATACTGAATGTCTTATTGATTTCGGATGTCATAAAAAAAAAATCGGAGATCGTCGTTAAGTTCACGCTTAGAAAGCTTTCAAACTCCCCGCTTCTATTTTTCTCAATAAGAAAGCTTCGGAAAAGATTTACCAACCTCTCTATTGTTTGTTTGCTACTCAAAAAGTCCTTTATCATCTAAAGTTTGCACTCGCAAGGATGTTTTGTCTGTCGTTTGTTGTTTTCAAGTAAGCTACATCGGACGCAAGCTTTTATTGACGTCGTTTATTCGGCTTCTTTCAAACGCACAACCGACGTTTTGAGAATTCTACGGTGAACCGTACGCGCATGATTTGAACGCATGTGATATTTTCGTAATGTTACCCGTTGTCAAGTGTGTTGCTAACGCTGAGGGTAACATTACGGATTGTTAAATGCGTCTAAACCAATCAGATTTTAGTATTTAACATGAAAGTATAATAACACTAAATAGCAATAAACACCAAAACAGTGCCTCATATTAATCTATTTTCAACTTCCAGTCAACAAAGGACATAAGGGTCAGAATCCTGTCCAACTTAAACTTGATTTGCAACAAGGGTACCAGAAGTTAATGAATAGTATAATACATGCATGTATCTTTGTTAACTTCCAGTGCCCATGATCTGCAACTCTGTTACATGCAACCTTATGGGAGACCAATAATTTAGGATCAAAATGACTTAATATTTATGAAACAATTAATAGTGAAACAGAATTGGTTTTATCAATTAGTTTTTCTAAAAACATTGGACATACATTAATTTCTAATTCATATAACACTGGGGCTTATATAAACTGATCCAAACATTCTGTAGCTGAAATTGCAGCAACTTAAACCTTGACTGGTACAATGTAATGTACTAGAAGAATCATTCATTCATCTCTGATTAATATAGGGCATAGAAGTACTTGAAAAGAAATCTGCTCCAAAAACTTTAACCTGGGATGCCAATGCCGAAGGTTTTACCTAAATTCCCCCCAACTTCATTAAGGTGAGCAGTAGTAAACACAAGTGACAGACACTTGTACAAACAGAGACAATATCTTTAATCCCACAAATAGGAGGCAGATAATTTGGTATCTAAATGACTTATCTAATCAACCGCTGCATAGTGAGTAGTGCTTTCTCTTAATCTGTATGGAAATCCCCTTGATTTGGTATTTGAGCCGAGATGCATACATGATAATCAATTGTATCCACCAAATATTTGATTGTAGGAATATTTTACTCGTTCTTTTTCTAATTTTTTGAAAAATGATATACGATTGATTCTCTTAATGTCATGTGGCCACAATGATATTCTACAGTTATAGACTTTTATGCACCACCCACTAGATCTATTCAGAACATACACAAATTGAAAATAATTGTAAAGTAATCAACCTCTCTATTGTACAGCTTTTTTAGTATACTGCAAGACATCATTTAAGTTCTATAAATTCATTTTCAAAAAAAAATCTTTGTGTCGTCTGAGCGCTTTCGGATTGCTTCAATGTTAGTCAGACGCATCAAATAACATCAAGAAAATCATCCCTTAACTAAACGCATAACCAACACAGACTCTAAGGATTTAAATTGACGATTAGAAATCGGACCAGTTTCCGGAATCACACGTTAGTATGTCCACAAACTGAAAGGTCATTTATGAAACATGTCTCGTTCAAGGTTTGGTTTGCTATGCAGAAAAGTCCTCACAAATCACATGAGGTGGGTACATAATTTCAATATGATATGATAAAATCGAAGTTTGAGTTACACGAAGACTCATTACATAATGTAAAACAATTTTAAAAAAATCTTCCACATACTTCATTGTACTTTTAACTACTTTTAAATTTTAGTTATATAATTTCTTTTGGTAAATATTTACCAGACTCTTCTGCACCACTAGAAAAGCTACTGCTAGTTCACTAGCGAGGCAGTTTAAGCTTACAGTCTCCCACTTCGCACAGGTCCTCTCTGAGAAGGTAGTATGGAGCCTTTTCAGTAATGGCAACCTATGCCATCCATGGATGTTAAGTACGTTAATGGACACAAAGTCCTTGCCCAAGATTCTTTCTTGAAGCAGGTCTCCAAACATTAGTAGAGTCAGTAATGCTGCCACCAGTGTAATGTGAAGCGATCACCCATCCAAGGGACCAGGGCTTATTCAGGTTTGCTGCATGTAGCCTAACTGGAGAGTCTACAGTGCTGCATTACTGGAAGAGCTAGCTCACTGGCTAGGCAGTATACATTCCTATATATTGTCCGCTACACAATCATAGATATGTCCCAATTGTTCTAATGTTTAGTAATGTGGCTTGTAATGTAGACATGTCATAAGTTAATAGAATGCCACTGCTAAATCCAATCTTTGTATCGGGAAAGGGAGAAAGTGTGTAAGATCAGATCGGGATTCGAACCTGCATTCCCTGAACTCTAGACAATTGCTTTACCAACTGAGCTACTTGGCTATTCATGATCAAAACCTGCCTGAGTGACCACCACCATCCTCTCTCCCTAAATGTCTGTCCTTGAAGACACACACGCAGGGTCTTCCCCAGCAGGTCTTTTGCCTGTCACTTCCAGGGCATTGCATAGCACCAAATGTAACAGAGAAGGAGGAATAAATGAACACATAATGAAAAGTTATGGTTTTAACTAGAATTGAACCAGGGACCCCTGCATTACTATTCAGGTGCTATGCCACTTTACCATTAAGGCAAATATCCATGGTACCATAAATACTGTGGAATCATCAATGTTCATGGGGGATCAATGTTTGTGGATATCGTAGGTCACCCTTACGAATTTACATCCCCACAAATAACTATTTTGTCAATGGATATCGTGGGTCACCCTTATCCACAAATTTACATCCCCACAAATAACTATTTTGTCAATGTATTTATTCAGTGAACTTTTGTATACCGTATACAAGTTACCCATAAAATTATGTCCCCACGAACCAACAAAATTTTACTTACCCACAAACATTGACCCCCCACAAATTGAAATGATTCCACAGTATAGCCTAACTTACAACATCTGTTATACAGTACTTATAAAAGTTTAAAAATTTATATCCTTTAATTTTGTTAAAGGTGGGCTATAATGGTCAAAGCCAAAACTCGATCATTATTTATATTACAACACACCAAAGTTTATCTTCGTGTGTGTGAGGCAGGTGTGTGCAAGGCAGGTGTGTGCACTACTGGGCAAATAACACGGTTGGTAGAGCATTGTCTAGAGTTCAGTTAGCCCGGAGTTCAAATCCTGGTCTTGTTGATTGCATTTTCTCCAGTTACATGTGTGGCGGTCTTCGGGTTTAATCGGCAGTGGTCAAATAGCTTTGATATACCCGGTAGCACCTGACTGGAGATTCAGGGGGCCCGGTTTTGAATCCCGATCTGGTCTGTCACATTTTTCTCCTCTCGTGTGACATTTTATGTGCCATGCCCTGGAAGTGACAGATGAAAGACCTGTCAGTGAAGAGCCTGGGTTGGTGTCTTTGCGGTCAAAGACTTTTAAGGAGGGAGGAATTTGGTGGTCAGATGGGTTCAATCGCTGGTGGGCAGATAGCTCAGTTGGTAGAGCACCTGACTGGAGATTCAGGGGGCCCGGGATTGAATCCTGGACTGGTCCATCACATTTTTCTTCTCTCCTGTTACACATGTGGTGATGTGACCATGCCCAGGAAGTGACAGGTCTGTGAGGGATAAACCTAGATTGATATATTCAGTGAGCAAATATATGGGGGGGGGGGGGGGAATGCAGTAGGCAGGCAGGTTTGTCATTAGATGCTAAGATAGCACCTATCTAGATTTATGGTGCACATGATTAAAACGTTATGTATCTTATTTATCCATTAGTAGTCATTTAGTGGATCTTTAGGAATATGGAAATAGTAAAAGATACTTATCTATTGCATTTGATTGAAACAATTCTCATTTTATAAAGGTAACACAGTATAAATCAAATCCAAAATCTTATGCAACAATACAACAGTGTATATTGTTATATTAACTACATTGTCAAGGAATATTTTATTCTGATCAGTCTTTCAAGAGAAATATTAAGAAATCGAAGAAATTGTAACAAAATTTATTGAAGGTCTTTTTACATCTCTATTTGTAGGAGGTGTGCCCGATGGGATCAGTCAAGTGCAGCCAACGTGGCCAAAGTGACCCTGAATCAGTTAAGTGATCACCTGGAGGACCAGATCATGATTAAAACCATCAGTAAATCAAGCTTTGTTCTACACAATGACAATATCAGGATTATAGGACCCACAGTGTTCTTCCCAAGAGAGGTTCTACACTGGAATGTATGTTGCTAATTCTTGATTTTGATGTTTGATATGTAAATTTACAATGTTTATGTTAGAATTCAACAAAGAGGGTATTGTAAAGGGTGTGATCCAATCCAGCAACATGCCTGACTTTCAAAAATTCATATAAACACATATATTGATTTACTTTTCATTGTCTTTATTCTTAATTAAGATATTTTACCATTTCTGTATTGCATATATTATAAGGAAGCATTTACTAGTTTGTGGTAATCTTATATGACTGAATTAATTTTTTTTAAATATATTACAAATATAAAATATTTGTGATTTTTTTCTTTGACAGGTTAAAGGTATTGAGGATATAAATGAAGCATCCTTGTCCTTGTTTACACTTATTGATCCAAAAGTTGGTAAGTACTGATAAATAATTTATTTTTGTGGGGTCAGATTTTTGTAGTTTGAGGAAAAGATATTGATTCCTGAGGAATTGCTTTCGTGGTTGAAGAAGATACAATTTCAACATTTTATGTGGGACATGAATTCCTGGATCTCTTCATACCGTGAAAACAATGAAAATTAAACCCTCATGAAAATGAATGTTGTCATAGTACCGGTACAAGTAATTTATGTAAAAACCAGAAAATGCTATCATATTTATTAAACTTAAATCCCTTTTATTATCAGGATACATTTTTAAGTGTCAGAATTTGGGATGTGTTTGTTCATCATGTTACTTTCCGATGGATCCATGACTTAATTAACTTTAATTGTTCCTTTACATAAAAACTGTTTAATTGTTGGCCAGATTAACTATTTAAAAAAAAAAAAAAAAAAAACTCTAAGCTTTAACATATAGCATACTTGATTGTGATAGAATTCGGCCGAGCCGAACCAAGCCGGGTAAACCCTGGTACGCTCTTAGAATCAAGTGAACAGGCTCATGTAAAGTAATAGAAATATTGTATTTCTATCGTAAAACATTATCTAGCATAGAAAAGGACTACACTTTTTGAAAATATGTTCATTTCACAAGCGTACCTCGATCAAAAGCTTCACGTCTTAAAACAAACAACTTTCAACACTACTATCCCCAAGGATGCTATGTTGAAGCCGCCCGAGCCTATCAAATTTTTCCGGCTCAATCGGCTCACCCAGCTTGATGCGTGCGCAATACCGGCTCAGAATCAAGTGTGTTGCCGGTCATCGCCGGTTTACCCGGGTGCGCCGGATGGTCAGAATCAAGTATGCTAATAGGCTCTATTAATTTGTAATCATAGTTTGAATGTTGGCTGTCTGTCAATATTTTTTTTTTTTTTATTTTATTTTTCCTCTTTAGAATCATTGTCCAACTATTATTACACAGTTAACTTGGCAGCAAGCATTCCCCAGCTAGGAGGATTCAAATTTGTGTAACAAAACCCTCATAACGAGCCATACCTATTGAAATTTAGAAAAAAAAAGAACTCTTTCAAAAATCTTTATAAATTTTACAAGAAGTGTAGTAGAGATGCACCCACTTGATTAGTCGTGGACCTTTTACATATTCATTTAACCTTTTGCAGATGTCCTATTGATCGGAGTAGGAAATCGCATGGAGAGACTGAGTCAAGAAGCTTTGAAGTATCTGAGAGTCAACAAAATTAATTTTGATGTTCTACCTACAGTAAGTATTTTGAAATACATGTACCTATTTTTACTACCAGAGAGAACATAAATTTCTGTGAAATTTTAGTTCGTTGTCTAATATTAACAAAGGTCGTTAGGAAGTGGTCCAATTACATGTTTATGAAATGAATTTTTTTTTAAATGAAATAAATAGGTTGGATATTTGAAAGTTTTAATTCACTCATAACTACATGTATAGTATATAAAATTCTTTGAAGGTTTGCAATAAAGTAGACAATGATCCATACTCTATTTGTATTCATTCAATTTTTGTAAAATTTTTCCAGGAGAAAGCTTGTGCATTGTTCAATTTCCTAAATGGGGAACAGCGTCAAGTTGCTGCGGCAGTGATACCTCCCACTGTCATTGACGAGGACATGCGTATGCCAGTGGATGATGACCTGATCACCTTTGATCCCTGCGTAGATATGTTTGGTCAAGATCCCGATGTTATTATACCAGACAAAGACGAAGACTGGAGGACACCAGGAGAAAAACTCAGAGAAGCAGCCACAGGTGTGAGACTGATGATCAATAAACGAAGAAATGCTCAAAAGTTAATGGACATGCCAGCCCCAGATATTCCGGACATGCAGGATATTGTTGACCGAGTCATGGATGAAGTGGAGAAGGAGGCAGCCAAGGAACGTGCACAGAAAGAAAAAGAGAAGGCAGTACAAGAAAAGGGGACTAAGATAGAGGATGGAGAGAAGATGGGAGAAAGGGGGTTGGAGAAAGGTGATAGAGAGAAGAAGGAAGCAAAGGGGTCAGAGAGAGGTGAATGGACTGGACAGAGTAATACAAGTGAGGATAAATCTGGGGATAATTCAAAAAGTGCGAGAAACACTGACAATAGTGAAGCCAAAACAGATGACCCCAAATCCTGAGATTTACTCAGTAATTAATGTATATGAAACCTGATAATATTGGCCAAATAAACATTGCTGTGCTTGCAGAGATGTAATCTCTTTATTTTCATGTTCACAAAATGTTCCAGTAGAATAAAATTGGTTTATCTTTAAAGTGTACCTGTGGCATCTAGTACCTGCTTTTTAATAGGAATATGCATGTACATGTATGTGGAAACGAGAAAAAGGAACAGTTTGTGTTTCAACCAGTGATTTTTAGTCCACCAATACAATTTTCATGTACACTAATAATGAATTGAAACAATGAATATTTTCAAGTTATTTTATACAACAATATGTTCTTTAATACATACATATTACAAAATGCATGTATTTGCTTTATTACAGGTATTAAAGTTCTTTAAAACAATACTGCTAAGATATTCTGATTCCTATGTTGATGTTAACTTAGGGAGCAAACATATATTACAGACAGTGGAATTTTTTTTTTCTATTAGGTCACTTGAGTCACTCAGGGGTACTGTTGCTATCTGTTTTCCTCCATCGTTGTGCAGGCGGGCGTCGTGCATAAACTTTTCACATTTTCGACTTCTTCTCAAGAACCACCGGGCCAATTTCATCCAAACTTGCCACAAAGTATCCTTGGGGAAAGATGATTCAAGTTTTTTCAAATGAAGGGCTACACCTTCTTCCAAGGGGAGATAATTAAAAATGAGTGAAAAATTACTTGGCAATGCATCTTTTAAAAATCTTCTCAAGAACCACTGGACCAGGTGAGATGAAACGTATTTGGAAACATCCTCAGGTAGTGTAGACTCAAATTTATTAAAATCATAACCCCCAGGGGTAGGGTGGGGCCACAATGAACGATCAAAGTTTAACATAGGAATACATAGGAAAAAACTTTAAAAATCTTCTTCTCCAGAACCACTGGGCCAAGAAAGATGAAACTTATTTGGAAACATCTTTAGGTAATGTAGATTCAAATTTGTTATAATCATGATCCCCGGGGGTAGGATGGAGCCACAATGGACAATGAAAGTTTTATATTAGAATACATAGGAAAAATCTTGAAAAAATTCTTTTCTCAAGAACAGCAAAGTCATGATTGGTTATATATACATGGAAGCATCCTCAGGTAGTATAGATTCAAGTTTGTTCAAATCATGACCCCCTTGGGTAGGAAGGGGACACAACAGGTGATCAAAGTTAGGAATATGTAGGAACGATCATTTAAAAATCTTCTCAAGAACAACAAAGCCATGATTAGTCATTTTAATTCAGAAGCATCTTCAGGAACTGTAGATCACTAAATTTTCACTACACCTTATTTTCACAAGATAGATATTGACTCCTAATTAGCGAAATGGAATATTCACGAATTGTCACAGTGGTTATTGCTCTATATAATCTTTAGGAATACTAATACATGCATACGCAAGAATGAAATTTTTGCAAGCACACTGTCTTGCGTGATTATGCAAAAATAAAGTTCTTGCGAATAAAAAGTGATTTACAGTAGTGTAGATTCAAGATTGTTCAAATCATCACTCTGGGGGGTAGGGTGGGGCCATAATAGAAAATAAAACTTACAGGAAAAAAATCTAAATGGGGGACAGATTAGAACTTAATTTATGAGTTATTATTAAATACTAATTATTTCTTAATTTATGAGTTGTTACTGAATACTAGACTAATTATTTCTATGATCCTGATCATCCTATTTCTCTTGCTTTTGGGCAACAAAGCTGTTTCTATCAGTTTGTTTTATACTCTATGGATCCTCTATGGATTGTTGTTTTACTCAGGTGACCATTAAGGCCCTTGGGCCTCTTGTTCATTTAAAGAATGCAATGTCAAATGTTGAGATGTCTCAGCTCAATGAATATTCTTACTTGTGAATGGCTAGTTTAATTAGAAATGACAATAAACTAACAGAAGCATGCAGGTTGAAATCCATTTACCGGTATTTGGTGATGTTTGGAACAGTGCATTATGTCCTCTATAAATATCTATGAATATGACCATTTTAAAATGAGATTTGGTATCAAGTGACTGTAAATGCAAACATCTTAGAATTGCATTTCTAATCCCCCCTTTCCATATTTATTAATATTTATAAGCTCACCTAGCAGTGGTTTCCATGTTCCGGTTAAGGTTTAAGGAGCAGCTCTCATTCCCAAGTAACTGTAATCCCCATCTAGACTGAGATGTACATTACCTGTCTTGCTTTGGATGCAGGATCTGACGTACATTTCCCGGATGAGAGAGTAGGCTCTAGCTGGGACCCATAAAACTTAGAAGAGATCACTTTAGATTGTCTCACTTTAACATGAGTAATTAATGGTGGAAAGGTGAGACTTAGATAAAAAGTTAGCTCATCTAAGTTTTATGGCCCTGAAGCAGGTTAAAATTTTATGAGAAGATTTCATTCCTAAGTAACAATTAGCCTTGTGGTGACTTAACTTGCATGGATGATGGGTATAGGGATACACATTACTAGACTTGCTTCGGATGCTGGATCTGACTTATGTTTTCCAGATGAGTGAACAGGTTTAAGTTTTTGGAGCAGGTTCATTCTCAAGGAACTGTTAGCCCTTCCTCAACCAAATTTGAAAGGATGATGCATCTTGAAATTGATGAAAACATCCAGATTGGCCGTGGATGCTGGACCGGACCTACATTTTCTGGATGAGTGACCAGGTTAAATTTTTTGGAGCAGGGTCATCCCTAAGTAAATATAATAATCCCTATGTTGACCAAACTTGCATTGAAGCAGGTTCATTCCCAAACAACTGTTAGCCTTAACTAGACCAAAGTTGCATGGATGATGCATCTAGAGATGCATACCACTAGATTTGCTTTGGATGCTGCATCTGACCACATTTACTTGAAGCAGGTTCATTCCCAAGTAACTTTCTATCCTATGAAACTGCACTGATGGTGCATCTAGGGATGCACACTTGCTTTGGATGCTGAATCTGATCTATATTTTCCAGACAAATGAACAAGTTAATATTTTAGAGCAGGTCCATTCCCAAGTATCTATAATCCCAATGGTGACTGAACTTGCATTGATGATACATGTTACAAGGTATGCACAGTACCAGAACCTTTGTGACATGGCAAACATGGCTTTTGTCAACAGGCTTTTTATACCTGCACATCAAAGTTGCATGGGGATTATGTGCATAACGAATAATTTACTGGACATATTCATATGTGGAGAACTACTTGACCTTCATTCTCAATTTGCATTAAAACTAGTAGTGACCAAAGGTACAGCCAATTCATTTGAAGATTAAAAGATCTTTATTGTACACAAGTCATGTAAAACGATTAGAAGTATACGTATCCATTTATTGAGTTGAGTTTTCAGTTGTGAAGGTTACTTTGTCTTTAAAATGTTGCATACATATTTGAACTTTCAGTCTTACTTGCTTGTGTTTTCCAAGAAATGTGCCAAAGACAACATAGAAATTTTACAACATTTATTAAAAATCCAGATTTTTGTAAACAATATAAAATGACACTGCTTTTTTGTATAAGGTGTAGACTTAATAAGAAAAGCAATACTAAATGAGCACCATTGCATAGTAACACAGAAAGAGGTATCTAATGGTTTTTCTTGAACTGCGATCAAAAAATTTTAATAGCTAGCTAAAATACATCATTTAACACAAAAATTCCAAACATATTCATGTTTTCTGATGAATATTATCCCAGCATTACATGTCTCATTTTACTCTCCTTAATTACATTCCTATAATCTGGACATTAATTAATCACTTGACATATTTCACCTAAATAAAGGCAATATCAAAATACATGAATTATTCACTATATAAACATTCTCTATACAGTGTGATAATAAAAAGGTGGAAAATGGCTACATAATATTATTAAGCTTATTATAATTTACATACTTTGGTATCGATCTGATATTTTTTCTTGAGAGAATGATTACACGCATATAATTAAAATAATACTCAATATAGATCCAATAAATCACTTGGAATGTTAACTGGCCTCAGTGCCACAGTCAGCCCTGGCTAGCACATAATAGGACGAGGTGAATACACATTTATCCTGCATTAAAATGATTCTGTACAGGGAAAAGCAAGGATTTCTCATGTGATCTAGAATTAGTACAAAGCACTAACAGATCGGACACACAAATCAACAGCATACACAATCTTATTTTTTATAAAAATACAAAAAAGGTAACCTTAAACATTTATATCTAAATGCTTAATCTAAGAGTTTTAATGAATTATTATAAAGAAGAGCATGGGGGTACTAGTTTACATACAAGTGTTGTTACATTAGGGCGTGACACGGAGAGTGGCTGAGTATTTAAGGTGGCAGTGCCTTCTTATTTCCTGCGTTTTCCCGGCTGTCGCATTAATTTCTCTCGCGCCCTTTGGCAGCTCTCACAGCAAGGCTTTGAGTATCGGGTGTGGCCACAAAGGCGTGCACTAACAATCAGGGAACACTTGATTCTATTGGCTGTGTCTACACAACTTGATGGCACCAAATCTACAATGAAATTGATAGAAATCCTGATTTGATATATGTTTAGTTAAATCTTTGTATTTTGAACATAAATAGTTTATAAATATTTTAGATAGCTGAGATTTCAAAATATATAGGTTGAATAATATTCATATTAATACGGTATTCGGGAGGAGCACATTACCACTACATTGCAAGAAATTACAACTCATTATGGCTACTTTTCACCTAGATTTCAGGTGTGCATTTTGTGCATTACTGCTATATTTTATCAATAAGAAGATTGGCAATTTCAACTCATTACCAATATGCCTGTACATGCATAAGAATGGAAGAGGCATTGTAATGGTAATGTATTTATACCTATAAATGTAGCGGTAATGTATACTATTTTGTAGCGGTAATGACAATTATGAAAATATAGTGGTAATGTACTGCATCCAAATATTCATAGCTCACTAATATAAAATGTATTCTTTAAAAATTGGTAAACATCTTTTTCTTTTGTGAAGATATGATAAAATATGATGAAATAAATGTACATGAAGACAAGAGATAATTTTGAACCCTTCATCAATGCTGCATTAACTGACACAGGTCAATATCCTTGGGAGAAAAAAAAAACACTTACCAAAGGGAACAACTTGAATTGACACAGTGTCCTCAACTGTCTCCTCATCATTCCTCACCACACAGGTGTAAGTGCCTGTGTCCTCAAGGGCCAAGTTTATAATCCTCAAATTGCCCCCCTGGATTTTTATTCTCTGATCAGCTGTTAATGGTAAGCCATTTTTCCTCCAGGAAATGGAAGGAGTGGGGTACCCAAAACCAGAACAGGTTAAGTAAAGGGCCTCACCCTCTCGTTTTGTCTCCTCTGAACGGTCGATTCTTGCCCTCAAAGACTCTACAAAAAATAACTCATATCACTACAAAACTTGTATCACACAAAGGAATTTTATCAACGGAACCAAAGTGTGTATCTTTTAGTATATACACCAAGTTTTTTGAAATCATACTTAAACTATAGAAGGAGCATTCTGAAAGAAGTTTACAGAAATTCCAATTTTTTGTAACCATTCAAGACTAATTTAGACGTTCATTGAAATCAATTACCAACACAAAGAATTATGTATTTTGAAGTTATTCTACCAAGTTTTTCCGGAAACTGCATCAAAAATGAAGGAGGACTGGCATTTTGAAAAAAAATAAAAATTTACAAACAGAAAGATAAACTGGCAGATGAAGGGCACCCTGCCAATCTTTTGGTCTTTGACCAGATGTATACAAAACATGGTCAATCATCAAGTTGACTCCTGACCTAAGAGAAAGCAAATAATGGTAATTGAACAATATATCCCTATGAATACACTTTACCTCTAAGCTGTAGCTTGACAATCCTCTGCTCCGGTGTGGACACCCCATTGCTGGCCACACAGAGGTAACTGCCCATGTCTTGTTCCACAGTTCTCTGTATGATCAGGGTACCATTGCGGTACACAGTAAAGCGAGGGTCTCTGGACACGTCATATCCATCTCGAGACCAGGTGACCCGGGGGTGGGGGTTACCATAGGCCTGACAGTGGAGGAAGGCATCTGCTCCTGGCTGAACCACAATCATGGCTGGTGTTGGGAAAATTGTGATAGGAGCTATGTAAAAAGAATGAATGACCATAACTATCTGCTGTAAAGTCATTACATAAATTCATTGAAGAATTCATAAAGTATCCATTCAAATTCTATCTCAATGAAGTTATTAAATCAATTTATGACAAAGTAAGTCTTGTTTTTAAATTTCTAAGAACAATTATTTTGGTATGTTTCTGTAATTTATTCTAATCTGAATGATGTTTAAAGAAAAACAATTTGAATTCCTATATGCAATGTAAATGTAAAATGCATGCAGTCAGTATAAGTACATTTTGTTACATGTATACACAAAAAGTTTATCTTGTTATTGGCGAAATCTTGAAAATCATACTGTAAAATAAGCCTATATACATGTAGGGTTTCATTTTTTGAAAACAAAACCCCTTGTCTGCTTCAAAATATTTCCTTAAAATTATGTTCATGTCCCAGAATGAAGTTCTGTAAAAACTATACACTTGATATTCTTTTTTAACATTGACATTTCCTTGCTTTAATATAATGTATGGACATTTTTTTTTTTTACATGTTCTAAATTATGCAACTCATATTGGTAAATGAGTGTAACAGAATTTGTTTACAGAGTATTTTAAGTTTAAATGTGGAATAACCTTGAATTCAGTAATACAAGAAGGCTATATAGATAAAAACTGTTAAATTTTGTCCACTCTTGGACTATAGAGTAAATCAATGACATGCTGATGTTGAACTACAATGTACTGTAGTGTTGATACTGAAGAGAATAGAATGGATTGACCAGAGTCATCATCCACATAAAAATAAAATACACATAGATCACTATAATATGAAGAACGTCAGCGAAATTCTTTCAATGTAATTAATAAAAAATAAAAATAAAAAAAGTTAACACTGTTCATGCAAATGGACTACACTTAAAATATACATATTATTTTGGACAACATTCATAGTCTATGGTGTTAACTAAATAAAACAAGTTTGTGAAAATACTGTATACTGTCAATTTTCATCTTTTTTTAGTGCAGTATTTATAAAAGGTACATAGTAAGTTTAAAGGAAGAATGTAGGGAAAAAAATTTCTTTGCATTAATTAAGAGCAAAAAAAACAAAATCAACAAAAACAAAAAAGAAAACAAAATGCATAGGAGTGAAAATTTGTCAGTATACAGTATATACTAATATGATACTATTGAGTTACTTAGTTGGCAGTCAAATTTGGAAACCACAAATATAACAAATGATACTCCTGTAATTACCTGCTACTCCACGGGCTGAAACCAAACACAGTGTGAGGAATATTATAACACAAATGTTAAGACAAAGGTCAACAAAGATTATGACAATAACATAGGATGGATCCAGTTCTCAGTCAAAAAAAAAATATTGCTCTAAAACTTTACACGGTAGGGTGTGCCATGTAAAAATGGTGCTACATTGATAATACTTGTGTATATAGTTAGCATACCCTTATCCTTGACCCCCCCCTTGCCTTCCCAAAGTTTACCGTACTTTTTCAAAGTTTACGACTGGTAAAAACATCAATTAATTTTGAAAGACTTGCAAAAAATTTTTTTTTGATGGGTGCAAGTTTCAAACTATTTCTTTTTCAGACAAATTACGACAGTTTATTAGTATGGTGAAAATAAGCAAGGAAAAATCCACCACAAACTTCAATAAGTATTCAACAGGAAAAGACGAAAACACATGATACATGATCCCAAGTTAAGCTGTAGACAGAGACATGATTTTAAGGACAAATCAAATCTACCACTACTGTATAAATAAATCATTTACAATTGCAGAAAATCCGAATTAAATATATATCCCCATCCACTGCTAAACACACAAAGGCGTATATGTACAAGCAGTTATGGAATTGTTCTATTTCGAGAAAAGACCAAAACAGTACGGTATTCACAAATCAAACACACACTTCTACAAAAGGTTTTGATCTTAGTTATGAATTTATCATAAAGGGACTCTTACCTTCTACTTGCAGTCTAAACCTCTCTATTTCTGGGGTGGATCCCACTTCTGCCACACGACAGGCATACATGCCGCTATCATCCAATGTAGCCATATGAATCAATAGTGAACCGTCAAGATTTATAATCAGTCTGTCACTCTTTGTTATTTGGAATCTACAGACAACATTTTGAAATTATTTTCATAATCATTAAGCTTTGCAATTTCATATACTAGTACATAATTAAAATTTTAAACATATACGCAATATCTTCAAAGTGTTAATTGTAAATGAGACGCTTATAGATGTTTGAAAGTATGCCTCCCACAATTCCATTCAAAAATGGTTATTTTTCTGAAGGAAACCCTCAATTTCCTTTTGCTATGAATAAAGAATCAAAGATGATGATATAAAGAGAATGAAGACCAATTAAGTGTTGGTGTCAATCAGGTTCCTTTGAAGCTACCTTTTTGATCAAATATGTTATTCATACATGTACAGCAACATTTCTTTCCAGATTTCTCACTTACAATCTGCTTACACGTACCTTCATACAGAATGATTTATTTTTAAGGTTTTCCTGCATTGCAAAAATTGCAAAAGTCACTGGCAACAAGTGAAAGAGAAAGTGTATTATAATAATTTAGTCTAAATGTACATGTATGTACTCTGAACAATTTTTGTTATAAATTCTAAATATATACATGTATCATGTAATTAGAAACAATGTATACAAAAGAATATTCTTACACTAAGTTTGACAAGTACAGCATATTTAAATCTACCTACCCATCTTTGTACCATGAGATGCTACCATATCCAGATCTGTATTTATTACATGGTATAACGACATCGGAGTTTGGCACCTCTATCAATGATGTATAGTCTCCCTCAATCACATCAGTATCTGGCCCAGCTTCATCTAAAGAAGAAAATTAAATCTCAAGAATAAAGACAGCTGAATGGAACTTTTTCCATAAGTTTATTTCTGAAAGCATGATCTAGGTGACCCATATTTTAAATGATCAAACCATTCAACAATCTTGTCAGGGTAGCCATGAAAATTCCTACCGATATAAATGATTTAGCAAAGTATTTACAAAATCTCTTTCTCATGAGCTGCTTATTAAGATACAGTAAAACTCGCTTATAATGAAGCGCCAAGCATGGACAATTTTGTTTCGTTATAAATGTAATTCGTTATATCTGTTAAATTCACAATATGTTTTAAAGCCATGGGGAATGAAAAGCACTTCACTGTAATAATTTATAATAATTTAATTTTGTTTGTATTCTAGCCTCTGATTGGTTAATATCCAAAAAGGAACACAAATTATTTCTGTATAACCTGGTTTGGTATGGGACCCCCCCCCCCCCCCCCCCCCCCCCGACAACCATCTGTATCATCTGTATCCATACAATCCTCTCATTTCCAGTCCTCGGGATTCATGGAAAATTCCAGATTTCATAAATGTACCTTTAACTTCAAACGATAATTCAATCTTACCACATGTAAACAAACAACAAGGCTGCTAGGCCTATGTATCAGTTTTTACCTCCCCTCGCTTCCCATCACTTTCGTTACTTCCGTTACTACGGTTGTATTATTGAGCGGCAAATTTGAACTAATAAAAAGCAACAATATTTTAACCCATAGTTATTTAATGGTTTTAAAATTAAATTATAAGGAATGACTCTAATTCTTGGCCAAATTATTCGAGTATAACCTGGTTTGGGTCAGTTTACACTGTTTAATAATCCGCTTCGTGGATTATAAAGCGTAAACTGACCCAAACCAGGTTATACTTGAATAATTTGGCCAAGAATTAGAGTCATTCCTAAAATAAGGGTGTTCGCTATAAGCGTGTTTTACTGTACATAAATTTCTGACCTACCATTGCAATTACTGAAGTAGAAATCTCTTGCTGGGGTGATTCCGTCAGGACAGCAGCCAAATCGAGACCCACAATTCCTGTCATCTATTATATTATCTTTGTCATCAGGGGCTTTTGTGGTGGCTTTGAAGATTAAGATGTACTGTTAATACAACACCTCCAAACATGTTGTTAAAAGGGTACAACATATCTTTACACATTCAATAATACAATGTATTAATAAATTCATGATTGTCTTCCATGGCAACATACAACTAGTATCACTGTTTTTCTTCACTAGAAAAATAGAAATATGGCCATTACATATGACAAAGCTGGGACAAGAAATGTGAGGGCTAAGGTTATCAAGAAGAGAAATGCAGAAGAGGGTCCAGCTGGGAGGGGGGAAGGTGTCGGGGGGTCCAGCCAGTTTTGATGGATCTGTAAAGAAGCCCCTTCAAACAATTTGACTTTTTTGTACAGTACCACTGTCTTACCTGGTGCTGGTGTTGGACGCACTCTATTTATACAGACTTCTCGGCACTCCCTTTCATCGTCAAACCTATTGGCATTTCCGTCACATCCTCCATACCAGAACTGACGACATTCTCCCTCGGTTTTATTGAAGTACCACTTGACTTCCCATTGTGAACAGGTACCTCTATCAGATGTCTCATCACAGAGATCCACATCTGAATTTTAAACATGTCTTTCATGTTAATTAAAGAACAATCTTTTTAACTGCAGGGTATGAGTTACTGTTGCAATCTGACAATAGAAAGAGCACAAATTATGTGTTTTTTAAAGACGGCATTTCTATGTCAACTATCAAATATACAGTCTGCAAACTACACACAATTTTCCAAATATAGTCAGTAGATGTAATTTGAAGTATTAATCATAGATTTACAAAAACAAACTATTAGTTGTCCTGAAGGCTCAACATAGAGACTATAATTATTCCTAGATACAGAGAGAGAGAGAGAGACACTGAGAGAGAGAGAGATGGACATACTGAGAGTGTACTCTCTTGTGGTTGCAGGCCTTTGGGTGGTTACTCTGGGTCTCTCAGTGGGGTACACAGGTCTTCGTGTGGTAACTCTAGGTCTTTCAGTGGGATAAACAGGTCGTCGCGTGGTGACTCTGGGTCGCTCTGTGGGTATCACGTTGTACCTTTCCCAGCAGCTTTCTCTACACTCCTGTCCAGTACTAAATCTGTTGGCATTACCAGTGCAGCCATACCAGCGAAAGGGTCTACAATCACTGATAGATGGGTCATAGTAATACATAACAGTCATGTTGCTACAACTTCCTCTGTCAACTGGAAGCAGGCACTTGGGATCTTTGTTTCTTGGTGCAACTGTTGTCCTAGCTAAAAAAGAAAATGATCTAATGCTTAATTTCAATATGATGCAATGGTATATCTTAGGATCCGGGGAGAGAGAGAAAGCTATAACTCCTTAATGTAAAATTTGTTGCTGCATTGGAATATCTGATGCTGTAGCATGTGGGAACTTTGAAAGCAAAAGCTTGATCAAATTTTATTCACAATCAACAAATTTTGTTTGTGAATCAAGTACTGTCTGATGGTTAACCTTAACAATGACCTATACTTAAAGCTTTGATACTGACCTTAAACTTGGCAAAATATAGATTCTAAATCTTGTAAGTTTAAAATTCATATTTTAAGTAAAACTTGTTAAGAGATAAAACCAAAAACAGAATCCCCAAACTCTCCCAAGGGGCTCTTTGACCTTTGGGCAGAAAAGTCCACATTTTTTAAGAACAATGAAAATAATTTTTAAAAAAAATACATCATACTGTATTATTTTCGTGATTCAAAAACAATAAATTCGTGGAAATCTTTTTTCAAATTTCATTAAGCATTTGAATAGGACGTCTAAGCAAAACACTTACATGGTGCAACATAGATGACAGTTCTAGAATACGGTCCATAACCAATTCTGTTCCTGGCTTGTATCTTGAAATAATAGGTAGAGTCTGGCTGTAGTCCGGTTACATAGGTGTACTCTCTGCCTCCGTCAACCTGCTGTGTGTACCACTGACTATTGTCTGTATTAGGCTCCTTGTTTGTGTAGGAGATCAGGTAATCTGAGTAAGAGACGTACAACTCTACAAGTATTTTCTTTTAAATTAATACATGAAACAGAATTTAAGATATCATAATACACAAGAAAAGACTTTCAGACATTTTGATAAAACTGGTTGATGCTCAACACATTATACTACATGTAAAACAAATGTGTAGGCACCAATCCAGATATGATAGATGTAGCTGAAAAAGTGTTGTTCATTATAAATTTTAGGGTGAATCAAACCAAATCTTTCAAGTGGGATACTTACTGTAGGTCACTAATAGGAATTCCCATAAACACAGAGTTTACAAATCAAAGTAATTATGTACCAGTATATATGTTGTCAGAACTTTCTCAATATTATAACAATGACATCACACATGTACACACCAACAACTGGGTTAAGTCCAGTGGTAGCAGGTGCCCTCCATCTTAGTAAAACAGTAAAGCTATCTCCCCTGGATGGAGATACATCGACATCTGTAGGGTAAGCACTGAGACCTGAAGGAGACAGCATAATAACACATACATGTATTGGGGTGAAACAATATGCTTTCTTCACGATATGATACGTAGAGTATAATTTTATCATGATACAGTTATTTTTAATTAGATACATTTTGACTGAACGCAACATATTCCTAGTGGTTTTATGTTCTGTTTCTATTGTCATAATTTTTCCAGATGAACATATGTGCAGCATCTTTTTCTGAGAAAACTGAACAATTCCATCTAGTTGATTTTCTCTGTTGTTCATTATAAACTGTTGTCTTTATTCAAACATTTTCATCATTATTTAAGTTACATGCATCTTTTTTTGAGAAAGCCAAAGACTTTGAAAGATTCTATTGGTCGAAAGAGCAACCCACATAAAAGATTCATGTAACATGCATAATAAAGCATACAAAATGTATATCAATTAACTCAAATTACCACATTCATATTCATCAGAGTTATCTCGGCAATCTTGCCTGCCATCACAGCGTGCACCATCAACACAGGAACCATCGGAGCAACGGAAGTACCCTTCAGGGCATGATCTGGAGGGTTCTACAAATCACATAGAAAAAAAATGACAAGCAAATTCAGAGAAATGTGGTCCCTCACTTTTGGGGTCTTTTTGGTTGGGGTGCAGTGATCTATGAGATAGTCTGTCCTGTTTTGTCTGTCCATCATACTAAAAAAAGTTATACATTTTTGAAGTACACATACATGTATAAGTTATATTTTTTGTGAATTCTGAACACATTGCCCACATTGTATTACATACATGTTTACCTAGCTGCAACAATGTAACCTTGCCTGATTTTTATGATGTTGCAAACTGTGAAGTCTAGGTCATGAGGTCCAAAATCATAGTAAATCTGGATAGACCTTGTCACAGGTTATAATAAAAATATGAAAGCTCCGTCTTTTCAGGTGCAGAATTATGGCAAAGGTTGAATTTTTTTTAAAAAGTAGGTAAGTCTTCAAGGTTAAGGCCATGAGGTAAAAACCATAAAATATTCTGAAAATTCTTGTCACATGTAACGTACATATTAAATATAAAAAAGTTTTCTTTGCTCTCATTCAAAAATAATGACCAAAGTTAAAGTTTTTGTGACAGAGAGATTGACAAAGAAACAGAGCTTAGGGTCAGTAATCATAACACATGTGGAAAAGTTTTTTCATAGGTAATACACATGTAAAATATACAAGCCTGTCTCTTTAGGTGCCAGAGCTACTACCAAGATTAAAATAGGTCAAACTTCAGGGTCAATGTCATGAGGTCAAAAATTATAAGACATTCCAAAAGGTCTTTTAAACATGAAAATCCTATCTTCTCTTATGCAAAAGTTATGACCAAGGATAAAGATTTTGTGACAGATTCACAGTCAATTGACATTTAATATTCCCATACATTACGGAAAGTGGGGGGAAAAATTAACAGCAAAGTAACAATCTCAGTGATATCTGCAAAGCTTACAAAATATACATGTACATCTAATGAAACTTAAATAACCATATTCAATGTGTATCTAGTGAAACTTAAATTACCACATTCATATTCATCCGAGTTGTCTCGGCAATCTTGTCTGCCATCACAACGTGCACCATCAACACAGGAACCATCTGAGCAACGGAAGTAACCTTCAGGGCATGATCTGGAGGGTTCTACAAATACATAAAATATGAAAATACACAGCAATGGAAGGAACTGAGATATTTGCAAATTGGATCAAGATGTTTCATTTTACCGGTACACTTTCCACGCTTGTTAATTTTTGATCTTATTTTTATAACATCAGCTATTTATTTAATTAATTAATTTCAAGTTCAAAAGAGGAAAATCGTAGTCTATGAATACTTTGATGTTGCAATATCGCTTGCCCTGTTAAATATATACATAATTTTCAACATGATAAACTTAAACTAAAAATAAATATGACAACTGTTAAACTTGCAACAAAATCTCTGCTTTGTTGAAATAAAATTATTTCCTCAAAAAATACTTAGTATACGGCGACGCATAATTTCAATATTACCGTATGCTAAAAAAAATTAATAATAAACTCTGTTAATACTTTAATGCAACATTATCTCGTGCTTTGTTAAAATGAATAATTTCCTCCAGATTGCCGCTATATGGAAAGTCAAGATTAAGAAATAAAAACGCATTTGAATAAAATATCGTGTTCTGTAAATTTTCGGCACTTTATCTCCATTTTCATAGCAAATTACCGCGATTTTCAAAAGTTCAGAACACCGCTTGGTAAAATTTTCTGCTGCGTATAATACAACCGAACTGCGGTTTTTCCCCCAGTTTCAGGCTCAAAAAGGGGGGTGCGTATTTTACACCAATGCGTATTATATTCGGCCAAATACGGTAAATGCATAAAACTTTTAATCTGGCTTCATTAATCAGATGTTAATAAGTTCTGCATAAGCATACATAGGGTAGGATATCCATATTTTTTTTTATCCTCCCTTACCACAGAGTCTTGAATCCTCATCAGAGCGATCAGAGCAGTCTGGTACGCCATCACAACGCAGCCGTATAGATATACACTGACCACTGCCACACTGGAATTCCTCGTTAGAGCAGGACGACACTTAAAGGGAACATTACAGACTCCACAGACATGTCATATTTGATATTACATGATTAACTTGTTGATATGCAGATGGTAGTATTTTAATTAAATACAGTTTAATTTAATATTATCAAACTTTATGCCCAATTTTGATGCAAAATAATTGACTATAACATAAATCACTATCTTTTAAATCTTCCTTCATCAAAAACTCCAAAATTGACAATTTTAATAAATATGTATTATAACTTTATTTTATGTTTACCAGTTCGTCCACATTTTCTGTTGCAAGCCTCTAAAGAATCAAAATTGTTGGCATTTCCTCCACAACCCCCATAGGAGAAAGATTCACAGGTTCCAGTGACTTTGTTGTAGAAGTACCTTGGAATCAGTGCCAGGCAGTTGCCAACTTCACTCTCCAAATTACAAACATCTGCAAGATCAAATTTATATATGCTTGTATTTTTAAGCCTTGGATAAAATTTTATGGTCAACTATCCCCCCTTTCTTCTCAAAAATAAGAATAAAAGTCAATAATATTTATTTTGATAAAGTTCACAGACATATCAAACATTTAAATAAACAAATACATGAAGTCTGTGAGCCAATGCTCACTAGTACATGTAATACCCCCACTCTGATGTGAATATATACTCTGATGTCAATGTACCCAAGTTCAGATATGGACAGTTATGAACTGGAAGTTGATGTTAGATTCGTATAAAAATGAATCCCACCATATTGCATGCCCCAACAAAGAGTGTGCTAAAATTTCGAGCATCTGCAATGAATAATTGCTGAGAAAAATGTGACGAAAATTTTTTAATGTACGTTACGGACAGACGTGCAGATAAACAGGATGTTGACATCAGATTCATACAAAAATGGATCCCATCATATGGCATGCCTCAACAAAGTGTATTTTAAAATTTCAAGCATCTGCAATGAGTAGTTGCTGAGAAAACTGTGACAAAAATTTGTTATGTATGGTATGGACAGACACACGGATAAACAAGAAGTTGACATCTGATTCGTACAAAAATGAATCTACCATATGGTGTGTTAAAATTTCAAGCATCTGCATCCAGTAGTTGCTGAGAAAACTGCGACAAAATTTGTTATGTATGGTATGGACAGACGCACGGATAAACAGGAAGTTGACATCAGATTTGTACAAAAATGAATCCCATCATGCCTAAACAAAGTGTGCTAATATTTCAAGCATCTGCAATGAGTAGTTGCTGAGAAAACTGCAACAAAAATTTGTTATGTATGGTAGGGACAGACACACACAGACAGACACACAAGGGTAAAACAGTATACCCCCTTCTCCTTCGAGGGGGGGGGGGGTTATAATAATCTATAGATTTAAGCTCACAAGGACTAATTTCTGTGTTACAGAGGACTGTGGTAAGTATGGTATGACAGGTAATTTCAGCAATTATTCTATTTTGCAATATTTCAAAATTTGAACTACTAAAACTTGATTTTTAAAAATTGCAAACAATTTCCCAACTACTAAATTAAAAAAAAAAGAAGACTAATTGGAATCACACATTACAAAAGCAATATTCTGACTGCTAGATTTGGAGGATCAAATTGCAAAAATTTGAAGCAAAGGAAATTACTCATTATATGATTATTACAGCTAGGGTAATTAATTACGTTTCCATCATATTATTTCCTTCAGGAAATCTTTTGCATTTCTTAAGGCTAAATTTTCTCAACAGAGATTTTAAAATTAAAACTAACTTACTGTCACGACTACAAGAAGATTCACACACTTCACGACTCGTGAAGCGATTGTCATTTCCACCACATCCCCCATATTCGAATTCGTTACAAAGTCCAGTCAAGTGATCATAGTACCAGGCAGGAATCCTGGATTTACAATTACCTCGCTCCATAGGAAGGTGACAGTACTCTTCTGCAGAAAAGCGGTAAAAAAAATATCAAATAGAAACTTCAAAGCTTTATACCAATAGTTTTTGTTTATTTACAGTTAATTTACATGATTTTTATTTCAATTAGTTAATTATCACATTGATATTTTTGGCTACAGTAATTTTAAAAGACTTAGAAGGAAAAAAAAAACATTCTCAGAATTCGCAAATGTGTCAATGTAGAAAAGAAATTATGAAATATAAAGTTTAATGTACCTTCTAGATTTCCACTCCCCTCAATTGAGGATTCTGTAGTGGTCTGCACCAATGTATCAGGAGCACACTTCCTGCGACAAGCCTCTAGAGTTGCGAAATTGTTGGAGTTTCCACGACATCCTCCATAAATGAACTGAACACAATCGCGAGTACTGGGGTCATACTTGTAACGGCGTTGATAGGCAAGGCACTGAATTTGTCCAGTTTCAAAAGGTTTGCAAACATCTAAGAAAATATTGATACAAATTAAAGCACCTGTTACCTGGCAAGATGCAGTTTTCAAAAAACATAAATGTAAAAGCAGGGTTATTTATACTGAATAGGTTACTTTCTTAAATAATCCCTTTTATTATACGAAAAAGCAGTATACATTTGTATTTTCATGACATAAGAGTAAAAAATAAGAGCAAGGCAAGGACAAAGTCTTACGCTGTCTACTACATGTAGATTCACACTCTGCTCTAGTTTCGTAATTATTTTTATTTCCATTACAACCTCCATAAATGAATTCTTTACAGATTCCAAGATTATAGTCATAAAACCATCGAGGTATGCTTGACCTGCAAGGCCCAGAGTCAGAAGTCATTCGACACACATCCTGATCTATAAATAGAAAATATTCAACATACGACTCAAGCTTCTTAATAAAAAAATATTATAATATATACATTTTTTAATCAAAATAATCTCTCTTTAAAAGGTCACTTAAGTAAAATTGTCAAATTTTGTGATTCTTTTAATACATGCAGTAGTATTAAAATGGGTTTTAAAACTTCTGATAAAAACTTTCATCAAAAGTTACTACTATGAACTTATCATTTATCAATAAATGCAGGAACAGTTTTTCACTTGTTACTGATAATTCAAATTATGGAGATACTGGACTAAATATCCTCATTTACAGACATGTTTGTTCTTTCAATCATTTCTGCAGCATTTTTAAATAAAGACTCAAGAACTGCATTGAGGTATCTTGGTGCAAAGGTCCAAAAAATATGGAATATTTAAAGATATCAACAGGATTGTTCCACTGCACATGTAGAAATTTACCCTCTCCTTCCGGGCCACTATCAGAAGCACACGATTTCTGACATTCCTCTCGTGTCTCAAAGTTATTTGTGTTTCCTTGGCAACCCCCATAGTTGAATTCTAAGCACTGTTTGGATGGGGTGTCATAGTACCATCTTGGGATATTACCCCTGCAGGGCCCTGTATCCATGGGCTGCTGACAAGTTTCTAAAAGTACATATTTTATCATTTTCATATTCATCAGGTATAAAATTTGTTTCACAGATGTAACTAAAAGCTTTTATCAGGTAATCAAAGAGAGACTGAAATTCATTTCAAGTTAAAATTTTTAAGCAAGTTAAAAATGATCTAAAAAAAAAAAGTCATATCACAAGTTGGTTTTTTTCCTGTGCACTGAATAAAACAAAATATCAAAGACACCTTGCAAATACTGCAAAATTTATAGATATATTGGTGCACAAAGCTATTTGCTAAAGCAAAGATGATCTGGTTAAATATAAGCTTAAATGATGATCTCGCACAATGACACTGCTACACATAACATCTGATTCTTATAATTTTAAAAGTGGCTGCAAGGGATCAGACTAGCAAATTCAAAAATAAATAATAAATAAATGTGATGCACATGTCCATGGCTTTTTAATTAAACTGAAATATTAAACCAAAAAAAGTTATACATCTTTTTACAATTAAATTGAAATGAAAATTTTTCAAAAAAAATTTAAAATGATGCTATTAATAGTGAACTAAGGGGATTGGGATATGTAAGGTAAATGTGTGTATCTGTCATACCTCGATCTAGAGAAATATAAGAACACATAATGTCAATGTTCTATAATAATAAAAATCTTTTATTAATCAGTATAGATGCATTAATTATCATTGTCAATACTGTATACAAGGCTGTCTTCATACCCTCTCCTTTTGTGTTGTCAATGTCAATTTCACAGGTGGACTCGCACTGTTCCTGAGTTTCGAAATTGTTTTCGTTGCCTTGGCATCCTCCATAAACAAACTGTTCACACTCTCGTCCATTAAAATAATACCTCTTGAAATATGCCCTACATGGACCTGTGACTCTGGGTTGTTCACAGACAGGCTTTGACCCTGGAGGAAAAAAAAATGAAAAAAGGTATCCAAAAAATTGCTTCCACAGGTAAAATATGCATTGCTTTAGTGATTTTAAAGCAAACACCATAAAGCTTTACCATATTCATTTGAGCAAGCAACATGAATATCAATGAAAAAAATTGAATTAACATATAAAAATTATATATTAATATATGAATACTCAGGTGGTATCTTGTGCATATATATGCATTAAAGAATTGTCTGACAAGCTACATCTCATGGACCAAGTTAAAAAAGATGGCTTCAAAGTCCTACAGATTTGTATCACTAACTTCTTTTTAAGATTGAATTCTCTTGAATTCAGGATTGCTTAATGTTTATACATATATGTATGCCTAATTAACTGCAGCAGCAAGATTGTTGGCAATTTTTCAGGATTGATAAAATGTCAACCTCGAAACCTGAACAACCCTGTATTTTCTAGAGTATCATTTTGTAACGGGATGGCACTCAATCACTGGGGTGTATTAACTGATTAACGGTACTTTGAACACCCAGAAATTTACTAACTTTAAACCAATTTATTTTTAAATTAAATGATGGACTCCAGTAAATAATTAAAATAAGATTTAAATAGCTTGAGATGATGGTTTATTCTGGCTTAATCTCAATTAACAAATTAAATAAAATTTAATCAATGATAAAAATTCAATCAAGAAAAATACAATAAAAAAAAAATAATGGCTGCAGTCGTCTTAACCCCAAATTCCCAAAAATATTAAATTTCCCTAAGACATATTAATTAATATTGTGAAACGGCTCTAATAAATAAATAGGCCTAGCTAAATTTCTTCAAATTACTGAGTTACTAATAGAAATAAAGAAAAATTCCCCAAAAGTTCTTAAAATTTCACCTACATCTTATCCTAAAAGCCCAAAAATCTGAAGTCCCCGTTTTACAACGGGTGCTCACTTATATACCCTCGGGGAACGGTATCCGTTCCAAAACAACACGGAATCCGTTGGAAAGCAACGGAATCCGATAGAAAAATACAACGGAAAATAGTTCCCATCTATAAAAAATTACTTTAACAAGTTTAAAATACGAATAAAATATAACTCTAATTCATTAATATATTATGCAACATAATTAATTACCTTAAAGCTCATTTTTCTAATTAATAGAAAAATCTGTCAGCGCATAAATATCTGGGGTGCGCGGATCAAAGAAGTAAACGAAAATTCACCCATAATGCATTGCGCCGACATGTAAATAGAAAACTAAGACTGTCTGCAGCTTACAACACATGTTTGCACAATACAGGTAAAATACCAGTAAAAAACGTAATTTTCTTAAAACATTTAGTAGATCATGCTCTAGTTACAGCATTTATGCAATTATTTCAACAAGGACATCGTTAAATATGAAAGGATATGCATATATTACATGTGTTCGTTCTACTTTCACTTTACATACGATGACATGAAAAGTTGTGAATCCAAATTTAGAACATTAAGTAATAAACATACAATACATATGATCAAAATACTCAAATTATGAATCATTTATAGAGGTAGATTAATATGACAAGATTTGTATTTTAAATACAAATAAAATATGGAAACTTGAAATGATCAAACTTTACAATTTAATTCACCTGTATCTGGCCCAGTTTGTCTGCATCGACGTGAGCAAGATTCTTCATCATCAAAGCGGTTGTCATTACCACCACAGCCACCATACCAGAACCGATCACAGCGGCCAGCAGTAGAATTGTAAAACCATTTAACAACATAATCTGTACAGGTTCCATGGTCATTTTTCATTTGGCAAACTCCAATGGGAGTCACATCAGGCTCTAAAATGGGAAAATGAATCATTTAAGAACTTTTTTACAAAATTTTTAATCAATTTTACAAACATTCATTTTTATCTGGCAAATATTTTGAACACTTGAGACCCAATAATTGTGCCATTTTCCAAGATCCATACTAACCCTTGGGACAGCCGTAATGGTTAGCCCCCTGAGCTGGGGTTTCACCATCTGGACAACAGCCATACACAGTTTCATTGCAGAAATCTCCTGATGGTCTTCCATCTATGTCACAGCCCTCAAAGTTAGGCCCTAAACAATTCAGCAACATTGAAAAAAGAACGTTATTCCAATATTACCAATTCAACAAATTGTTTAAATTTCAAATATATTAATTTCTCCCTAAATTGATAGGGAAGATCCCTAGCCTGTTGCATTTTATCTGTTCAACAAATGTTTCAGGTTTTAAAGGAATTGTTACTTATCACTTTACCTGTGGCTTCACTGACACCATCTTCACAACAGCCAAACCTGGAGTTCTGAAAAAAAGGACAAAGAAAGTTTATTGTCAGGCCCTGATACTTCCTTTCATGATCAAATTATTGTAATCATAAATAATTTGATTTTTGAAGATATTTCCCAGAACTGTATATGATTTAAATCAGTTTTTTTTTTTTTTACATTAATATGCCGGTATACATCTGTTTTTAGTATAAAGTGACATAAAATTGTCATTGATTGTCAATTGAAATAACAATGGAGCAGTTATGAACCTGCTTTCATATCCAAGTTATTAAACAACCCAGGGATAAAATCAAAATTAATTTTTATTTCAAGGCTAAAGAAAGGGGTAAGTTTGGCAATGCAAAAACAGGGGACTTTACATAACCACACAAGACTTCTTTACCTTACAGGGATCAGTGTCACAACCCTCGTAGTTCTTCCCCGATGCTGCAGTAACACCATCAGGGCAGCAGCCATATATCGAATCATCACAGAGCACTTAAAGAGGTCAAATTGTATGTATCATTGTATCATACCAGTATCAATACACAAGTAAAACAGGCAGTAAAGCAAAGAACATAAGAAACTCTCCATAATTTACACAAATACAAAGCCGTAAACAGTTTTATTCCTTTATATACTTTAGACATATTTCTTGACCATGAATATTCTACCTAAAGGGATTAATCTAGCTTTTAATGGTAACTACACTGTATGAACTACAGAACCAATATTTAAGAAATTCACTTGGACCAGTATTTTTGCAGGTAACTTGGCATCTATTGGGCAGCATCTTACTTGGGACACAGGGGAATGAAATATAATAGATGACAGAGTCTGTTGGGTTGAAAAAAAAATAGCTAGGGTATCTTCTACTCTTCAATCAAAATTTTTTTCCTTTGAATATCTGTTTTTTTTTAACTATCACATGGGGGAACAGGTCTTACAACAAAGTAGAGCAATTCCCTCCTTGGGAAAAATATCAAATATTGCTAGATTTATAATCCCAAAAAGTTCACATATAGTTCAACTAAATAGTCATACATGTACTTGCATAACTTATATTTGTGCATTGTCCCTGTATATATACCTAATGTGCGTGTCTTGGCCATGATGCTAGTTTTCGGACCAGTGCCTCGGCCATTATTAAACTCTGGGTGCAGATTGATCATGTAATCAGCCCCATCCATTAAGTTATTCATTGTATAATTCACTGTATCAGGGGTCAGAATAACCTCCTTCATAGGGTCCTGTTTGGTTGTATCTCGATAGTACTTGGTTCCCATGTAAGCAAGCTACAAAACAGATCAAGCAATAAAAAGATTGGGGAAAATATTGCAATAAATTGTTCGATAAATAGAATTCTTAATCCTTTCCCTTCATCAGACTTCATTAAAAAATGTGTTATTAAAAAAGGATTTATTGTTTATTGATGATTTAAAAATTAGCACACTCTTATTTTTTTAATATTAATACTTCTTGAATGAATACATAAGGCAAATAAACAGTACATTTATACACCACACTCTTTAAAGAACATATCTGACTTGTTTTTAAATCTGGTCTTTGAGTCAACATCAATTCCAAAACTTCAAAAACAGATCTAACAGAACATAAATTTCTATAGGAAGCAAATCAAAGTTTCAGTTTGGTGGCAGAATCGGTGACAGGAAGTCTGGATTCCTTACCGTGTAGGACTGGACGTCATTGTTCTGTGGAGGTTCCCAAGCCACCATGATTTTGTCGGAGGTTGATTCTTCCACGTGGAGGTTTCTTATCATGTCTGAAAGATGTTCAAAATAAAGCAATGAAAGGCAATTAATTTCAGATTTATTTCCCTTGAATTAGCTGATGAAAGACTTGTTTATCACATGGGTGACTGAAAATTTGCATTTTTTGGGAGGAAAAAGCAATTAATGACTGAATTTAACAGGATTTCAAATGTTACTTAGAGATTTTTAACTGCTCTATTCTCATAACATGTTCTTCTAACATTGAGAAGTGCCACCTTTAAACAGATTATAAGGAGGCTTTAAGTCCTAAATGATTTAACATTAACTTTATGTCCAAAACGTATAATAGTAAAATTCACAAGGTTTGCACCTACTACACATTCTTCAACACAACAGGTATTGTATGAAAAGGAACTATCAGATGCTGTATTTTAGACTTCAAATAGACATTTTTGCCATTTCTGTTCATTTTTTTTTTACAGATATCACACAATGTCATGCTCATACATGAAGATCTTTTAAGATTTACTCAACATGCCAAAAATTAAAGATATAGATAATCTGTTTTATATATCATAATTTTATCCAACAGACAATATGTATACAATGTATGCCAATCACACAAGAAAAGTATTATATATTATATGAAATGTAGATAAATAAAATCTTGCCTTATTATATTTCATATGATAGTATATAGTATTGTTTTAATAAGACAACAGTGAAATGTAAATATGAAAAAAAGACATTAAAAAATCTTAAAAGAAATATGAAATATAAAATAGAAATGATATGTACATGTACATTTGTATGAAATTTTACACAAGTTTGGGAGTAACTTTTAAACTGAATCTGTACCAATAAAATCCACAAGCCAAAAAAAAAAAAAAAACCAACAAACAAACAAACAAACAAAAAAAAAAACAAGAGGCCCATGGGCCACATCGCTCACCTGAGTAACTTTGGCCATGCTGTTCATTACCAGACTTCCCCCCTTGTAATACCTATTGACCTATTGTGGCCCCGCCCTACCCCCAGGGGCCATGATTTGAACAATTTAGAATCTACACTACCCCAGGATGCTTCCACATAAGTTTCAGTTTTTCTGGTCCAGTGGTTCTTCAGAAGATTTTTAAAGATTTTTCCTATATATTTCAATGTAAAACTTGGGATTCCCTATTGTGCCCCCCCCCCCCCCCTTATCCCCGGGGTCATGATTTGAACAATTTAGAGTGTACACTACTTGAGGATGTTTCCACATACGTTTCAGCTTTTCTGGCTCAGTGGTTCTTGAAAAGAAGATTTTTAAAGATTTTTCCTATATATTTCAATGTAAAACTTGTATTCCCTATTGTGGCCCCGCCCTACCCCCGGGGGTCATGATTTTAACAATTTAGAATCTACACTACCCAAGGATGCTTCCACATAAGTTTAAGTTTTTCTGGCCCAGTGGTTCTTGAGAAGAAGATTTTTAAAGATTTCTCCTATATATTTCAATGTAAGACTTGGATTCCCTATTGTGGCCTCGCCCTACCCCCGGGGGTCATGATTTGAACAATTTAGAATCTACACTACCCCAGGATGCTTCCACATAAGTTTCAGCTTTTCTGGCCCAGTGGTTCTTGAGAAGAAGATTTTTAAAGATTTCTCCTATATATTTTAATGTAAAATTTGGATTCCCTATTGTGGCCCCGCCCTACCCCCGGTGGTCATGATTTTAACAATTTAGAATCTACATTACCCCAGGATGCTTCCACATAAGTTTCAGCTTTTCTGGCCCAGTGGTTCTTGAGAAGAAGATTTTTAAAGATTTCTCCTATATATTTTAATGTAAAATTTGGATTCCCTATTGTGGCCCCGCCCTACCCCCGGTGGTCATGATTTTAACAATTTAGAATCTACACTATCCCAGGATGCTTCCATATAAGTTTCAGCTTTTCTGGCCCAGTGGTTCTTGAGAAGAAGATTTTTTTATGACCCCACCCTATTTTTGTCTTTTCTTGATTATCTCCCCTTGTAAGGGGACTTGGCCCTTTATTTTAACAATTTAAACTCCCCTTCCCCCAAGGATACTTTGTACCAAGTTTGGTTAAAATTGGCCTAGTGGTTCTTGAGAAGAAGTTGAAAATGTGAAAAGTTTACAGACGGACGGACAGACGGACGGACGACGGACAACGGGTGATCAGAAAAGCTCACTTGAGCTTTCAGCTCAGGTGAGCTAAAAAAAATCTTAGCTTCCGTAAAATCAGAAAAGAGCACACAAAACAAGACAACATCAATTTCATATTACTGTCCTATTGTAGTTAATCCCCCTCCCCCTTCCTACCCCTGTCCTTGTAACTCTTGATTCCCTCCTTTGTATACTGATATACAGTGTATATATACAGTGCAGACAAATATACAGTAGATACCTGATTATAGTGAAGCCATATGTCCCACCAATTATATAATACAGGTATACAGTTTTATGAAATATTAATTGGATATAACAAATAACAGATATAGCCTAGTAATTTAGTCAAGCTTGGAAGTTTATTATAACCATATTTTACATGTATGCATGTTTCAAGTCTACCTTAAATAGATAGTTTTCCACTTAATGGGGGGGGGATACTGTAGACATACATTTTTACCCATGGGATAATTTACGCTATGTATGTGGACACAAAATTTCTGCGGAAATTTGTCACAGCGTACTTAGAGTGGTTTAATACGTACACAATGGCATTCCAAGAAATGCGCGTAATTTTCTAATCGCAAATAGAACAGAAATCGTAATTCTGGAAAAAAGTATGTTTACAGAAATCTTAATTCTGGAAAAAAGTACGTTTACAGTATACAAAATAAAAGTACATAGAGCCAAATAAACCTAGCATTTTTCAGGAAATCAATCTGTTTGTTTGTTTGGTTGTTTAATGTCCCTTTGAGAATTTTTAACTCATATAGAGACGCCACCACTTGCTCGTGGAGGGCTGCAAATTTAGACCTGTATTAGCCACTTATGGCCTTTCTTCAGCAGTGAAGGATCTTTCTTGTGCCAGCACCTACCATGACATGGGACCTCAATTTTTATGGTCTCATACAAAGGACAGGTCTCCACATCGCACAGTGGATTCAAAATCAGGATGTAAGGATCAACTCCTTAAGCCACGAATTTAGAGCAAATGCTCTAACCACTGCACTATGGGGGCGATCTGCATATTTTGGTATCTCAAACATTGATTTGATATCTTGAGTACCCTGGATATGTCAAAGTGAGTTAGAGGTCCCAATCACTTTCTTTTTATGTATTTACCCTTAATATCTTGAAAGTTTTTTTTCTTTGCCCCATGAGTTTGAGATAATTAGATTTGACTGTATATACAAACAGAAACACCACACAAATTTTCATGTAAAGTTATACTGAGTATACAATAGCTTACAAATAGGATCATACATATACACTGCATTATGTACCATTATACTCCTTCACTGTTTGAAATAAATATTAATTGAGCTATGAGATGCATATTCTGTCAAATGAATTGAATTCAGTTTAAGCAATCATGTTAGTAAAATACATGATCCTGTAAATAGTACGAAATAGATGCAAAATACTGGATACAATTTTGAAGACTTAACAGCTTTGTATGATAAAATCAAATCATACAAAATACATGCACACATAATAATATACATGTATTACCAATCTGAATGGATGTTTTTTTGTGAATTAAATCTCCATGCAGTTTTCATGCAGTTGACATGCAGTACCTGTTGGCATGCATCGGCTGAAACATTCCATCCGATTCCTGAAGTTATTGGCGTTGCCGCCACATCCACCATAGGTGAACAGCTGACATTCTTTGTTTTGTGCATTATAGTACCACCGCTGTAGGCGTGCCCTACACCGGCCAACCATAGGGGGTAACTGACAAGGGTCTGCTATGGAAGCCAATCAAAACATTGTTCTGACCATTGCATTACAATTCATTACGTTTCAATAAATTTACAATTTATATCCGAGCTGTGATGGTGTCAATAAATATATGATTATCCAAACAATGATGCAAATGGTATATTTTTCCTTGCAGCCAATTATTGAAAAAAAAAAAGACTATACAATTTTTTTTCATTTGCAATGCTTAATTCTCTTTAATTATGCACAACTGTTGCAATTTTTTCTGCTTAACAAGCTTCACATCACAGAACTGAAGCAGCTGTTTGAGGAACTCTTGTAAATTGTTTTCAATCTAGCATGATCTATAAGCCTTATAAAATGAATTCCTCCAAAAATTACATAAGCATTTGATATAATTTCGTGCATGAATTACTGGGTCTTGGCAAACAATACAAACCAAGCTCATAAGAAAAGGAGACAGTAACATGATGACAAAGCAATTCCGTAAAGCTTTTATATATATATATATATATATATATATATATATATATATATATATATATATATATATATATATATATATATATATATATATATATATATATATATATATATATATATAAAGCTTATATATATAAACAAATACATTTAAACAGAATTTTTTCCCATAGTTGATAAATATGGGATAGTGTTATCATTGCTGGTGCATGCTTTCACACCAAGGATTGATTAATTAAAACTTAAAAACTGCGAGGGGATTGACACTCTATGAACAAAAGGGACATGGACTGGTCATTAAATCCAAATGCACAGTGCAAGGGAAAGAGTAGAAATTATTCATTCTGTATAATTAATACATGTATGGAAAATGACAGGAAAGAAATATACATGCAGAGTTAAAGGAAGTGTCAACTTTGGATATGCAAGTTACAGAGATATAAAGGGATTGGCAGGTACACATCAAGAAATGTATATGGCAGAGAGCTAAATACATATCAAAGAAAAGGTATAGATACATTGCAGGAAACAAATGGATTGCAGCTGAATACATAGATATAAGACCAGGAGGTGTCAGTGCTTAGCCATGCTCTGGCTACATATAATGTGGCACTACACTCAGCTAACCTGCAGATGGGGATACTGGGGGTCGTTCAGTGGGGTAAGTGACTGGTCCCCTACGACAAGTTGTATCACATTCTCTCTCTGATTGAAAACGATTGCCATTTCCCTGGCATCCACCATACCAGAACCGAAGACAACGCCCTTCTGTTCTATTGTAATACCACCGAACTTCGTATTCCCTACAGGGTCCCGTGTCATGACCCAATTCACATATCGGACCTGACACCGGAGATCTTGTTGATGGTGCTCGAGTCAGCACTGTAACATGAAAACTCTTGGATCAACATCTTAGATCCATCTTAACAACCTACTGTTAAAGGCAGCAATTCAGCAATAGCTATTTACTAAACTATCATCATTCAAAATGCAATGCAAGTACACATACATTACACTGTTTATATAGAATCTAAATTCACACTATTTGAACATAAACAGCCACTGAAAGCATGATATATTCATGCAAAACAAAACAGATACAAAATTCTACCTGAACAGCTCATAGTTATGAGCTATTTCATTGACTTGGTCAAGTATTGATGTTAAAAAGCAGGATTAAATAGACACATTTTGCTTTAATGTTAATTTAACAAAAAATTTGAACATCAGCATCTTTCTAATTGATCCTTGTCCCTGCCATACCTGGTTGCCTAGTGACCGGCTGACTACCGCCTCTACATTTCCTTTGACATTCGTCTTCCGTTTTAAAATTGTTGCCATTTCCGCCACATCCTCGGTACCAGAAGCGATCGCAGCGTTGGGTGTCTCTGTTATAGTACCACTTGACGACTAAGTTCTCCTCCTCGCAGTCTCTACCAGAATCTGATGGCTGTTGACAGACTGCAGAAAAGACATGTTCCAATGTGACTTATCACTTTAGTGTAGTGGAAAATACTTGGTATTTGATTGCCTAATTCTAAAGCATGTTTCTATAGCTGCATAAATTGTATCACAGACTCAAAATCCTTTTAATTATAAATGTGACTCTTTATAGATATTTTTTTGTTTATTAAGCTTCCCTTTCTTTAAAATATGTAGTCTCTGATTGTTAATTCAATAATTCAATTGTTCTCCCAACAGTTTGACTTAAATTCTTTTATTGCAATGGTCTATGGTAAAATATAATTATAATGTAAAGTGTAAATTAACATTTGGGCTGAACTTCCAGACAGCAAAGAGCATTTCAACGAGAGTTCCAAGTTATAAACTTGTTGGTCTTATTATAACCAAATTGTAAAAGATACAATTGATTTACAAAAATCTAAGACTTCCAATACAACTTTTTTTTTCTAAAATGCTCCCCTTGTCCATAAGCAAAGATTTTGTGTTATATCATTGAAAAGCTTACATTGTGAATTCAGATATTCATTTGAAGATAAAGAAATACCATATACATGTATATTTATGGCCATGTGACAAACTGCCCTTTGATGTGTTCAGTTCAAATCATTAAAAAACCCAATCCTAATACCACAAAAATAGGACCACATTTGAAGTCAATGGTATTCTTTTTCAATACCATAGAAGTTAAAATTGAAATGAAACTTGATCCCATGTTAGCAGATTATCAAACAGACAAAGGACACAGAGAGAATTAGTTAATTATTAGGTGTCTGTAAAATGTTAATTAATGCAAGGTCAATGTCCGGATGTGTAAAACAAGGTAAAACTTCACCTGTGGTCACAACAATTAGTAATCAAATAAGTGGCCCTGAATTGTGAACGCTGTAAACAAATACCTTCAAAAATATTCTGCTATCTTGAAAAGAAACTGCTGACCCACTCCCCACAACCCCATCCATGACCCTTAAACCTTGATAGCATCACCTTCTTTCAAGATAATAACATTCCTTACATCATAAGCAAAAAAACTGAATTTGAATTCATCAAAAGTAAGTGTTGTAGAGTTACCAGGTACTGTACATTGCCAAATCACACTGACAATTGAGCTTGTGACCTTGAAACATGATATGAAAACACCAGAAAGTCAAGGGCAAAAAGAATAAGTCACACAAATCAGGGGTTGCAAATTTTGGACACAGATATTCTCACTACCACCTATGTGTTATGTTGGTGTAATACAGTGTTTTACATTATTTAATCAGTATGTCACCATCAATGTCATTCTTTTTGTAAGTGGAAATGCAATGGATTTTAAACATTACCTGAACTACCTGTCCCAGCCTCTGTTTGCTGACATCCTTCATAGTTTGGTCCTCTAGCAAATGTCACCCCATCAGGACAACATTTATAGTAACTGTTCTCACATGTCTGTCTCACTGTTACAGGGTTTCTCTCTAAAATGAAAAAAACCAGAAGTCTCTGATGAGACTGTAGCTCTACTGGTCTGTTTGTATTACAAAAGAAAAGTAGCACTTGGATTTGAAACATTGCAACATGCAACAATAAATAGAATTATGTATCTTAATGTAGTCTACTTCTGTGCCAAGTTATATTTAATCTAATGAAATCTGTAGGAGGAGTAGCATTTTGAAAGTATTTCAGGGAAATTTCTATTTTTAGTAACCATGACAACACCATTCACCCAAATAAAAAAAAACAGAAATACATATTATGTATCGTAGTGTATTCTAACTGTGTGCCAAATTAGATTGAAATCAGACCAAAATTGTAGGAGGAGTAACGTTTAATGGGAATTTCACAAAAATTTCTATTTTGAGTAACCATGGCAACACTGTTCATCGAATTCAAAAACCGATGCAATGAATTATGTATCTTAGTATAGTCTTCTTGTATGCCAAATTATATTAAAAGCAGACTAAAACTGTAGCAGGAGTAGTGTTTTAAAGGAATTTCACAGAAATTTCTATTTTTAGTAACCATGGCAACACCGTCCATCAAAATCAAAAACCGATGCAATAAATTATGTATCTTAGTGTAGTCTACTTGTGTGCCAAGTTATATTGAAATCAGACCAAAACTGTAGGAGGAGTAGCGTTTTAAAGGAATTTCACAGAAATTTCTATTTTTAGTAACCATGGCAACACCGTCCATCAAAATCAAAAACCGATGCACTAAATTATGTATCTTAGTGTAGTCTACTTGTGTGCCAAGTTATATTGAAATCGGACCAAAACTGTAGGAGAAGTAGCGTTTTAAAGGAATTTCACAGAAATTTCTATTTTTATTAACCATGGCAACACCGTCCATCGAAATCAAAAACCGATGCACTACATTATGTATTTTAGTGTTGTCTACTTGTAAGCCAAGTTATATTGAAATCGGACTAAAACTGTAGGAGGAGTAGCGTTTTAAAGGAATTTCACAGAAATTTCTATTTTTAGTAACCATGGCAACACCGTCCATCAAAATCAAAAACCGATGCACTAAATTATGTATCTTAGTGTAGTCTACTTGTGTGCCAAGTTATATTGAAATCGGACCAAAACTGTAGGAGAAGTAGCGTTTTAAAGGAATTTCACAGAAATTTCTATTTTTATTAACCATGGCAACACCGTCCATCGAAATCAAAAACCGATGCACTACATTATGTATTTTAGTGTTGTCTACTTGTAAGCCAAGTTATATTGAAATCGGACTAAAACTGTAGGAGAAGAAGCGTTTTAAAGGAATTTCACAGAAATTTCTATTTTTTGTAACCATGGCAACACTGTCCATCGAAATCAAAAACCGATGCACTAAATTATGTATCTTAGTGTAGTCTACTTGTGTGCCAAGTTATATTGAAATCGGACCAAAACTGTAGGAGGAGTAGCGTTTGAAAGGAATTTCACAGAAATTTCTATTTTTAGTAACCATGGCAACACTGTCCATCGAAATCAAAAACCGATGCACTAAATTATGTATCTTAGTGTAGTCTACTTGTTTGCCAAGTTATATTGAAATCGGACCAAAATTGTAGTAGGAGTAGCGTTTTAAAGGAATTTCACAGAAATTTCTATTTTTAGTAACCATGGCAACACCGTCCATCGAAATCAAAAACCGATGCACTAAATTATGTATCTTAGTGTAGTCTACTTGTGTGCCAAGTTATATTGAAATCGGACCAAAACTGTAGGAGGAGTAGCGTTTTAAAGGAATTTCACAGAAATTTCTATTTTTAGTAACCATGGCAACACCGTCCATCGAAATCAAAAACCGATGCACTAAATTATGTATCTTAGTGTAGTCTACTTGTGTGCCAAGTTATATTGAAATCGGACCAAAACTGTAGGAGGAGTAGCGTTTTGAAAAATTGTTTACAGACAGACGGACAGACAGACAGACAGACAGACGGACGGACGACGGACACCTTACTATCGCATAAGCTCTTCTGGTCTCTGACCAGTAGAGCTAAAAATTATTTTTAAAAAATATATATACAAGTACCATAATTAAATAAATTCATAAATTCTGAGTCTTGGTTTGTAAGTAATGCTTTCCTCTCAATATATAAAAGAACAACGTTCACTTAGGGCCTTTCTTGGCCCTGTGAATTTCTGAAAACTTTTAGTTGAAAATACATTAAACTTCACTATGACCCTTGGTGACTGCACATCTATTAAAAATAACTTAAAATTTTCTTGCTGGTCAATGTATTATGATGTCATGAATTGCATCGATCATTATTCTCAAATCCTGAAAATTTCTTCAAAAATGGCCAGAAGTTTAAGCTCTTTTTCAATAATTTATAAGGAGCCCTGCAACCTCTCATCCAAAATGTGCATTTATATAATGAAAGAACTGTTTCTGAAGATTATAATACATGCACATGTTTTATTTTTTGGATTGAGGTGGTGGGCTCATATTTTGATTCTTTGCTGAAGGTACTCAAATACACCCATTTTCAGGAAATTTCAAGAACAAAGCATTTTCCACAAAGCCTGTTTTTCAATACCTGGACTCTCAGTGTAAACTTTTTCTTACTATAAAATGAAAGCACTAAGTCTCTACTTTATATTGATGTTTGAAATGAGACATTTGATCTTGGTCAGCTAACTGGTATATGGACAAGGCCATTTATGGATAAAGTGAACCTAGCTCTTTGTTTTGGCATGACAATTTGGCAAATATCAACTGGATCTGTGAGAGGAATTGACATATTGCCAATGGTAAACTCTTACCAGTATATTCAATTCACAGTGGAACCACAATTTTGGCTCGAATCACAATGTAAAAAGCAAAAGTTTGCTTTTCCTCATAATGTAGTCTCAATTTTGACCAACTGGCAACACCACTTAAAACTTAGACCTTGGCCTGCAAGGCTTTTTCTTTATAATTGGGGTTTTGGGTCAAAGCTTTTTGAAGAGCTGTTGGCTACCAGTCACTAAATGAAATGAAGGTTTAAGGGTATTTTCATATAAAAGATGTTCCATAATAATCCCTCATATTTGTCATTATGGAAAAAAAGAAACATTTTGCTGACCATCTTTAACCATCTGTCTGAATGAATTTTTTTTTAAATACAGGCAGTAAATTCACTCATCACCAGGTATTCAAGTGTATGCATTGTTACTTCAAAAGAACTCAAACTGAGACAGTGATAAAAGCATTTACAAGTTTATACTCCTAGCATTAATAGATAAAGGACCCTAAAGTCCATAGCCCCATCCTTATCCCTGCAGATATGTTTGTATACTGTGATCATCAGAACAGCATTGTTCTTGCATGATCCTAAATTCCAACAATGCAAAGGTCAAGATAAGGTCAAAATGACTACCTTTAACCCCACCCCTTTGCATTGATGTTTTAAGATGTTAATGTTCCTGCTGGTACAAGTGCCAAGGGGCAAGATATTTAATGACGATGGACCACCCGATTTCACGAAACTCTATATTCATACATTTCACCACAATGTAAACTAGTCTCCATACTTCACACTCCATGAAAATCACTTCAGTTCATTCATCCATATATGACCAGGCCCCAAGATGTTCCCATTAATATAAAGTCATAAAATGTATAAGTATTTACTTATATTCACAGACAGGATCAGAAAATACTGAATAAGTGGTCTGAAAGTTTGAGTCTTTAACAAGGAGGAAGAAAACCCAAAAAATCCATTATGTCTGAGACAATTACTAATACCAACCAGGCTAGCTCTTTTATTATACGCTAAAACATCAAACACTGTCAGGGGATTTGCAAGCTCGGGACTAACACGAGCCAACATGAAGCTTGTAACGTTTCTGTGGGATTAGAACCTAATGAATATGCTTGGGAAATTGTCTGGCACCATGCTTGCTTATTCATTTAGATTTGAGATAAAATTTACGCAAAGAGCCCCTTGCATTCCTTAATATTTTAGTGTAATCCAATAATGCGTAAAAGCTATGCTCCTCTAATGTTGCACATATAAATCTATTTCTCCCTGGATTTTTGTCTTTGCCATCCTAATCTAGAAATATGAAACCTTTGGGAGCTTGTCTAGCAGACTTACACCACAAAAATCGAAATACTTTTCTCCTTTACAACCTACAAATCTTGTAATTTTCTACATAGTTGTCAATAAAATATCCACAGATCTTGGTATTTATTAACTAGATATTAATCTCCAGTGATCTGAACTTGTTGCCACTTTGCAATATAACTTCATATCACACCAAGTGAACTTTTTCAACTGAGTACTTGGATAAGAATCTGATGTACTAGAACCTTTTGGTGACACTTAATGAAACCTCTTTTCACAAATATTTATATAACGTCTCACATTTGAGTGCTTTCTTGCAATTTTTTTTTCATAAACTGCATATACAGTAAAACATGCTTACAGCGAACATGCTTATAATGAACTGATGCTTACAGGCAAGTGATTTTTATTCTCTGCGGCTTTAAAATATATTGGGAACTTAAAGGATATAATGAATTTTGTTTATAATTCTCCATTCCTCACACTTCGTTATAAGCATGTTTTACTATATTAATATATATTATTGTCAGCTAATAATAGATGATTTTACTACAGTTACAGCACCCTATTCGACACTGACACTGGACTTCACCTGAGTGTTTGACCAGGCCCCGAGATCATCAACTGAGAACAGACTTAAATCAAACAAGAGATGTTTGTGAAACACTTATGCCCCCCCCCCCCCCTCATGCATCCTTAGTTCAAGGTCTTGGGGTCTGATATTAAGACATTGAAAAATATGCTGTTATGGTCAAGGTTACAGTATTGGACAGATAGACAAATAAACACAATCCCAAGGGCATAAATGCTATTTTCTTCTGTAATAACTTTGTGAAAAAATTTTCCCATAGTAAATATCTAACATTATATTATGTATATGTATTTGACAATTGCCATGCTACTTATGAATGAAGATAACAAATTAGT